GATATGTGTCAGGAAATATGAGGAACACAATCCTCCAGCCACTTAAGAAAATGGATAGGTCTTTTATGGTGCGAGGAATGCCTCTGAACGCCTCCTGTGCATCCTGCTAGCCCTTCAGTTCCAATAGCTTCCCTTTGGAGTTGCCTTATGACAACCTCTTCCCTTTTCCTGGTGCCCTGAACTCCAGGTTTTGCACACAGTTGTGGGACAACTCATGTTAAAATTGCAGAATCATTTTCTATGTTGATACTTTGGCTTAAAATATGATTCTCAACTTGGAAATCAGGCAGTGTAGAATTTGAAACCTCCAAATGACAGCATGCTGGAAAGTTTCTCAATCTGTCCCATCTCTCTTCTGGAAACTCACAGGACATCAATTGACTCCATTTGGGTAAGCATCTCTGATAGAGAGATGTGTTTCTAGCAAAGACAGGTGATGCCTTCTACTGTAATACAACCATCCCTTCAGACAAACCTCTCAAGACTAGGCAACATTCGGTTACTTTATTGGTAGCTAAGACTATTTGAAAGTAGACCTAACAATGTGGCCATTAAGTCTCTTGGCTTTCCAGTGCCATAGAAATTATTTGTATCCTTCTAGTCTTAAGTTTTTGAGGTATCTCACAGTAGCAAACATGTATAATACATTTGTCCATCTAGGAATAATTTTGGAAATCATGAAAAGAGCTGGGAAATATGTTAGGGTGGATAATGAAATTACTATGGTTTATTATTGTATTAGGTGCTGTGAGATGGTCTTTCTGTACCTGTGAATATGTGTTGTTACCATTGGTTACTAAAGAAGCTGCCATGGCCTGTGACAAGGCAGAATAGAGCCAGGTGGGGAATCCAAAGAGAGAGAGACAAGGAGAAGGCGGAGTCAGAGGAGATGCAGAGTGCTGCAGGGGGAGCAAGATGTAATGGAACACAGGTAACACCACAAAGCCACGTGACAAAACATAGATTAATAGAAATGGGTCAATTTAAAATGAAAGAGTTTGCTAGCAAGAAGCCTGAGACATAGACCAAACAGTTTGTAATTAACATTAAGTCTCTGAGTGATTATTTTATAAGCTACTGTGGGCTGGGCGGGACACAGGAAAACTACATTTTGGTGCCAGCTACATTTGGTGCCCACCATTGGGCATTGATCCACATAGACCTGAAAAAACTTTAAAAAGATTGTGAATGCACAGAAATGGAGCCCCACTGGGCTTCCTAGTCTCACAGTCTTGTGCCATCAACAGCACGACGCATCTCCAGACAGCTGCCTGAGAGATGGAGCTGACCGCCAGCCGCCATGAGCTAAGCGGTGGGACAGATTTCCGAAGTCAAAAGGCTTCTCCCAGCCGCTGCCTGCAGGACTGAGAGCCAGCAGCCAGGGTGGTTGCTTTGTTCCTAACCCCTCGGCAGTTTAAAGCAATGTTCAGAAAATGATTACAGATACACAATAAAACAGAATCAGATGGGAAAAAACACCTCTAAACAGGTTACAATGTATTTAAAAATATACATAGGCTTGAGAGAGAAAAGACAAAAGGATAGAGAAAGTCCTTAAAAAAGAAATAGAGTAATAAAAAATATAGTAAGCCATGTAAAGATGGAAAATACACAGAGAGTCTGGATATTGTATGTTGTTGTGTTGTCTTTGAATTGTTTGACTGCTAAGGAAGGAGCAACAGCTGCTAAGAGACATTTGATTATAAATGTTGATGGATTAATCCAACCTATATATTTTGAAAATAACTTAAAAATTTAAGTCAAAAGATATGTTACTTTGGAGAAGAGGTTATGCTTTTATTTCCACAGGAAGTAAGAGGCTGTGAATTCATTCTGTGTTAAGAAAAATCAGGTTTGTTTGAGGAAGAACCCCTGAAAAATCTCCAATGGGAACAGATGGCCCAGATGATCCAGTGTTTCAGAGCACATCTGTTGCAGTTTCCTCTGAGTTCTGCATCCAGAAAGGATTCAAGGCTGCTGGCTGAGATGATCCAGCCTCACAGACTACTCCAGTCAGGACTTGACCATAATCCTAAATTTTCTCAGGGTCCCCATAAGATTAACAACACCCCCAATCATCAGGAAGTAGCCTAGAGAACTATGCCCACATTTCCAAAAATAAATTATGAATGTTGGTCATTGTTTAGGGGTGTTGGTTACAAGTTGTTATGGATAATGGTCAGGAAAAAAGCTAAACAAAGGAGATTAGATCCAGGGAACTTGTTCTGAAAATAAAAGGGGGAGGATACAGAAATGATAGGAAAAAAAAGGGTAGATTATTGACTCTACTTTAATCCAAAAAAACAACTATTAATCTTACATATTTTACATTAGTATGGATTTTGATTTATTGATACAAATTTAAAGTTAATTTTGTTATACTGTATGTATATTTCTACTCTTGTTTAGGGTATTATGTTCATGCAGCTCATTTAAAAATGTAATATAGCCAGGCATTGGTGGCACACACCTTTGATCCCAGCACTCAGGAAGCAGAGGGAGGCGGATCTCTGTGAGTTCAAGGCCAGCCTGGTCTACAGAGCAAGATCCAGGACAGGCACCAAAACTACACAGAGAAACCCTGTTTAGAAAAACCAAAATAAATAAATAAATAAATAAATAAATAAATAAATAAATAAATAAATAGATAGATAATAAAAATGTAATATATAATTAAGAAATACAGATTAATAGTCATCGATAACAGCAAACTTATAGTTGTGTTAGGTATGTTTTCAAGGTCATACAGAGATGTATTTCAGATTGATAGGCAATCTTCAAACACTTCATAGACCTACAGAATATGGTATTTAAAATGTTTTAAGAACTTAGACTTTTCTCGACAGTGAGACATGTCTGCTCTTGCAGCACCAATTACTTTAAAGAGGATGATGGGCATGAAAGAAACTCCATATGGAGTTTGTTTTCTTTATGTCAAAAGCTAGCCATGTGGGCAAAGAAAGTGCCCTTGCCTCAACTACTGACCATATGCTGTACAAATTGGACATGCAGGACACAAAAGAAAGTGACTGCAGAACTTTGCCAAGACAGGGTGGGGCAATCCTTCAAAAATCCTGCTTCACAGATAAGTCTGTCAGATATGCTAGGCCTGTAGGCCGAAGATAGATGCACCAATGGTACAGAGGAACTTTGGGCGACTGTCCAGGCAGCCTGATATCCCTGTCATTAGGTAACATTTCACTCTTCTGGGGTCTTTGATGGAGTTGAAAACTAATAGTTATAGTTTTCCTTAGTTATAATAGAAAGTAAATTAGATACAAAACTTATACTCACCAAGATAAGATAGATAAATATTTTCTCTAATTTTGTCAAATGCAAATGATTGGATATTGTTACTATAATTCTTACTTAATAACTGTTTTTGTTTTACTATCATAAAGATAAAACTTTCCTTTTTAATTAGACAAAAAAAGGGGGGAGTGCTATGGGATAATGCTCTTGTATGCTGTAAAGATTTGTCACTCAAATTTGTTTAGTAGAACGCTGATTGGCCAATAGCCAGGCACGGAATTATAGGCAGGGCAACCAGACTAGGAGAATTCTGGGAAGAGGAAGGGCAGAGTCAGGAGTCACCAGCTAGACGCAGAGGAAGAAACATGAGAATGCCATACTGAGAAAAAGTATCAAGCTACATGGCTAAACATAGATAAGAATTATGGGTTAATTTTTTTTTTTTTTTTTGGTTTTTCGAGACAGGGTAAAAACATCCTCTTCTATGTTTTTAAATTAATTTATTTATTATGTATACAGCATTCTGTCTGCATGGATGCCTTCAGGCCAGGAGAGGACACCAGATCTCATTATAGATGGTTATGAGCCACCATATGGTTGCTGGGAATCAAACTCAGGACCTCAGGAAGGGCAACCAGTGCTCTTATCCCCTGAGCCATCTCTCCAGCCCCAAATTATGGGCTAATGTAAGTGTAAGAGCTAGTTAGTAATAAGCCTGAACTATCAGCCAAGCATTTATAAATAATATTCAGCCTCCAAGTCAATTATTTGGGAAGTGGCTGCTGGGTATTTGGGAACAGGCAAGCAGGAGAGAAACTTCCACCTACACTTAGGTTCAGAGACAATCTAAAGATCCAACAACAAGGGACCAAAAAGCACATTATAGTCCAGCCACATGTCAGGTGATTTCTTTTTGTTTGTTTGTTGGTTTGGTTTGTTTGTTTTGAGACAGGGTTTTCCTGTGTAGCTTTGGAGCCTGTCCTGGAACTCACTCTGTAGACCAGGCTGGCCTCGATCTCACAGAGATCTGCCTGCCTCTGCCTCCCAAGTGCTGGAATCAAAGACATGTGCCATCACTGCCCGGTACATGTCAGACAACTATATACCAATTTAAATTATCCTTAGGGTAAGTTTGTGACAGTGAAGACTAATACTTTTATGTTAACTATAAAATTATCTATGTTTACAAAACTTTGAGAAGAAAATTTAGTAGAATGTTAACTATAGTTGGTGAGATAAAGTATGTTTGTGGGCAGGGGTGGTCAGTAGCTATTACCTTAATAATTATAGGTGGATGTTATCTTCTCAGCTTGAATCTCCTGATAGAAAAGACAGAGATGAACACAACTGTGATTTGCATGAGTGTCACTGTGCAATAAGATAATTAACTTGGTTCAAGATAAATGGTTCCTCAATGCTGAATTTCAAAGGAAGTTTATCTCTGCTATTGAGTGATATTATGTACAGATCTTGACAGTGTCCATACAGCACTTGCAGAAGGGTGACTCTTTCTATTTTATGACCAACCCCAAGAAAACTAGAGGCCATGGCCATGGAAATGAGCTGTGTAGGGAGTTTGTGCCCCACTGGCCTTCCACTTCTGAATTCTGCATTTGCAGTTTTAAAGTGTTTGCTACATCTTATCAATTGTGTGAGACACACCTCACAGCTCTTTACTGGAGTCCTTTGTGCTGGAAATCTGCCTTTTGACCTTAACATGACTTGACCTTTCTCCCCTCTCCCTCCAGGTGTCGCCGCACTGGATTCCAATGTATCTGGAAAGATCGGTCTGCGCGCCGTGGTGTATTATTTCTGCACCACCATCATTGCTGTGATCCTCGGTGACGCTTATTTCTAACTCCTTCCTCTATGTATTTGTAACTTTGTGTTCAAAAAGTAATTGGGCGTCTTAAAATGCACATTTTTAGCCATAAAGCAATATTGTCAGATTATCCTAGGCCTTTGATGCTTTTGAGTCTGCATAACACCTTTTATGTGAACAAAATGCTGTAAGGACAGAATTTTGACCGTAGTACTGGGTATCAAAGTCTCTGATAAGAAACAGAGAGAGCCGGGCGGTGGTGGCGCACGCCTTTAATCCCAGCACTTGGGAGGCAGAGGCAGGCGGATCTTTGTGAGTTTGAGGCCAGCCTGGTCTAGAGAGCGAGATCCAGGAAAGGCGCAAAGCTGCACAGAGAAACCCTGTCTCGAAAAACCTAAAAAAAAAAAAAAAAAAAAAAAAAAAAGAAACAGAGAGAAAGTGACATTTCTGTGCCCTGTCAGTATCATTGGGGAGAAAGATGTAAGGCCAAGAGTTATTATAAACTTAAACCAGATCATTAATCTGGAGCGGTAGAATATTACTAGAAGACAGTTCTGGAAAGGTTGCCATGTATCTGCACATAGAATAACAGAAAAGCATCAAACAAATGAAGTGCCTTTACTTCAAATTGTTCTGTAGCTGATTGAAGACTGAAAAACAGGAAAAAGACTAAACCTAGTGTGGCCAGAAGCAATTCTAGGAAGTCACTCATTCTTTAAAAAGAAAAGCAAAAAGACTTCTTTGTTCATGCATTTATTCACTTCAGTGGGGGTCAGGGTAAGGTAGTAACTAAGGCTTAGCATTTTGTAGGGAACTTGGGGCCCTTCATGTCACAGTATTGCCTTGGCCACCTTGTCAACTGGTTCTCTAAAGGCCACCCCAGGACACCAGCTGCCCTGGAAGGTTTTAATTCTCTGTGAATGCTGTCCTTGGCCATAGGTATTGTGCTGGTCGTGAGCATCAAACCTGGTGTCACTCAGAAAGTGAGTGAAATCAACAGGACAGGCAAAACCCCTGAAGTCAGCACAGTGGACGCCATGTTAGACCTGATCAGGTGAGTCTTGCTGGTGGGTGATTTCCTGCATGGGTCGTCTGTGTAGTTGCACAAGGCTGCATGAGTGATTTAATGCTCCGATGTCTTAGCATTTGTAGGTGTGTGTTAAATGAGTGTATGTATGGTGCACATACGTGGAGGTCAGAGGACAGCTTCAGTAACTGACCCTCTCCTTCTGCCTTATTTGAGTGAGGGTCTTTTTGTCGGCTTTTGTGCTCTATATGCTAGGACAGCTGGCCCTTGAGCTTCTGGAGGTTCTGCTGTATCTGCCTCCATTTTTTTACCATATAAGCACTGAGATTATCAATATGTACTATTTATTCACTTCAGTGGGGGTCCAGCTTTACATGAGTTCTGGGGATTTGAACTCAGATCTTAGGCTCATGCAGCAAGTACTTTACCCACTGAACCATCCCCCGAGTCCAATATCTTAACATTTTAAATTATTTTTAAATTAATATGCATCTTCATTTTGCCATAAATCCTACAAATTATATTGCCGGTCATTTCTACTTGCCAAGCATGATTCGGAAAGCCATGGATAGAACAGGACCCTGTCTGAGGACTTAGCAGGGACCAAGATGCAGGAAATACCCTTGTTACATAAAGATGCTGGGCAGAAGTGGGTGGCCAGTTCTGGGGGTTACTTGGAGAAATTCATGTTTTAATTATAGAGAGAAACCCTCTTTTCTAAAGTGATCAGTGCCACAAGCAAATTAACAAATTGAAAGTATCAATTTAAGCAGAACAAATGTTTAAAAAAAATTATAGGATATATACATATTGAGCAGTTTGGGGATTATGATTGTCTCTACTTGTGACCGTACACTGTAATTTCATATAATTTCTGCTGAATTTGCTGACTTATAAATGCATAGTTAGAATCACTAGGTTCCATTTCCATAGAATGGAGCAACCGAATCATGAGAAATTGCCAAGAAAGCCAAGTACTTAAATCTCTAGTTTTCTCTTTATATTTCAACTGTCCTACCATACCTAACTTATCTGCAGAAAACACAGTCACTTGGGTTTCTTGAGTCTCCAAGGCATGAAACTTAGCTATTTATAGGGTCCATACAGTTTTCTTCACACCCGTATTTTATTAGTTCACATATTTAATTTGGTAATTATGACAGAATTTGCAACTGGCATTAAGCACTCAAGAACAAATATGACAGACTGTTATAAAAATGGAAAGATACAGAAAATCAAACAACTGTCTCAACTCTGAGTATCCATCTGCCTGTGCAGCACTTCCCCAAGAACAGCAAGGGTGTCACTTAAGGAATCTGTTAAGTGGAAGTTGACTAGGGGACTCATCAAGGGATACTATGCAAAGCAGAAGCTAGAAGAGAAACTGGAGAATCTATCCTAGGCTATCCCCAGTTCTACCGATCTGTAGTTTAACAACCCAAACCATCTGTTTCCCTGATACAATCGTTCTTTCTGTGCTGCCAACAGGAACATGTTCCCGGAGAACCTGGTCCAAGCCTGTTTTCAGCAGGTAACATCAGTGGTTTCGCTCTTGAGTTGCCCCTGTGTTTCCACAACCCAACCCACTGAGACTTCATTTTCTCCAATGACACAAGAAATGAAATGACCCCATCAAAACTTGACAGCAGAAAGTACACCTGTGAAGGATGGCGTTTCAGATGACTCCTGTCTTTAGGGCTGTCGTGAAATGCGTGCCATGATTGACAGAGTTTTCTGCTCAGGCGTGATCTTCTCTTCCCATAGAGAAAAGCAAGAGTCTGCCAACATGTTCTATTTTATTTATTTGTATTTTGGAGAGCCACGTTATATTTGTAAAGAACTTGGACTTCCTGCAGATGCAATGCAGTGGACAGAAGAGCTGTCCATCTCGTCCTCCCCATCCCTTTCATGGTGACCCTCTAACTCACCCCGTGTCGACCAGCCCACCCAGGACTGGGTCTTTTCCTTAACATTAGGTGTCCATTGCTGGAGCTCCCTGGCAAAGCCATGGGTGTTTTAGATTTTTTTTTCTAATGAATGTTTACCATTGTCTTTGAGCCACTAAAACCCCTTTTCTGTTTATCTGGGCTCCTTAAGACAACTGAGTAGATCACAAACTGCTGTATTCATTTACATAAATTACATGGACAGAGACCTCTATATAGACCAACAAAGATGGCAATTGCGTTGCTACCCTGTAGCCCCCACCAGGAACAGAACTACCTCTATTTAAGGGATGCCTTTGCAGCTCAGTTACAGTGGTCGTTTGTAGGGTTTCGAGTTGGCAGAGATTCTGCATGGGGGACATTTCTTCCTAGCATCGTAATACAGTAGCTTTTTCTCAAGCCACCATGATTGAAGCCTCACGGGACCAAACAGGGCTGGCTGAGAAATTCACAGAAATCTCACTCACAGCGCAGCCCTGGAGGAACTGTTGATTTGGACACAACCACTCAGTTACACCTTTCTCGGAACTTATTAGTCATCGTGACTATTTTTATCAAATTGCTAAGGTTATTTTTCCAGATTAAAAATGATGAGTTTAAAAAAAACAAAAATGGTTGACAGGAATCTCCCCGTCTGCGAAAGTACCTCCGGATAAAACCTGCTTCTGTTTGCATTATGTCTCCATTCATTTTCCCCTATCGTGAAAGGGAGAGAACATTTTAGTATTACTGAATGGCAGTTGTGGGAGACTGGGGGTTTGGATTTTTAGATCCCAGTTTTAGTCCCAGTGCCTTCTGGGAAGGATCATCAAAAGCTAGAAGCAACAGAAGCCCCATCAGTAGAACCCTTAAATGACAGCTGCTTGGCCAAACTAACATCCCTGAGGTGTAGCCCCAACTGGATGCTAAAAAAAAAAACAAAAAACAAAAAAAAAAATCTTACTTTTTGTGCAATTGTTTTTCTCCAATGTGCAGTACAAAACCAAGCGTGAAGAAGTGAAGCCTGTCAGTGATCCTGGGGGGAATGCCACAGAGGTGTCTGTCACCACCGCCATGACAACCATGTCTAAGGTACCATCTGCCACCCCACCCCTCCCTGGCAGGCATGTGCCAGTCCTGAGTGACAGGAGGGAGAAAGACGTTCAGTTTTATTATTCACAGAATCCTTGTGTGTGAGTTTACCTCTTCTCCAAATGCGTCTGCAGCCCAGAAATATTTCGCAGTCCCCGCCCCAGAGTGGCACAAAACTGAGTCACCCACAGTACCTGAGTCCAAACTGAGGTTGAATGAGGCTAAAATATATCAATTCATTTTGGTTTTCATTCAATAAACACGCATCCATGTTGGTATATGTTTTATCCCACTTCTGTTTTCCTTTTGTGCATTTTCTTGGTGACTTTTGTGGTCTCTTTATTTTGTCCTGTATTGCATTGAGAATCTCTTCCACTGACTATTTATGTGTTTGGGTGGTAAGGGATACTGGGAATTGAACACTGGGTCTCCTGCATGCCAGAGAAGCATTCCACCCTTGAGCTAGTTCCCCCAATGCATTCTCTCTCTTCCTCCCTCCCTCTCTCTCTGGCTGTAATTTTGGGTACTCACATATTTCTTATGCACTTTGTTTATAGTCACCCCCATAATCTTTTCTGGTCTGTCCTCCCTAAGAATCCCATCTACTCTCATATGACATGCATATTTGTATACGTGTGTGTGACTCTACCACTAAGCTACTTCCAAGCCCTATAGACTTTTCAATCTAGAGTCCATATATAAGGGAAAACATGCAATATTTGAGTCTGGCATACTTTGCTTCCATTCCATCTATAATTATTTTTCCTGCAATTGGTATAATTTCCCTCATCTTTGAGTCTGGCATATTTTGTTTCTGTTCCATGTATACTTCTTTTTCCTGCAAATGACACAATTTCCCTCATCTTTATGGATGAATGAAACTCCACTGTGTATGTACACCACATTTCCTCTGTCCCTTCATCTGTCAGTGAGCGCCTGTCCCCTGTCTTTGCTGTTGTGGCTAATGCTGCAGTGAACATTCAAGTGCAGGTATTTCTGTGCTGCGGGGACTTGGAGGGTGTGCCCAGGGGTGGGGCTGCTAGATTATATCTGCTCCACCTCTGCATGCTCGCTGGCACTTGTTTTCTTACCAGCAGCCATTATGACTGGGGTAGGAGGGACTCTCCATGTACTTTTAATTTGTATTTCCCTGATGGTGAAAGATATTACACATTTTTCATATCTTTATTGGCTATTTGTTGATTTTACTATATAAAATGGATGGAAGCATAGTAATAAAATGCTCTGTAATGTTTCTAAGTACAAGAACACAGTGATACACTTTGCAGAGAAAATGTGTGTGTTAAAGAAGCTTCATTCAGGCAGGAGTATAGTCCTGTTAGCTGTGAATTCCATGTTAATGAACCACCGTATAGAAAATCATCTTTAAAATAGAAATGCACATTAAACAATGTCATGCACTGATTGCTTGATACAAATGATTTGACAAGGCTGTGTATTTCTCCATGGGGACTTTATAGAACATGACTACCAGGAGTAAGGAGCATCAACCATTCATAGAAAGAAAATGATGATCCTTGTCACTGTACCTCTGCCACTCCATACAGTTGAGTACCTTGGGGACTGCTTTAGGTTTGCAAGGCTATAAACACAGAATACAGGCCTCTGCTTCCTTGCCTGAATCTCTCTGCCTGTATGTGCATCTGAATCCGGATCATCTTAGACTTCAGAAGGGCCGCATGGCATGTGTGCAGGTTCCCTCATGGAGTCCAGCATCACTCCAGAATCAAGTGCCACCAATGTTTATGTAACAAACTCATGCATGTTTTGCCAGTTAAGAAACACACTGGCCTCATCTCCATTCAGAACAGATTTTGTCAAAAGAGCAGACCATAAAGTTACCAAGAAAATCAATAGACTGTGAGAACTATTGAGGTTTCAAGAGAGTCAAATTTGTAGTTTTTAGGCCCACAGTAGACTTCGGAATGGTCTCAGAGGAAATATTTATTCTGGGTTTAGAGTGGGAGAGAGAAGTGGGAGAGGAGGAGGGAAATTTAGGAAGAAGAATTTTCAGTCAACTTACTAATTAAATTAAAGCTGGATATGATGGTAAAGTGCATGCTTGTAATCCTAGCACTCAAGAGGTTAAGGCAAGATCATGAGTTTGAAGCCACCCTGGGCTACCAAGTGAGTCCCTGTCAAAATAAATAAGTAGGGGGTGTGGAAATATGGCTCAGTGGTTAAAAGCACTTGCTGCTCTTCCAGAGGACCTGAGTTCAGTTCCTAGCACCCACATTGGGTAGCTCACAACTATCTGTACTCCAGTTCCAGGGGAGCTGGTACCCTCTTCTGGCCTCCCTGGGCATCCCCACATGCATAGCATACACAGACACACACACTCACACACACACACACACACACACACACACACACACACACACACACACATAAAAGTAACAAATAAGTGAATAAATATAATTTAAATTCAGTGGGCCATTGTTGGCTCCCTGCTTCCTACCGCAAAACGCCTCCATTTCTCCCAACTATGGCCATGGGTCCTCTTTTGCCAGGTTTCTTATTGCCTCCAAAGGTTGGGGTGGGGCTCTCTTCTATGCAGATCCACCCTTTACTTGCTCCTTATTCCTAACTATTGATAAGATTTCACAAATAGTGTTCTGAGCACCCTCCATATTGGAGTTCCTGCTGCACATTAAGAGGATAGTGGAAGAACAGATATGACATCATGTGACATATGACAGATTTGTCACATCCTCAGACAAGGAGTGACAAATGTCATCTTCAGAGAAACCAGGGTGCTTTGGGAGCATTGGGGGCCATAAAGGATGAGGAGGAATCGTTGAAGCAGGCTACAGAGACCTGGTCCACCACATCTTCTGCCTATGGTGTGCATCTTTCTTGAACATGCTTTGTCTCTTGGGTACTGTAGTGTTTGAAAGAAAATGGCCCCCAAAGGGAGTGGTACTATTAGGAGGTGTGGTCTTGTTTCAGTGGGTGTGGCCTTGTTAGAGGAAGTGTGTCACTGTGGAGGCAGGCTTTGAAGTCTCATATATGCTCAAGCCATACTCAGTGTCTCAGTTCACTTCCTGTCGTTTGCCAATCAACATGTAGGACTTGCAGTTCCAGCACCATGACCGCCTGCACACTGCCATGTCCTACCATGATGATAATAGACTAAACCTCTGAAACTGTAAGCTCCCACCTCAACTAAATGTTTTCCTTTATAAGAGTTGCCATGGTCATGGTGTCTCTTCACAGTAATAGAAACCCTAACTAAGACCCTCACCTAGCTTTCCCTAACCTCACAGACAGCATTTATGTCCTAGTTTCCGTGTGACACTTGTAACTCATACTGTGGCTGTGCAGTTAAGATACTAATACCATCTTGCTATTGGCTCATGTTTCTCACAGTTCATATTGTCTCTCCAGCTACATTTTAAAACCTGTGCCATAGCCTGTGCAGTTAGAACATTCTCGCTGTACCATAAACATTTGTTCTGTCATAAATAAGAAATGACTGGTATCCCAGGAGCTTATCAGGATAATTCTTTATAGATCTGGTCTCTCCCACACAGATTATGTTATCTCTTAGTAAATCTTGTGCTATTTCTTGCTCAGAATGAAGAAATGATTCATAGTATCAACTATCAGGTTAGTTTTCATAGCTTTAAAATCCTGTTGGCCACATCAGACTGAAGATAGTGATGAATGTCCCTTGGCTTCATTATTAGGAAGGGACAGATGGTAAAATGTCCTCCCAATGTTCATGCTGGTAAACACCATGTAGTTCGTGCATTATTAATTTCTAATTTCTATCTTTTAAAAAGAATTCTCCAAATGTAACCATTTTCAGTGGTTAACCCTGAAAAATGCCTCGATTCTAAAATTCATAAAAAAAAAATCACAACATTGCAGCACTGGAATTTTTCAAAAGACATGCTCACAGATGGGCTTGTTAAAAAGACAAAACAAGCCCGTAAACTTCAGAGGCAGGAGGCAGAGCGTTTCATGGGTCGGCTTTCCTCATTATCATTATACCTCTGACTCAGGTCACTCTGGTTCCCATCATGCTTCAGTGTATTTTCTTGGTTTTGATCCACAGAACGTGACAAAGGAATACAAAATCGTGGGCCTGTATTCAGATGGCATCAATGTCCTGGGCTTGATCATCTTTTGCCTTGTCTTCGGACTTGTCATTGGAAAGATGGGAGAAAAGGGACAGATTCTGGTGGACTTCTTCAATGCATTGAGTGATGCAACCATGAAAATCGTTCAGATCATCATGTGGTGAGCAGTGCTGATTAATGCCATTTTGCTTCCCCTGATAACACCTTCTCAGAACTGGAAAGAGGAGGCTTACATTCCTCAGTGGGTACTTCCTAGAGAAGGCAGATATTTAAAATCAAGATGGGACTATGTTATTTGAATCTAAAAATGGTCTTTTAATAAAAAAAAAAAAAAAACCCCAGAGCCAGATATCAGGGTGAAAGCTGAAAGATCAAAGAAGCAGAACAGCCAACCACTAGTTCTTACCTCTATGAAATCCTCAGCCTAAAGAGAGTGAGTTCCTGCTTCCTCATGCCTTATATATCTTTCTCTGCCCAGACATCACTTCCTGGGATTAAAGGCATGTGTGCTTCTCAGAACTAGGATTAAAGGTGTGTGCCATCACTGCCTGGCTCTGTTTTCTCTCCTATACTAGATCAATCTTATGTAGCCCAGTGTGGCCTTGAACCCACAGAGATCCGTCGGGATCTCTGTCTCCCAAGTGATAGGATTAAAGGTGTGTGCCACCACTACCTGACCTCTGTGTCTAATCTAGTGGCTGGCTCTGTCCTCTGATCTCAGCAAGCTTTATTAGGGTACACAATATATCACCACAGAAGTATTAACTAATTTCACATCCTCCTCTGGAATTAGTCTAGTCCTGAAAGTCTGTCAGCCATTACCTCTTACCTCAGGCCTAGAGAGCAACCTGCAGCTACCCAGCATTCCTGTCAGAAAGTTCCTGGGGGTATATATGAACAGAAGGTGCTTTTCTTCTTAGCCCTATTCAGAAATGAAATTCAAAATATCACAACTGTTCTAGCCTGGGCACAACCACATCTGAATGAGAAAACTGTCTTCCTGCATCCAGAGACACCTCCTGTCTGTCCTGCCACTGAGATGCCCAAAAGTTCATCTTTCCTGGGAGACCTCTCCCTCCCCTAGTTCACATGGAATTGGCTCGACATTTTATAACCCAAATGGCAGGAACTGACAATAAAATATCCAGTGGTAACAGCCAAGGAAGTCACTTAATCCCACTAAAACCTCAACTTTCTCACCTGCAAGAAAAAGATAGTAAAACCTGCCCCCAGGGCTAGGGGAAGAACATCCAGTGAAATGATGTGTGTAAAACACTTCCCCAGCGCAAGACACAGCTAGATAGAGCTCCACAATGGAGCTGTCATGGTCACACCACTGCTGCTGCCATTGCCTCTATCCATGACACCTGAGAAGCAAGATGATCATTGGCTGGAGAGATTTGGCTCATAGGAGATGAGCAGATATGATGGCCACCAGGGTATATGTGCACTGTGTGTGTGCTTCTGTAACGCACATCCTTGCCAGCTGCCCTTAATTTGGAGATGAGTCGAATGAAGAGAGTGTACAGGTCCTAAGGACATCAGAGGCATACAGGCCTCGAAGCTGAACCCTTGGCTTCCTGATTATAGCCTGTAGTCCTCCCGGTGGGGTGAGCATGCACACTGAGCATGCCCACACTGACTGCTTCCCTCCCCAGCAACCTGTCTGAGAAACCCCCTGCTGACTGAATTGTGTCTTTCTTGTGCTTGCTTTCTAGTTACATGCCCATTGGCATTTTGTTCCTAATTGCTGGGAAGATCATAGAAGTTGAAGACTGGGAAATATTCCGCAAGTTGGGCCTTTACATGGCCACGGTCCTGAGTGGGTATGTCGGACTCAAGAGAAGAAACCGAATCCCCTGCAGAAAGGCCAGGGTGTAGCTGCCTGGATGTGGCTTATTCTCCCCTGCGCAGGGAAAGATGGGGTTTGGAGATAAGAGAGCATCAAGGCTGCCCTTTAACAGCTGTGCTGTAGGTGGATCATGCTGGGCTAATTGCCAGCTCCTGGCAGAACAGCTTGGACCAGACTTTGCCATTGCCTCTATTGGTTGGGTTTAAAACAAGAGAAAAGCTCATGTGTAGGCTTTTGGGGCTATCTCCTGTCCTCGAGTTCCTTTGGAATGTAAACTAATCAAGCAGGAAAGAATGCCTCCCCCGTATTCCAGGGCTGAAAGGAATTAAGAAGGACCTAAATAAATTCCATCTCAAGCACGTAGGACTGGTTTTGGTTCTGATGTTCTTGCTGGGCTGGTAGCTCCTGCAGTGTCTCGTGTCACCAGGGTGTCAGGGTGCCAGGGAGATCATCGGGCTATTTAGTAAGTGTTTGAGGCCTTTCAGAACCCATAAAACAAACAGGAAGGCGACAGGGTTGAGTCCCTTGCATATTTCTTACAACCCAGCTGTTGACTCCTTCAGAAGAGATGTCATAGGTTATGAATGGTGCCACCAAACACCTGGCCAAGGACAGAATGGTCCTATATACTGAGAAATGTGGGGCAAGGGAATGAGTAAATGACAGATTAGTTTTCCACTGGGCCAAACACCCAGCTTGAGGCATCGGTTTCCCTGTCCGAACCTGGCTACACTGAGGAGTTCCCACAACACAGCTGGTTGGTTAGTTGTTAACACAGCTGGTTAGTTGTTAACCAATCCAGCGTGCTAAAAACACAGCTGTACAGAAGCAGCCTGGCCCTACAGTGTGAGGGTCGGAGTTGAATTGCTAGACCACAGAGATCAGAGAGGTGGGGCTCTTGTCTAACTGAACTGTCAGCTTGCACTTACGTGTCCACACCATCTGCTGGTGGGTCTCATTTAGTCAACCCCATGTAGAGCAACCTGTAGATTCCGACGTGAGGCACTCTGGGAGGACAGGGATAATAAAGAAATGAGGGCCGGACCTAAAGCACAAGTATCTCCTTATTGCAACTCTGACTTCCGTCTTTGATAGTAGACACCATTCACAAGCCTAGTCCAGAATGGGATGGGGGGGGCTGTGATAAGAGCTATAATGAGGTATCATGGTTGGGGACAAATGTGACCTTAAGAGGAGGATCAGCTCAGCCAGGGAAGGTATGGAAAGGAGGAACAATTACCTGAAGTTTAAGAAAGAGAGAGACAGAGAGAGAGAGAATTCTGTAGAAGGTGGCAGAGAGGAACATCATCGCACACTGAGCAGGAATGTCGATTACAGAGATGGAGATGATGTGACCCTCAATGAGCTTGGAAATCTATTCAGCTACATGATTTGCTGATAACTTTGACAAGGTGTCTCACTTGCTGATTGAGCCTTGACATCCCCACCTGTGGAATGGGGACATGGTTTGGTTGTCAGCATCCCCATCTCATTGGGTCTTTACGAAAGCTTAAAGATGTCATAGTTGGAAAAGCTGGTTGAAAACCAGGCTCAGGTCTGAGGAAGTGGTGTTAAGGCCTTCTCCTTCTCGTCTGTAGGCTTACAATCCACTCCACCGTAGTACTGCCGCTGATCTATTTCATAATTGTGCGGAAGAACCCTTTCCGATTTGCCTTGGGCATGGCGCAGGCTCTTCTGACGGCTCTCATGATATCTTCCAGGTAACTAGAAGAGTGTCTTGGAGAAGCCTCCAGACGATGCTTCGTCGGCTTTTGTCACTTGGTGGAGATGTCTCCAGCTTCTGGAGTTTGGATAGACACCCTTGAGAGATGGTGCCTATATTCTCTGTCCATCTCCTTGAATGTATTTCTCCACCCTTTTGAATACTTCCTACACTCTTGCTGTGGCCTGATACCCAGAAAATATTCTGCTGTAACTGGGGTCAGTGGTAGGCACAGCACCTTCCGATTCCTGGACTGGCCAAAAGTACCAGCATACAGGCTGGAGAGGACCCAGGTTCAAGTCCCAACATCCACATAGTGGCTCACAAATGTCTGAGAACCACAACTTCTTCCGGCCTCTGAGGGCACCAGGCACACAGACAAGCATTTGGGTAAAACACCCATACACATAAAAATAAAATAAGAATCAACTATTTTCTTCATTACTAGTGTGCTGCGGGGCCCTTTGTTCACTTTTTGGAAGACAGGGGTTCTTTTTGGGTGGAGACTGAGGCCTGGCATTTTTAGACCTAAATTCTTTTCCCTGGATGCCACAGTTCAGCAACTCTACCAGTTACCTTCCGCTGTGCAGAAGAAAAGAACCAGGTGGACAAGAGGATCACAAGGTTCGTGCTGCCTGTCGGTGCCACCATCAACATGGACGGCACTGCGCTCTACGAGGCCGTGGCCGCCGTGTTTATTGCGCAGCTGAATGGCTTGGACTTGAGCATTGGGCAGATCATCACCATCAGGTGAGGCACAGTGTCTGTCACTCTCCTTTGCATCACTGCTGCCTGGACTGCCTCAAGTTAACATGATCCCTGAAGACGGACCGAGAAGGACCCAGAGGTGAAATGTCCTATTGGTTCATAAGTCCCCACCCAAGATGAAGGCAAGGGGTAGACTCGTGGTACATGTGATTCCTGCTTCAGGATCCGGGTAGCTAAAGCATCTCTCTCTTCAGTTTAGTGTGACCAATAGGTGCCCAGATAGTGCCAGGGCACAGATTAGACACCCAAGACTCAAGGTTAAATAAGCATTATCCCCTGCTCTAATGGGAGTCCCTGGTGGGTGGGGATTAGATACCCAAATAAATGCTGGATCTGTGGTTGGACTCTCATGAAAAAATGATTGGGGGGGGTCACAAGATGGCCCCAGTGAGGGAAGGATCAACTCTACCTGGGAAGAGGGGGGAAGGATTCCTAGAGGGGCGGGAAGTATAGATGAATCTTAGATTAGGAAAAAGAATTTTAGCAGGAAAAAGACAAAAGCTAAGAGCTGAGAACAGCAGGAGTGACTCATGGCCTAATCGGGGTCAAGATTCTTTGGCCACAAAGAGCCCTGTGCGGAGGATCTAGTATAACATTTTATCATATCATAGACAGATTTGCATTTTAAAAAGACAACTAGCAGTATGATGGGAGGCTTGGGTGGGAGCAGGGACCACCAACTAAAGTCTCCAAATGACCTATATCAAGATGGGCACTGAGCACACCTCTGAGTTAGTGAATCAAAGAGCCGCTATCTGGATTCCGGCTAAGGGACAGGAAAAGGCTGAGATGGATGGTTTGAGCTCATCAGAACAAGAGACACAAGGGGAAAATAGTTTATACTTCTTGACACATTCAATTTGAATGCCTTTAAGAATTCAAGGGGCTGGAGTGATAATTCAGTAGTTAAGAGAACTAACTGCTCTTCCAGAGGACCCAAGAAGCTACCCATGTTGGCTAGCTCAAAACTGCCTAGAAATTCACTCCAGGGGATCCAGTATCTCTGCCCTACATAGGCACCTGTACTCATATGCACATGTCCACATGTGTACAGGCAAACACAGGCACACAAAATAATAAAAATAAAATACAAGCCAGGTGGTGGTGGCACACACCTTTAATCCCAGCACTCAGGAGGCAGAGGCAGGCGAATCTCTGAGTTTGAGGTCAGCCTGGGCTACAAAGGGCGTTTTAGGACAGCCAGAGCTACACAGTGAAACCCTGTCTCAAAAAACCAAAAAGAAAAGAAAATTTAAAATATTGGAAATTTATAAAAATCAAATGCAGATATGATTGAGGCTATAGATCTGAATTACAACCCCAAAAGTCAGGGTCAGCTGCTTATCAGTGGTCATAAGACATGTGGATTACAAGTCAGGAGTCTGTGTCTGAATCTGTCCATAACACTGTAACTAGTTATAACTGTAACCTTGGGCAAGCTATTTGAATTATCTAAGTTCTGTTTTCTCACCTGTAAAAGGAGGAAATAACAGTGCCTATGATTTATTCAAATATGATAATTAAGAAAGAGGATGTTTATAAAGTCTGGTGCTGACACAGTGAGTCTCCAGGAAATGTTAGGAATGAGTGACATTATGCTGGAGAAGTTTGTAGAAAAGAACAAAGTAAGGCAAAGCCTCAGAAAGTCCTACTAGAGGTGGATATGAGGGAGGTAAAGAGAGGGAGAAAGAATAGAGGTGGGAGGAAGCCAGGGGTATTGTGGGAACCTAGAGACAAGTGGTTTATTCTTAAGGGTTAAAATGGTTGTGTCTGATGCCAAAAAGAATTCAAGGCAAATGGAAAGTGAGGAGGTGGTAGAGATGGCATTGGTGAATTCCACTGGAGTTGATTCCTAGGATGGCATCATGTAGCCACTAGCCCCGTGTGGCCAATGGCTGACTGAACTGGGTAGCACAGATGTGGAAGAGTCCCATCACTACAGATGGCTCTGTTGGATGGCACTGTTTGAGTGACAGATTGGGATTCCAGTTGACCTCGATTGATGAAACCAGGCCAGCTTCATTTATGTATCATGCACACATTGTACATAGCCATATGTGCTCATATATATATGCAATATTTGTAGCATGCTTAGGTTTTGCCTGTGATCTGTCGTCATGTGAGACCACGTGTGGAATTTTCCATTCATACTGTCACATTAGTCTTAGATTTTGGAGCATTTAGGGTGTTGGATTTCCAGATTAGGTATTGACGTCATCATGGTGAGGCTCACTAGGGCTGCAGGAACAGAGTCCTCTTCTCTGATGATTTAAAGAATAGAAAAACAGGAAAAGCAAGGTCTCAACACTCAGCCAGGTTTTAGTGATGCATGCACGTGCACACTCCACACACACACACACACACACACACACACACACACACACACACACACACACCAAAGCACACAAAGAGACATGTTCCCCCAGTAGTAGAGAGGGTCCAGAAGCCAGAATCTGAGTTTTCCAGGCAGAGCCAAAACTTTCCATGTTTGAGGGTGGATGAGTTCCCTTTCTCCCTTGGGATTGGCTAATTTGGGATGTTGCAATGGATTGGGTAATCCAGACAAAGAAAGAAAGCTGATTGGTTCCCACCATCAGAGCCCCTCCCTTCATTTAAAAGTTAACACCAGAGAGTCTTCTCTGGCAGGAAAAACATCAAGTTTTTGTCTTAAAGAGGGAGAAGGAAGTCAGCCATCTTAAATGTGTATGGGAAAGTACATTAATCTACCTAGCCCCTCTTTGCGCTGTCTGCCTGCCTACCAGACAGCTGTTAAGACTTCTGGTCCCTCAGCACGCTCAACCGGAAAGTTGTTAGTGGCTGCTGAACTCAGAGCATCATGGGTATTGGTCCTAGCAGAACAGCAAAAGTGGCATATTTTTAGTTTTCTGCACAGGTACTATCCTGATCTTTGTCGGGCTTCAGAGAAACATCTTGCTGAAGAAAATGCTCTTAGTAAATTGGCAGAACCTGGAACGTAGCCAGATGTGTCTGACTCCGAAACCTGTGTCCACACTACTTCACAGCCCAGCCTCCAATCCTGCTGGGTCAGTGTGCTACAAGAGAACTTGGTATCTCAGAAGCTGAAAACCCTTTTGCTGAAGCAGGATACTGTTGAAGCAGATGAATAGGTTTTCATATCTTTCCCCTTATCTGAAGATAACAATGTTCTGAATGTCACACCAAAGCCAGTCAAGTGACAGAAGTTTTGTGAGCAAGATCAAGGCTCAAGGGTAGGCGGAATGGATTCTGAAGCCCAGCCTCAGAATGGCTAACCATGATATACTGAGGCTTCTGAGGGGGGTCAATGAGCCTGGGCACGTATCTATTCTGACAAAGAAAACCTATTGATGCATTGTTTAATTTTTTTTTTCAACCAGCATTGAAATCATGTTGGGTTTTTTGAAAGAGGACTTAGGAAGGACAGCTCTGATGGATGATGTAAGGCTAAAACGTGTAGAGATGTTGGTCCAACTCCAGAACTCTCTAAGTCACTGTAAATCAGTAGCCATAGCCTCTAAAGGAACACGTACTAGGCAAAGAACCTGGCTGGCTTCTGACCCATGAGCAGCCTCTAGAACACAGCCCTAGACAGATGAGTAGGCAGCAGAATCTGTTTTCTGAGAATTCAGAGACCTTTGGGACCCAGAGGAATATGGATTTGTGGCTAGATCTGGGTTTTATCTCGTTGAACTCGGCAGTTTCTGTTCCTGTACTCTTCAGCCCACCCACATCTGGAAATGGTACTCTAGCCTGAGGGTGAGTCTATACCTCCAGAAAGCACTGTGGGTGTCCCTGCCTGCTCCTTCAATTCAGAGGGCTTTCAGGGCATGGGGAGCCTTGATGGCTCGGAATGACCCAGTTAAAATAAACATGCTGCTGGTGAGAAGCTGCACATTACCAGGAGAAGAATCCCTGTGCCCTAGTGTGGGTGCTCAAGGGGGATCTTGTCAAACACATGGTGATGAAGTTCCTCCGGCTACCTACCCTAGATTCCAGATCTCTCCTCCTTTTGCACAAAGTGCATCTGCTGGAAAGAAGGATCAGTCAGGAATGCTCACACCTTGGATGGAATCACACAGTTTCTCAATTCAGTGCCCTAAACAGGTGTTCTTGGAGAAGGCGAGAATCTTGTGATACCAGGAAATTATGTAAAACCAGCTTAACCATTGCTTTATCCGATTGCCTTTCCCCTCAGGCATCCTTGCCCATCCACTCTACTGTCTGTCGCTCTTCTCACCTTTCCAGGCAACAGAAATTCCTGGCACATGCTAAGTGCTCTGCAAATGACTGAGCAGCAGAGACTGGAAGAGGAAGGACATAAGTAGAGAGGGATCTGACACTTGGGATCAGGGCATTGGATGGGTAGATAAAGCCTTGTATAAAAACTCCTCTTGGTAAATTCCTACCATCCTTCTGGGTAATTCTGCCTCAGTGTTGATGTCACTTGTTGCTATTCTATACTTCCTTGCTTTAGGGTGATCTGCCAAATGCCCTTCTGCTTCCATGACATTCTGTTCCTCATAAGCCCCAGCAGCTCCCATCATCTGTGTGGGTATACATATATTATGGATGGATGGCTAGATGGACGGATTATAGGCAGATCGATGATAGATACACATGAGTCAGAAAGTCAGAACTGATATTTAATAGGTTCTACCTGTCCCCTATAGGAACCTAATGGACACAGAGCCTGTTTCAGGCCTGAGGCCTGGATGGGCAATAGAGGGGTCTAACCTTTTCCTGCCATTGTGTTTTGGCTACAGTATCACAGCCACAGCTGCTAGCATTGGAGCTGCCGGCGTGCCCCAGGCTGGCCTGGTGACCATGGTGATCGTGCTGAGTGCTGTAGGCCTGCCTGCTGAGGATGTCACCCTCATCATCGCCGTGGACTGGCTCCTGTGAGTTGGAATAAATTCCCCTGCTTCTGTGGGCTGGGCAGGCAGCTTCCTAGCCATGCAGAATCTTCGCGGTGCGCTGCTTTTCCTCCTCACGTTGCCTAATGAGCCATCTGTTGCTGCTTTCACTTCCCTTTAGCCAAGCTGTCTGGTAGCATGCTTAAATTTAACCCTTCGGAACTTCAAGCAGGGATTCTCAAAAGCCAGTGACTCCATCAGTTCATGGTATGCCTGGTGACACTTAAGGTTAGGGGCTGGGTGTGGGACAAGATTAAATACGAGACAATATAGTGGATGAGTGAGACAAAACCCCAGAGCCAGACCCACATATCCCAGCCTCAAGTTAGCTTCATAAGCACAGCACCACCTGCCTTGAAATCCCAGCATCCTTCCAGCTATCTTGGAATCCTCTGGGTTGGTGACAAGAGCAAAGGTTTTAGCATGTGCCTGTGTTTAAATCCTCACCTGGTATCTTACTAGGTTTGGGATCTCGAACATGTTCCTTAACCCCTCTGAGGCCCAATTGCATTATTCATGAAATGGGAAAAAGTTATGCCTACCTCAGTGGCTTGTTGTAGGGACAAAATGGGTTCATTTGAGCCAGGTGTCTAGAAGTATGCCTGGCAGTTCAGTACATGCTCGGCATAGGGAAAGTTCTATTGCTGTGATGGCAATGCATCAAACCACTTAGCCCCAGACTGCTCTCTTGTATCTCATACACACACACACACACACACACACACACACACACACCCCATACACAGAACATCTGTGTGAGGATATGCCTCCTTGATGCCCTGAATTGAAAGTGGAGCAGCCTGGTCTCTGGCTTTAGTTTTGATACTCACATCTGCCTTCCAGTACCAAGGTGTGGCTCTGCTCCTGGGCATCAGAGTAAATATAGCTCCATATTGAACCTCACCTTAGAGACCAGGGTTGTACAGTCTATAAACAGCAGCTAGGTTTGGAGAAAGGGACACAGTCATGCTGTGGTGGTGCCAACCTTGTACCTGGCTTGGGAGCTGTGACTTCTGCACAGAAATGGGCATCTCAGGTAAAGGAAGAACCGGGCTGACTTTAACCCTGGCTTTTTCTAGAAGCAGTGACTTTCACTGCCAAGATGAGTGCAAGGTCCAAACTAAGGGATGCAGGGATGCTGGGCCAGTGCAGTCTGTGGCACGTCTCCTGTCAGAAGGGCATCCCCAGTGGCATGTGCAGTCACTGTTGGCCTTTCCTGTCTCACAGTGTCATCTCACAAGCATGCCCATGTTCACAGTTCTCTCACCAAGTCCTCGGTATCAAAATGGACACACCCTCTGGAGGCCTTCACAATAGGCTTTTCCTGCCACTGGCCTCTTCTCTGGCCTGCCTGGGATTAAGACAAATGTATTTGATGTATTGAAGAGGAATCCATTTCCCAGCTGGCCTATATTTTCTGGATGCCATGTTCTCCCATGTCTTTGGCAGGTTGTTCATCGAGTGACCTTATTTGGTAAAGACATGAGTACACCGGGGACACACCTGAGACTCACATACTCAGCACCGTCCACCCCAACCAAATATTCAGATTCCCTCCCCTTAGCCAAAAGAGAGCCCATAATACCAGGGCACCTAGGAAAGCCACAAAATAGAAGTCAGCTCAAAGACTTCTTGAGTTCTGAACTATCCTTAGTACCCTCCAAGTATCTCTGGAGACCCCATTCTTTTTCGGGAAGAAAGGAGGGAATTTCTGGAGACTGGAAGAGGTCGTTACTACTAGTGGGAGCATGGACCAAGTAGAGGCCATTTTCTCATTCTGTCCCTTTGGGAGCCACCTTCTGCCCCAGGCCAGTGAGGCATCTGGCGGGTCAGGGGACAGCATTCTGCATTGACTTAAATCTTAACCAGACGCATCAGAACCTTTCTTTCTCCATCCATCAGTGAAGGAAGATGAAACCTGAACTCATTCCTACTCTCCTGTCTCTTTCCCAGGGACCGGTTCAGGACCATGGTGAATGTTCTGGGTGACGCATTTGGGACCGGCATCGTGGAGAAACTCTCAAAGAAAGAGTTGGAGCAGATGGATGTTTCATCTGAAGTCAACATCGTGAACCCCTTTGCCTTGGAACCCACAATCCTCGACAATGAAGACTCCGATACCAAGAAGTCCTATGTCAATGGTGGCTTTGCAGTGGACAAATCCGACACCATCTCGTTTACCCAGACCTCGCAGTTCTAGAGGCCTAGCTTCCGATGACTGGGATGAGAACGGACATCTCCACAGGAGCCATCTCTTAGCAAACTCCGACATTAAGGAGTGAGAGAAACACTAGGAGTCAACTGTCCATTTAGTTTGATAAACAGACCTCCAGATTATTTTCTATATTTGGCTTTATAGCCTTTGTTCTCTGGGTTTGGGAATTGGGGGTGGGGTAGAATGAAAGAAAATTAAGAAAGTTGTGTTATTTGGATTTTCTAATTCTATAAAACAAAGTGTGGAAGCATATGAAGTAGTTAACTGTAGGAATTAGGTAATGGATATGGAAGAGAAATTGCTTTCTTGTGCATAGACCAGTGTTTGGGGGTTTTTAAACAATATTATTATTGGCTACAAATTTTTACTCAGGCTTTCTATTGGCGTGACTTCCTTTGCCTTCTCACTTTTTATAGATTATAATGCATCTCAACAGCCCCCCCACCCAGTTAAAGTGCCAAATTTTCCATTTGACCTCATCTTCAGTCACTCTCAAACTACTCTAACAAAAAAGAAAAGGATCAGCATAATTCTGCAATAATAGTTTAAGATAGTTGTAGGATTTAGGGGAAGGGAGAGGGTTTCTTATTCGATGTACTGTATTGGGATGCTGGTAGCTGTTTAGCCAGTGTACGGTATAGAACTATATGTATATGTGTGTATATTTATTATTTTCATATAATTTGCAAGACAGAGATCAGTAATGAACTATCAATGTGAAATAAGACACTCTCCTTGTACTTGAATCAAAACTGCAATTCCAAGCCGGGTGGTAGTGGCACACATCTTTAATCCCAGCACTCGGGAGGCAGAGGCAGGCAGATCTCTATGAGTTCAAGGCCAGCCTGGTCTACAAAGTGAGTTCCAGGACAGCCAGGACTGTTATACAGTGAAAACCTTTCTCAAAAAACCAACCAACTGCCGGGCAGTGGTGGCGCACGCCTTTAATCCCAGCACTTGGGAGGCAGAGCCAGGCGGATCTCTGTGAGTTCGAGGCCAGCCTGGGCTACCAAGTGAGTTCCAAGAAAAGGCGCAAAGCTACACAGAGAAACCCTGTCTCGAAAAACCAAAAAAAAAAAAAAAAAAAAAAAACCAACCAACTAACCAACCAACCAAACCCTGCAATTCCAGCTGAGGTGTACTTTGGAGCTCACAAGAACATTGTCAGGGAGCTCTGGGATGAGACATGAAGTTGCTTGGTTACTGCATTTTACCCCTAAAACAGAAATGTATTATGGTGGAACTCTATGGTGGCACAGCCAATCATTTCCAACTCCTGGGCTCAAGCTCTCTCCAGGGAGGAGTCCCTGTGGACACTGAGTAAATGCATTTGCAAAGGCAGCTCTCCCAAAGGCTGGATGTGCTCAGATCCAAACAGAAGGCTTCAAGGCTTCGCTCTTCAAGTACACTCAGGCCCACTTCACAGTGAAGGGCTGCCCCTTCACTGCCCTCGGTCCCCTCTGCCCATGAGGGCAGAGACAACAGTGGCAAGCCATCACCCAAGCTGTGTTTCAAAACAGGCTGCCTAAGTTGAACAAGCCACGTTGCAAGGTGACCAAGCTATCCCTATACTGTATTCTTTTTAATTTATTTTATACATTTTTTACTTTGGGTCTTTTTTTTTTTTTTGAGGCAGAGTATCTCTACATAGGACTGGCTATCATGGAACTCACTATGTAGACTAGGCTGGCCTCAAACTCACAGAGATCCTTCTGCCTCTGCCTCCCTAGTGCGGGGCTGGAAGGTGTGCACCACCATGCCCCGCTCTATACTGAATTCTTATAAAATAAAACCCAGGCCATGAGCTACTGGTGCCAGTGGTTCAGGGAAAATGTTTCCATTTCCTTCTGCCTCCTTAGGAAAGGATCATTCGGAGAATCTTGGCCTTGCTGCTTTGAGTCCTCTGTCTTTCTCCTGCTCATTTCTGAAGATGGCTTATTAAAAGTCTACACTTCTGCTCTCATCCTGTAAATAAAGCTCAACAAAAACTTGTACTTAACATGGAGACAGATTCTTAATGCCGCTGTGTTTCTGTAGTATCGTTAGCCACCTTACACCTGTGGTTTTATATTTAAGAAGCCAGAAACTGTGCCAAAGATTGCAGGGAGGTGAATGAGAGCTCAGTGTTGGCCACCTGCACCTGAAACCTACAAGAAATGGACACTGAATTACCGACTAAACATCACAGTGACCAATGACTCTGAAATCCAAAGTACAAATATCAGTATTCTTTATAGGAAGTAACTCGAAATGAAGTTGAATGAATACTTTATTTAGAAATGAATGGTTCTATCCCCCTTATCAGGTGGCTCTCATTAAGGACACTAGAGCCGTTCACAAATTCCTTGTAGCCAGCCACTTAACGCACTGTGTGTGCTGTTAACCGTGAAAAAGGACATGTTCCATTTCCTTCTCAATAAACATTTCTCCCACTCTTTGCCCCCTTATCTTCCTGCCTCTTATCTATTTTTTTATCTTATTTACCTGGGTAGGTGTGGAAAGGTGAAATGTGGGGCTAGTGTAAGAAGCTCTATGATTATTGGCTTTAGAACCAGAGACGGTTGGTTTGAAAACTCTTTATCACCCTGAGAATGAGAGGTCAGGACTTGAGGAAAACATACTGATCCTTCATGTTTACCGGAGAGGATTACAAGGCTGAAATACAGGCCCATTATGGACAGTTGAGCTCATATTTTGTGGCTGAAATGAAAATAGAATTTTGCTAGAAATTGCTATCATGGAAGGCAGCCATATCTCAAATAGCGTGATAATTTGGTTCACTGAAGGGCCAATCCTACCCTCTGAGATAGGACTACCAATTACAAGTGGCAGGATTTGAAGTACCCTTGAATGGGATGGCATGCTCCTACCTGAGCACCCCACTTATCAGCAAGTTCTGTAGAAGAGGACTCATTTGTGTGGTAGATATCAAAGGAACAGACAGTTTCCTGGGCCCCACTGAAGAAGGGCAGCATACAAATGCCAGTTGCTTTCTAGCCACAGGAATACAGGACAGAGTCTTAATTGCAATGTGGGGGTGGGGACATTCCCAATAACACAGCCCCTTAGAACAGTTTGGAACAGCTGGTACAGCTGAGCAGAGGCCCAGTACATGAGCTTAGCCTTCTCCCAAAAGAGAGTGTCATTACCAATACCAATGGAGGACTTTGATTTTTTGTAAGCTCTCTGGGTTATTAAAAACCCATCCTTGTTTTTAGGTCACCATGGGAAACAGTGTGACTTGCCGATCAGGAGAGGGGAGCAGAAGCCATAATGACTTTGCAGGTGATTAAGAACCTTCCCTCTGTGGCAAGAGGGAAGGGGTTCTGCACAGCGTTGGCGGAGCACTGATGATGATGTGCATCTGCACTGATAGTCTACAGTTAGTAATTGCTCAACAAGAAACCACACGAGACACACAACTGGTGGGTGCTGAGGGATAGTTGTACATTATGTGAAGATGTATTGCTGTGATTGATTTAATAAAGAGCTGAATGGCCAATAGCTAGGTAGGAGGTACAGGCAGGACTTCCTGATAGAGAGAGGATGTAGGAGGAGATAGTCTAGGCACACAGGAGATGCCAGGAGACATGGAGAGGAAACAGGAGGTGCAAGATGGAAGAGAGGCAATGCCATGATAGAACACAGATTAATATAAATGGGTAAATTTGAGTTATGAGAGCTAGTGGGACAAGCCTAAGCTATAGGCTAAGCTTTCATAATTAATAAGAAGTCGCCAAGCTTTCATAATTAAGAAGAAGTCTCTGTGTTGTTATTTGTGAGCTAGCTGGTGGGACAGAAAAAGGACTTGTTACAGGTGGGCATGCAACTCCAATACCCTCTCACCTTAGTGATCCTTTCCAGTAACCCAAGACACCTGCCCCCTCCAAAAAAATAAATAAATAAAGCTGGTACAAAAGGTTAAGACACTTTCCCAAGGTCACATAAGGAACAGAGGTGGTGGCATGTGATTCACTTTAACTCAAGTCTCAAGTGACCCAAACATTTCAAGACATTTAAGAATCACTGTAGAGATCTGCTTTACAGCATAATGCCTATAATTAAAAATATTGCATTGCAATACTTACAGTTTTGCTAAGGGTTTTGAGCATAGGAGAAGGGACGGAAGGAGGGAGGGAGGGGAGGAGGGAGGGAAGCTTGCTTTGGAGGTGGTGACAGGGATGATACTGTACAGATGATTATGTGAAATTATACACATTAAATAGTTTATTGCATGACAATCATGCCTCAATAAAGCGATTTAAATACATTAATGAGATCTTGCATTGAACATGTGCTGGCACAGAGCTAAATATTTTATATATATATATATATATATATATATATATATATAATCGTATTTGTTCTTTTTAACACTCCTATTGCCCTATTTTCCAGATGAGGAAATTGGCCTACCAAGTTACTTGCCCAAGTTCACCCAGCTAGGACATACACATGATTCCAAGTCTTTTCCTGACTAGCCAGTTAGTTACAGGGCTTCAAGATGCTGGCAAAGCCAAGGCGGGGGTACAGAAGAGCATCCAGTTTCTTCTTTCAAAGTTGTTTGTGCTTTCTCACATCACTTAATTTGCTCCAACCAAATTTCCTTATTCAGATTCTCCATCCCCATTTTTCCCATTCTGGCTATGGGTAATTAATGTATCTATGACCCTCCTTTCACCTAATGGCTTGGCCTCCCCTCCTTATGACTGACTTGCTATCATTAATATCATATCCTTCCACCCAAATCTCCTTTACGTCCTTCAATCAAAGCCCAGTTTTTCCAGAAGAGCTATCTGTTACAAAATTAGAGGCAGGCAGGCAGATACCGGAACAGAAGCTGGAGCCCACTTTTGCTCTTCCTCTTCCTCCACACTTTTTAAGCTGTTCATCAGTCTTCCCTTTGCCTTCGTTTCCTCCCCCTGGCTAAAGTCTTAATCCTCTGCAGTCTGCCTTCCACCCACACAGCTCTCCTAACCTCCAAGGTAACCAGTTCCCTGTTAGCAAAATCCAAGCAGGCATTTCCCCAGTCATCAGCCTCCGGTCTTCTGCAATACTCATCAACTTTGATTAGCCTGTGACCATCCTGCTCGTTGTCCCTCCCCTCCGCGTTTCCTGACACCTTCCTAAGCTACCCTCCTTCTGCTTTTTACTCAGGATCTCAGCTTCTGCCAAATGCATGGGGGCCATGAACACTGAGGAATGAGTGAACAAGTTCTGTATCATTCTGGTGTCTCTCCGTGCCATTCCACCAGAAAGCCGTCCATTACCACAACTATCACACTACACCGATGATTACCAAAACTATATGGAAACACAATGCAAGTGGCTGTCACCTGCCCTGGCCTCACAGCCAAACTTCAGATCCCATTTCCATCCTCTACTGAGCTTTTAAACTGAACTTACTCCACACCAACCTCAGAACCTTTTCCAGAAGTCTCTCCTGAACTGAGTAGTGTTTCCAGAACACAGCCATTTCCCCCTGTCTTAGGGTGGCAACGGTTCTTCCTGTCTTTGAATCCAACGGATCTGAGTTGTACACATGTTTACAGAGGTTAGTGCAATCATTTGAGTCCCTCTTCTGTGGGCTTCAGTGGGGAACCCCTGAGTGGACCATGTTGATTCTGAAGATGCTGCCCAGGATTTTGCCCTTTAGACATGACTAGTAGAACCTGAAAATCCTCTACAGCATATTTACAACAGTGAAACCTTCATAATGAGAATGAAATTCAAAAAGATTAAAAAAAAAAAAAAAAAAAGGCCAGGCCTCCAGTGCATGTAAACCCCTGTTCTGCCTCTCAGTACCCCTCACCAAGTATTCTGAGTATTCTAGCCACCCTGTTACAAAGAGACTATAAAAGAAATAGAAAAAAGTCCTTTTCCAAAAGACTTTATTTGACCTCCTAGTCGCCAAGTTCATCTTGCCTCACAGCTCACAAAGAACACAGAGTTAGGAAATGAAGGAGCCCGTGTCCTGAGATCGATCTATAGGGAGATTATTCTCCTGGCCAAGGCTTTGCTCCTTTTACTTATGCCACACTTGCCTTACAGCTCAGCCAAGGTCACCAGCCCCACTGCTTCCTTGGAGGATCTGGATCCTGGTCCCCACCACACACCCATAGACTAAATGAAACAGCACTTAAATGGGATGGCTGCCTCTTGATTTCCTCCCACCTCCAAGCTTGACCAGCCACTTCCAAACTCCAAGCAGCTCATTAGAAAGTACTTGACTCTCTCACCCCTAAACCTTAGTGTCCATGGCACAAAGTCTAAAGCCTTTAGGGCTCATATCTAAGACACTTTAGAAGATGCCCCCAGGGGACAATTCCTCCTCCTTACACAGGCCATTGTCTTCTTCAAATGCTTTACTTCTCCTAAATTTCTTTCTGACTTGTCCAATGTTTCTTACCTCCTGGAACACAGAGAAATAACAATATTTTGTCACATGATTAGATATTGCCTTTTACTAAGTTAATATGAGACCTGGCTAAAAAATAATGAAAGTGAGTTCTACAAGCCTCACTTAAATCAGTATCATTATTTTACACCACTAAGCACAGCCATGGAGTCTTCTGTTTTACATTTATATTTGGAGAATCTAAACATGTCATGGGAGACTGGAGGGAGCATTTGGTGGTCCATCTCTCTTCAGTCCCTAGCCACCATTATTTCAAACCTCCTGTGGTTGACGGTCACAAATCCATCCCAGAGTCTTAGCTTACAACACTTTCTGAGAGCCACACTTAGGACATCTTGTTCCTTAGTAAGGATAGAAACTCCAATAGGGACAGGCCATATCTTGCACCTAACATGACCTCTCCCTCCCCACAGGGTTGAGTACTGTACTGAGCACAGAGTAGGAACCTACTGACACTCAGTCAGTGAAAAGTGGGAGATCACCACAAGGCTATGGAAGGGGGTCGGTTGTCAGGGCTCGGACACGGCATGACTCAGTGCACAAAGGATGCCATCATATGCCCGAGTTGAACTTCCCTTACACAGAGCCAGATGATCTCACATGACGAGTTTCCACCATGAGTCAAGCACTTCCACCAATAGCACCTACCACTTACATTCTGTTCCTGGAAGTCATCCCACTAAAACAGGTGTGATGTTTATCTCCGATCAGAACATTGATCTGAGTGTCAGTTCCTGAAGGAAAAGGAACAGGGAGGCTTATTTTGAAGGGGGGAGGGGAGGAGAACTTCCTAAAAATGCTATTTACAAACACAACATTTCAAGGACAGGAAATAGCAGAAAGCCCTCTTGTTGACGCAAGAGGTGGCTAACCTCCTTCTTAAGACTGTCAGGAGACCTGAGTTACCCTGTCACTCTGGGATAAACGACGCGTTAGTTTTGTTAAGGCCCTCAGGTACAATCTCCAGGAATTGGGATCAATAAGGTTCATGCAACAACCAACCAAGAAGACACAGAAACCAACAGATAAACCATGTGGTTTGGAAATAAGACAGACCAGGGTTTGAAAACTGGCTCTGACATTTGGTTTTCTGAGCCTTGATGTCCTTAGCAAGAACATGGAAGGAAATGATGCTTTCCTTAAATGAGTCTAAGAGATGGAAATAATAATGGTAATACTTGATGGGTTCTGCTTTTGTGCTGGGCACTGATTTAACATGCTTTTTAAATGAGTCATCTGCATTTCAACTTTCTGAGGCAGATAGTATCACAACCTACATTTTAAATGCTTAATAAATGTTTAACTGAGGCATGAAGAGGTTGTATTATTTGGCTCTAAAACCAGGGGCTCAATCTTTACACCTAGGTTGATATGTGCTGGATACGGGCCCATGGCAAGAGATGCTAAGCAAAGGGATTAGTGGATGAGAGCAGATACGGGCATGCAAAGGGGAGGAAAGAACCTTCATCTGTGTTTATGGCTTCAGGTCCCACACACCCACCACCACCCCAAGGCGGATAATGAGGTCTCTAAGAAACTTGGCTCTCCAAATTACCCTGAAGTTGTCCTTTTCCTGGCCTCTTCCTATGGAAGAACAAAAGACAAATTATCCTCCACATCCACCCAGGCTACTCAGGACATACAACGACACACCTGTCTGGTTTAAAAACATTCCCAACCAATCCCAACCAAAGGCCTAAAAACCACCCACTCATATACCTCACAGATCATTGTCCAACTCTCTCACCTTCCAGCAAACTCTCTACATCGCCAGGTCTCCCTTCTGTCTCTTCAAATGCAGCGCTGGCCTTAGAACTCATGGCCTCGAGCTGATTAGGCAGGTACTCTGCCACTGAGCCATACCCCCAGCCTCCCTTTTCTTTGTTTGAAAGTCCTAATCTAGGTGTGCCTTGGGGCCAACAAGCTCCAGAATCCAGATCACTAATTCTGGGCCATCCATGGGAACCCCTCAATGTTGTCATTTCAGAGTTCTTGGTATTGTCAAGATGATGACAAGACACCACCCCACCACACACACACACACACACACACACACACACACACACACACACACACACACACACACACAACTCCTCAGTCATGTAAAGCAAACCGGGCACCATGTATGTTGTGTGGTCTTGTGGCTGGCACAGCCTTAACAAGAAGGCAAAGCTGTGTGGTGACCACAAAGCTACAGACTGTAACTGTGCCCCAGCAGGGGATCCTTGTGTATAGGTAAGGTGCTATTTGACTATGAGCTGCAGGGCATTTTAAAAATAAAGACAAGGGATAGGAAGATGGTGTTGGGTCTCAAACCTGGGACAAAGTGTAGATGTAACCAACCTTCTTATTAAATAAGAAACACAGAACCAATGCAAAGAAGAAAGCCAAGAGGTCAGAGCTAAGAGCTAAAACCTTCCCCTTCCTCCTGCGGTGGTCCTACCTCTCCGAACCAGAGCTACCCCTGTGTTAAAGTCTTTATGTAGAGTTCCTGTCCTGCCTTCTCATTGGTTGTAAACCCAACCACATGACCGCCTCCTCACGGCCTGTCTGTATAGGCCTCCAGGTTTTCCATGATTGATATTGATTGAAGGCATGTGTATCCAATAATGGCTGTATCCCTGAACACACAGAGACTTACCCAGCTCTGCCTACCAAGTGCTGGGATTACAAGAGTACGCCACCACTGCCCTGCTTTCCTATGGCTTGCTAATAGCTCTGACCCCCAGGCAACTTTATTTATTAACATACAAATAACATTTTAATACAAATAAAATATCACCATAACAAAGGGCTGAGGTGGCTATTTAACATATCAAAGTGGATCTGGCCACTAGGTTCTCCCAGTATCCCTCAGTTCCCAGCTGTAACAGGGATTGGCTGGCATTACCCCATCCCCTACCCTAAACTTCTCAAACCTAGGGACCGAGCAACCCTTCCCTCAACTGCTCTCCCTATATAATCCAACCATTTTGGTTACCTGGTCCTTTTGGTCTCCACTTTACCTTCCTGAAGTCTGGCTCTCTCCTCTCCCTTTTCCTCACATGGCCCAGCTCATGTTCACTCTGGACTCTCCCAGATGTCTCTGCCTCGGCTATCCTCTCCCTTTTATCTACAATAAACTTTCTCTTCCACCATACCTAAGAACAGTCATGTTTTTCCTTTCTTATTTTTTTACATCAGATGGCTCAGAGGGGTAATCATGCTTACTTACAAGCATGAGTACCTGAGTGCAAATCCACAGCACCCATCAAAATGATTTGCTTTGGGTTCAATGAGAGACACTGTCTCAAGACAATAATGTAGAAAGCAATAGAGGAAGACACTTGATGTCCTGCTCTGACTTCTGAGTGAGCACTCACACATGTGCAGAATGGCACACTCATATGTATGCACCATGTCATACACGTCACACATAAAGATAAGAAAATCAAGTAGGGTATTATCCCTGGAATAGTGGTGTTTGGGAGGCTGAGGCAGAAGGATTGTGAGTTCATGACCATCCTATATGACTGCGATACTCTGCTTCAAACAACTAAGAGCAGGGGATGTGGTAGAGTACTTGCCTACTATGAACAGGCCCTGTGGTCAGTCCCCAGAACTGTTAGAAAACTATAGACTTACAGAGATGTTCTTGGAGCACTCTAAAAGATAGAGAATCACAAGGAGGAAATCTCTGGGACTGGAACCACTCACTCTGTGAAGAGGTTCTGTCAAGGCATCCATCCTAAAAAAGGACCCATTTGGCATACATGTGAACTCATTTGGGCCCAATTCCCTACTTCTGAAGGTAAAACCAAGCGTAGGTTCTTCTCTCTGATAAAGTCTACCACCATAATTTGGGACCTCCAGACCCAGTGTGGAAGGAAGAGGGGTCCATACCAAGAGAGCAGAAGTCCCAGTTCTTCTCATTGTTAGCAGGACAAAGGAGAAAGGAGAGAAGGTCCCTAACAAGACCTGAAAACCTGCAAGTGGTATTGGAATGTGTCCCCTAATCAAGGAGGAGAAGGGTCCCATCTGGCAGTGCTAGAAGATTTGTGGGTCACAGCATGGACTGAAGGCATGTCCTCTCTGGATCACAGCAAGTCCCTTAAAGGAGCCTGGTTTGGGGTGTGGACACATTGAGAAGGGTCCCCAACATCCAGGGACTAAGTTGATCTCACACAGGTAATTCGTCAAGCTTCTCAAGCTAGCACCTAAAACCATTTTAGGTCAGATATTATCTTTCATGCTCTCCTTTTTATCTCTGTTATAATTCAAAGGCCTACAGGCTTCATCCAGTCTGGTGAGCAGAGAGAAATGGTGTCTCGGTACAGAGGCTATTCTTAGAAGGCCCAGGTTCAACAAAGGATGCTATCTCAGGAGCTTATACAAACCCAAACACCATGAAATACACTTGTAAAATGTAGTCCTGGATTTGTCAGATCTGCAACTGTGAGAGCCAAGGAAGGAATTATAAACCAAAACATGACAGGAATTCTTTTTCATTATGTTTAATGTTCTAGTCAATCTTCTATTGCTGTGAAGAGACACCATGACCAAGGCAACTCTTATAAAAGAAAACATTTAATATGGGGGCTTGCTTACAATTTCAGGAGTCATCAGGGTGGGAGCATCAACACACAATGAGCTGGAGCAGTGGCTGAGAGCTACAACCTGATTCACAGGCGAAGAGAGAGAGAGACACTGGGCTTGGCATGGGCTTTTGAAACCTCAAAGCCCACCTCCCCGTGACATGCTTCCTCCAACAAGGCCACGCCTCTTAGTCTTCCTAATCATTTCGAATAGTGCCACTCCCTGGTGACTAAGCATGTAAGATATGAGCCTACAGGGGCCATTTTTATCCAAACCACCACAATGATACAGTTCTCCTCATAGCAAACCAAACCCCCAAATGATCTGTGCTATCATAGACTCCAAAAGCAAGATACCTGAAGTTCAATCCTTGCCTCGATAGAGCTCCTCAAAGCTTAAATAGTTCCTTGAAAAATAAAAAATTAAAATAATTTAAAAAATAAGAAAGGGGTTTAACTTGTTGAGAAAAACATATAAAAATGAGCATTTATACTCTTATTAAATTAAGAAATCATGATTGAGCTCCCCTCCCCCCAAAAAAGGAACACCAGATGTGGTGATATATTGTGTACCCCAATATGTTGTGTACCCTAATAAATTTATCTAGGGATCAGAAGACAGAGCCAGCCACTAGATTAGACATAGAGGCCAGGCAGTGGTGGCACACACCCTTAATCCTGTCACTCAGGAGGCAGAGATTGTCTGGGTCTCAGTGAGTTCAAGGCCACACTGGAAACAGAGCCAGGCATGGTGACACACACCTTTAATCCCAGCATTTGAGATCTCGTGCCTTTGCTACCAAGTATTTGGGAAGCACACACCCTTTAATCCCAGCACTAGGAAGGAAGGAAGATGGCAGGGCACAGAAAGGTATATAAGGCCTGAGTAAACAGGAAGTCTCTCTGGAGGCTGAGGAGTTGATAAGGTAAGGTTGGTTGTGGCTTGTTCTGTTTCTCTGATCTTTCAGCTTTTACCCCAATGTGGTGGTATTTTACTTGTACTGAAATGTGATTTTAATTGTATGTTAATAAATAAAGTTGTCTGGGGGTCAGAGCTATGAGAGCCATAGCAAGTGCGTGGCGGCGGTGGCGCATGCCTTTAAGGACCTGGAGGGCGGTACATTCAGGCAGTGACGAGGCAGTCACATGTTTGGGTTTACAACCAATGAGAAGGCAGAACAGCTAGACTATATAAAGACACACACAGGAAGTAGGTCCCCTTTTTTCGGAGAGCTCTCTTGGCTGAAGAGGATCCCTGAATCAGGAAGGGTGAGGCTCTTAGCTCTGACCTCTTGGCTTTCTTCTCTGAATCAGCTCTGTGTTTCTTATTTAATAAGACCGTTGGTTACATCTACACCCCAATATCTGGCTCTGGGTTTTTTATTAACAAGACCATTTACCAATTCGTGTTACAACCAGAGGCAGAGATGGCTGAGCAGTTAAGAGCACTTGATGTCTCTGCAGAGGACCCAAGTTTGATTCCTAGTTCTCATCTTTAGCAGCTCACAACTGCCAGAAACTCCAGCTCCAGGGGGATCAGACACCTGTGACCACAGCAGGCACCTGCACTCATGTGCACACAGCCACATATAGATACACAATTAGGAAAAATAAGTGTTTTTTAAAATCAATACTGAATGTGTCGACATATATTTTAACAACTGAAATTGATGCAAACTCATCAGGGCTGACTTGTACCACGCAGGTGGCCCTCTTCTGAGAACTAGACTGAAACCTTATCATGACACAGTTTTAGTTTTAGTAGCTTCTATTTCTGATGACTACTTAAAATTCACATCAAAATAACAAACTGACCTGTTACAGAGACCCTGTGACCATTTAAAAGGACACATAACTTAGACTTCCAAAGGTGGAATGTACCCTTACTTGGCTGAAATTCTGAGAGGACAAATGAGTTTTGTTTCAGGAGTATCTTTTTTTGTTTGTTTTAATATTTATTTATTCCTAATTTACCTTTGAAAACCAATTTCTTATGGCAAAAAGAAAAGCAAAACCAAACTCAGCTCCCACATGTCTTAACTAAAAGGTTTTTAGTGTACTTTTGGGGATGGTAGGACAAGACTCCATAAACTAGGTATAGCTTATAAACAAAAGAAAGTTGTTTCTCATAGTTCTAGAGGCCAAGATGTCCAAGGTCAAGGTGCTAGCCTATTTGAAATCTGGTAAAGCCTTTGCTTTGGTTCACCTTATTGTGTGTGTCCTCGTGTGTTAGGAGGGGTAACGTTCTGTGGCCCATTTTACAGCCTCATCCATGGGGCTCTACCCTCAACTCCCGCAAAGCTCCATTTCCTAATGGTATCACCTTTTGAGTTAGGATTTCAAGGAGACCCGAGCATTCAGACTGCAGCAGATGAGGTAGAAGAGGATGCAAAAGTAGTAAGAGGGCAAAAGGAAGACAGCATGCCTACAGCCCCCTTCCAGCTTCTTCCTCTTCCTGTTCCCCTAGACTGCCTAAGCATTTCATAAGGGCTCCTACAGATGAACTCGAAGTCTGGTTGGGTGGCACGCTTTGTGGAATCTATTTACTTAAAGCAGTTCTCTTAGGAAAATGCTTGTGGAACATTTTGTTTCTGATCTATATTTATTAAGAATTTTTGGGAGGAGGCGAAAGGGAGAGGGAATGATTTAAACTACAGAAATTAGCTCCTCTCGAAAATTCATCTTAGAAAGTTAAGCTTTAAAATGAGACCTGAACTCTTCAGATGTTAATATTCTTTTTCTTGGGCTTTAAGGGACCTGATACCATTTAAGCCTAACACACAAAAAAGTGAAACACAAAAATCAGATTTATCAAAAAGAGACAATCAGGTTGCAGGTCTTTTACCAGTTAATTTATCCAGTTGTTTTCATAAATATCCAACTCCCTGGCTCATGTAAGACATTTTTGTTACAATTTTTTATATATTTTTGTAATGAGTCTTTCTCTGTCCTGCCAGCCAGCTCCAAATAATGACATGGAGACTCATTATTAATTATCAAAGTTCAGTTCAGCTTATAGCTTAGGCTTTTTTTTTTTTTTTTGGTTTTTTTGAGACAGGTTTCTCTGTGTAGTTTTGGTTCCTGTCCTGGATCTCGCTCTGTAGACCAGGCTGGCCTTGAACTCACAGAGATCCACCTGGCTCTGCCTCCTGAGTGCTATGTTTTACCTTTCATTCTGTACGTCTGACTCCCTCCATGTCTCATTGGCATCTCCCTGCACCTTGATTTTCTCCTCCAACTTCTTCTCTGCCCGGAAGTCCTGCCTATACCTCCATCTAGCTATTGGTCATTCAACTCTTTTTTTTTAAACTAATCACAGTAATATGTTTTCACATGGTGTACAAATATCCCACAATATATTTTTACACAGTGTATAAATATCCCACAACATATTTCGTTACAATTTTTAAAAATGCTTCCCAAATGGAAAAGCCCCTGACACACTTCTATTATGTTTCCTATTTTTCATGCTCAAAACAAATACAAATTCTCCACGTGACAAGTGTGAATGAGAGCCCCAAACAGAATTTAATCAACAATTCTTACCTTGGGCACAAAAGACTGAGTATAAGGTTTGATTTAATGGGGGATAGGCACCAGTAACTCAACCCAGACCACAAAGAATGCTGTTCACTTCTCCAGGGATGTGTCAATGTCTCGATGACAGAGGCCTTCATCCTTCTTCAGGTTTCATTCATGTTCCCCTGTGAAATTTAAAGATCACATCTACATGTGGTATTAAGAAAAAGGTGAATAATTGACATGGCCAAGGAGAAAAACATGAACTATCCTAACCTCAGATCCAGCTCAGGCTCAGAATTGCCTGTGCTCTGAGCCCCTTCTCCTACGTCCCTGGTACAGAATAAGGCAAAGCATTTGCCCTCTTTGTATAATATAGCAGAGGGATGGCACTCAGAGCATCTACCTCCCAGTGCTATGTGTGGAGTTAGTGAAGTTCTTGGTTCATGGCAAATGTGCCCAGACTTACTGGATGTTATTAAGTGGGAGTGTTAAAGACATTCCAATCTGCTGTGAACAATTGTTGTGCATGAAAGGGTGTCAAGTTTGGAACTGGGTGATGGGGTGGGTCTTCTGAATTCCCCGTTCTTACAAAACTCAAGTCTACTTAGAGATCTCAGTCTTAAAAGTGCATCTAATATCCTAACAAGCAACTTCCTGTAGCATTCCCATCACTGGGCACCACCGGGATTAAACTGGTGTGGAATAATAGAGCATGGGCTCTAGGTTCTCAGAGCTCCTCCAATGATCCTAAGGCTCTGGAGGCCTGGAGGCCTGAGAATTTGCTGACCACCTGTGTGGTCTGTTGGATGCTGACAGGGGCTTCCAGGATGAAGACAGATCATGTATCATTATCCATTACATCAGTCCCCCACAAACCACCAAATGACAAGTCCCTCAGATGCTGGTGCCCAAATCTAGATGGAAATGCTGACAGAAGGAGCTTGGGCTTTGCCAGATGAGGTTGCTTTACTTTCTGCTGCAGTGGTAACAGGTGTAAAGGATCCTCTAGGACAGGTGAGACTAAAACCTATGGCCACTACTGTCCCAGGAGCTGGGGCTACAGCCTATGCCCAGATCAGAAACCAGCACTTTAAACCAGCAATTTAACTTTTCTCTTCGCTTGTTGTTATTCTTGAGTTTTACAAAAAGCAGGAGACTGCAATTTCCCTGTCTAAGGAAATTCTGATGAGTTCCTTGACTACCATCTACTTAAAAGCCTGACAGTAAGGCTGGTTCCTGCTCTCTCCCCCTGAGGGCTAGCTCCAGATAAAATCTGGGAGCAGATGGGGAGACTGTAAGCATTCAGTGGGCTAGAGCTGGTGTATGTGGTCAGCACCCCTCACCTAATGAGGGCCTAAAACTGCCTGGGGGACTGGGACCATCAGAGACAGCCTTTGGAGCCCACTCCCGTAGAGGATTCTCAGTCATGACACTAGACATGGGCATCAGCTCACAAAAGGCCAGAACATAGGAATAATCATATCTTCAAGAGAACTTGGGGTACCTGGAAGGTTTATGGGATTTTCCTATTTGTTCAGGGGGGCTGTGTTCATTTGGTAGGAAATTTTATCATTTTCAAGTATGCCAGAGATAATCCACCTATACCCCAAGTCCCATGTCCTGACACATCAGAATAATGATACATCAATGTCTTATACTTCCTCTACCCACCTTCTTCCCATTCCATATCTACCAAGACAGACAATGGGACTCCCTGTTTGGGATTCAAAATTTCTTGATATTTTTGTGACTAAGGGTCTTTTTCATTTTTTTTCTGGGAAGTTGAGACCACAAGGAAGCCAGGACAGGGAAGGTAGACCACAGTGGAAGCTGATGTGGAGCCTCAGAGGAGCTAGGTTGGGGTCTGTCAATGGAGTCCTTGGGAAAGTAGAGCAGGGACACATAGTGGAGACTGAGGATGCTCTGCTGTGTGTCAAGGAGTCCCCTACTCTGGAATCTGACTTCCCAACCTCAGGGGTAGCTCCAGTCTCCTCTCACAAGTCCTTGACCTTGCTTTTCCCCAGGTCTACTGGGTCACTCATAATAAATGCCCAGGTACCTTCAGAGTCACCTAGTCTGTCTTATTTGGATTTGTTTCTTTCAACCTGGAGACCCTTCCCTACTTCTGTCCTTTGGGATCCTTGACTTACTAGGGATCCAGGTTCAAAAAGTAACATTAATCAAAGGAAGAAAGGCCACTTCTAGGAAAGGCCTATGAACATCTTCCAAACCTTGTGTGGGGACTCCTGTTAGTAAAGCAACCCATTTCCCAAGACAGAATTGGCAATAGGGGTGGGCGTCTATCTTCTTTCTTCCTAGCCCCTCACATCAGTGTCCAGATATCAGCTTTGCGAAACTTGATTTTACCCACATAGAAACTTAATGTAATTTGGCATTTGGTAACTGTGTGTGCTATGTTCCGTGTGACAGCCTAATGAAGGCATCGAGACTCTTGCAATGAGAGATTAAGTTCCCTAGAATCCACTCTTTAATCTACCAAGCAGAACGTTCTAAAGGAAAGCCTACGGAATGGGCAATTATCAAGATGTCCTCCTTCCTCTGTGCTGAAGGCAGAGTCCTGCTAGCGCCCCGGGCAAGGCTGAAGCATAAGTGACCCTCAAGGCAGACTTTCGGGTGCCTGACTAGGGAAGTCTAGCAGGTCATCCTATTCTCCTTCATTGCTTAAAAAGGCCTGCTCCTTTCTGATGACCATAAGATACGACACGATTCCTCCTAGAGGGAAACATTCAAAGGCAGCCCCCGTCCCCACACTGCCTGGGTGCCAAAGGGCTGCCATTTACAGACACACCTACTCCTTGGCATTCTTTTGTCATACTCTAGCTTTGGAAAGGCAACAGAATATGGCAATTCAGGGCATGGTCTCTGAGGTCTACTGTGCTAAGGAGTCCCATCAATCATAATCTTGGCTCTACCACTGACTAGCCACATCACTTTGAGCAAGGTATCTGACCTCTCTGTACCCCAGTCTCCCTACCTTAAAAATATAACTTAGTAGAAGCACCCTTCTCCTGGAGTTGTAAGAACTAAACATTAATTCGCTTAGTTCGTGGGATGTACTTGGCCAGCTCTTGACCCTATGTAGGGAATACATAAGGAAAAGTGAAGAGCTGTCTGCATGATGGCAGAACCCAAGTTCCCCAGCCTCACTCCCATCCACAGAAATCCAGCTTACGTCTGTCCACAGGCAAGCATGCCACTTTTGAAGAAAACACAATTATTATTTGGGGCATAGATTAAGGAGGAAAACTAAGAAATGATGACCTGCCACTCTATGGCCAAATACCTCACCACACATCAACATTCTAGACCCACCTCAGCATCTCCTTCAGCATTCACACAGAAGCACACCTGCTAGTGACCACTCTGGAGGGTCAACAGATGTAAGGACAGTAGGAGGGTGAGTGTGGGAAGGCGGGGCCTTGCTCAGGACCCCAGCCCAAGATGAGATGGCCCATCATACTACACTCCTAGCCAGAATCTCAGACAACCTCATCCATTACTCTGAGACTGGCTGCAGAATCTACAGCTAGTCCTATTGAGACCTAACTATCTGAGCTTTCTCACAGGACCCCACAGAGATACCATCGCTCCCTAAACAGCAGGAAGCAATTCTAAGAAAAGAATGCCCCCTCTCCCAAAGGTTTCATTTTTCTCTGGGTTATGGATAATGGTTACAGGGTTGGGGGTGGAACAATAAAAATTAGACTATTCTCCTTAAGAAAAGAAAAAGGGGAATGGATAGGTATAGGATATTAAGGTAGATTATTGTATATATTAGTAAACTAATTTAGTAAAATATCAGCCTTAGATAATTTGCACACTTATGGATTTTTGTAAACTGTTTTATATTCCTATTTAAGGTAATTTGTATATTAATACAAATATAAAACTATATTTGTTATATTGTACATATATTTCTACTCCTATTTGAAATATCTTGTATAGTGATACATAAAATTATATTTGTTATATTTCTACCTCTGTTTAAGATATTTTGTATATTGATACATATTCAGGATTGTTGTCATATTACATATTGCACTATACATTTCTACCTCTGTTTAGGACATTTTATGTAGTGTCACAATTTTGAGGTCATTGTCCTTTTATGATACATTTGTTTATAGACTGTTTACCTTGTTTTAGTGAAGCCTTAGTCCTTAGGTTATTTAGGTAGATAAATAAGACTTACAGTTTTATAGTCACCCATGCTTGTCATTTCTACAGTTATGTTAGTTAGGTTCTCCAGATTTACAGATACATAGGTCAGATGGATAGGTAATCTTCAAACACTTCATAGACCTAGAGAATATGACATTTAAATAACTTAGATTCTGTTGATGTGAGACACATTGCTCCTGGCAGCACCAATCTGATTCCGAGAGAATGTTGGGCTTCTGAGACATTTCCATTTGGAAGTTTATCTTCTTCTTGATGCATAATGGTCTGCTGGGCAAAGAACTGCCCTTGCCTCAACTGCTGATAGCACGAATGCTGTCCTTTCTGGATGAGCCAGGACACAAGGAAAAGCAACTACTGAACTCTGCCAAGACAGGGTAAGATGGTCTTTCAAAATTCCTGCTTCTTGCAATGGTCTGTCAGATATTCTAGGCCTGTAGCTAAATTGGACGCCCCAATGATGCTGAGAAACTTTAAGTGACTGTCCAGGCTGCCAGCTGTCTCTGTCTATTCTCGAAAGATTTTCAAAAATTGCTTGTATGCATTTCCCATTTCTCAGGTATTATTATATTCCTTCTCAGGTCTTTGATGGGGTTGAAGACTAATAGTTACAGTTACAATCTTCTCATATCATAGCTAGAACATATTAAGTACTAGATTCAGATTCTTCAGGATAGGACAGCTTTTGGAATAATCTCTGTAACATTCCATTTACCTATCTATGTTCTGGACATCTCTAGATTTTAGTATATGTCTCTTATTTGATGTTGTTCTTGTTGGTTGTAATTTCATTTTATTTAGGTCATTACCCTTTATTTCTCCTGGACAATACTTAATAATCATTCCTATTGTATATAGTTTTGTGTTAGGTTAGAACTTTCTTATTTAGACAAAAGGGGGAGATGGAGACGTAATGGGTAGCTGTTCTAGCTATGACCTTGAAGTACTGCCCCTAGTGAGTACACTTGCCTATGACCTTGAAGTACATACCCCTGGGGCATGGCTGCTTAGGACTCTTAAGACCTGGGATGCATGTACAAGGCTCTCTCTTCGCTCCCTCGTGGTTTTGGATGCTGGGACAGACCAGGCAGATCTCAGGCAGAAAAACAGCGTGGGACCGTGCCTCACCTTTCCAGGATTGTGCAACAAATTCCTCTATTCTGTCTTGTGCATTTTCTTTCCCAAATAAATTCCTTTGCCCTTAAAGCAGACTCTGTGATTTCTCCCATTAGGGTTTCCTTGTACTGAGCTAAATGCTGCGTTTCTGTTTGGGTCTGGTATAAAAGACTGCTTTTTAAACAGTAGTAATACATTGTGTGTACTTTGGAAAGAAACAGGCAGGGTACTAAAGGGTTTGTGTCAGAAGAGCAGGGAGAGTCAATGGAGAGTCACAGACTTAAGGACGAACTGAAGGGACTCCATTTGCGTCAGGAAACAGTAGTCCAGGTGGCATGCAGGGGGCCCAAGGCAGGGGAAAAGAAGCTCAAGTGTCCTCTACATAAGAGGGAGGGAGGTGTGGGACAAGGGGATGTGACAACTGGCGCTGGCCCCTGCTATCCATGTTCCACTGAGGGAGGGGTAGATTCGGGGAGGGGGATTGGGGAGTTCTCAGAGCTCCTCCCCACCTCCTCCACATTTCCTAGCTACTTTGGTGACAGTGGGAGACAGACGGGAACTGTTTTTAGCAAACCACAATAACAGACAGTACTTAAGCTGCTTACTTACATGAGATAGTGGTTAAAAATATCTCTGTTCACGCAGTGGGTATTTCTTCAGGGGGTAGCTTGGTCTTTCATTGATATACTTTGTTTCAGAGATGAAATTTTCCTACAATAAAACACACCCAGCAATGGCATTACCCAGGACGTAATAAAGATTGGTAACACCTAGACATGTGACCTTTGGTGTGAAGAGGTCCATGCAGCCCCTATGTGTCATGCAAATGGGATCTACAGTGTGTGTGTGTGTGTGTGTGTGTGTGTGTGTGTGTGTGTGTGTGTGTGTGTGTGTTTCCTTCCCCTTTCTCCATCTTAAGGAGATTTGTTTCCTTTGGGTTGGGAAATAAGATTAAGCCAGAGCTCTTCAGAGAGGAAGAAAAGAAATTGACTACTCCCATGGGTACCATGACCAATACCCATTTACAAATGAATGTCATCCTGCCAGCCTGGTATAAGCTAGACTGTGTGGCATGATCAGCTCCATAAACTGAGGGACCATTGGACACTTCACTGGAATGCCTTTAAATTCAGGTCAAGATCACCAAGCTTTGTGTCTGCAGGAAACATCAAGTACCCTCCCTAAGCTCACAGAAAACATCAAACAGCCAAAAACACCTTATTAAACTACTGAAGCCATTTCTTCCAGATTGTGGCCCGACATGGGCCCCCACATAAATGTTTTCCTTCTCTGTGTTGGGACTGCTGTGAACAGAGAGTGAGAGCATGCCTGGTCCATTGGACTGCTCCCAGGACCTCTGCCTGATGAATGCTGTGCCAAATGAACTGCTCACATTAACCTCCTCCGTCCTTTCCTCTGGAAACCTGCCCTGACTCCCAGCCACACAGATACCACACAGTCAGGCTCAGAACGCCATGTTCTCTCCTGGGCGCGTGTTGCAACTTTACATTGTTTCTATGGTTACTTTAGGAATATCTGTTTCCCTCACTGGACTTCGAATTCCAATTCCCACATTTACCAGCAAGGATCTAGTTTCACCAGAACCCCTGACCTTTGGGTGAGCTCTGTGGGATGGCAGAAGGCTGCATACCCTCTCATGGATCTTCTTCCACGTGGACTGAGAACAAGGCTGGAACCTGCCCAACAGAATAAACGGAGTGGAGCATTATGCAGCAACTAAAAAGGATGCTGACTTAGAGTACTTAAAAATATGGGTTGAAACATAACTACAAGCTAAAATGTCAGTGTGCAAAATGGTACACCTATGATTTTAATGCCGGCATCAAAACTCCATGTGAGGGATGTGGGAATATGTTCCACTAACGTGGTTAAAACGAGCCATTCCTCTTTGGACATTACTGGTTTTCAGGGAATTTGCTAATGAGAAAATCCAACTTTTACAACCCCAAACTGTATTTTTAAAACTTAATCTCAATTGTTTTCTGCCACAGACTTTATTTTACATCTCATCTGGTTTAGGCCACTCAGAACCCAAACTTCAGCACAAGCCAGATAATGTCTTCCTTCCAGCTCCTCACACACAGAACTTTCTCTCTTCCACAGATTGCTCCGTGTAGAACACGACAGCCTTCCCACCCAAGTCCCTAGTTTCATTGACTCCCTACTACTCTTCTGGGATGAACTCCACTGCTGATTTCTCAAGGAGCCCTTCCCAAGTCCCACCCCCCTCCCAGCCCCCAGGTCCGCTGACCCATACGTTGTTCATTTCACAATGCTACTGACAGTGGACACTGGCCCCGTCTGGTTAATGTGTCCACTAGACTGAGACCCGGGTTGAGACTCTGGTTAATATCTCATCCCAGACTTAAGTGTGGTGGCACATACCTGTAATCCTAGCCCTAGGGAGACTGAGGCAGAAGGATCGTGAGTTTGAGGGTAGCCTGGGCTATACAACAGAACCCTGTCTCAAAGAGACAAAAGTAAAACTCCTCTCAGGTCACAGTAGGTATTAAATACCACAGTGGGCTTTAAAGAATATTGTTTGAGGGGCTGGAGTGAGGGGTGACTCAGTAGTTAAGAGCATTTGCTGCTCTTACTGAAGACCTAGGTTCAGTTCCCAGCACCCACATCTTCTGCCTCACAACTACCTTTAACTCCAGTGCCAGGGGATCCACTTCTGGTCTCCATGGAAACATGCACACACATGATGCACAGATATACACTCAAGCCCACAAAATAAATCTTAAAAAAAAAATAACATTGTTTGAGTAGTGAATTCATTCATTCTGTGGTGAGTATCAAATCCTAAATTCTGAGGATCACTAAGCTAAAGGTGTACACAGAAATTTGATGATGAAAAGTGCATATGCGGTTTCCTTAAAATGTTCAAAGAATTTTAACAATTCAGGTAAAATCATCCTCTCTGGTAATGTGTGAGAAACACTAGGATGGCACAAGTATTTTAGATGTTAACAAGGATTGCCGTCAAGAAGAGAACCATCTATTAGCAGACTATAGAAGGCGAGTGGTTGTTATGACCACTATGCCAATGACCCCCCTGCAGCTCCTCCTGTCTGGAGTTCCTGCCCATTGATCTCCCATTACACCTTTCTCTGGAGCAAGAACTGAGGCTCAAATAGAGCTGAGTCCACACATCTATTACCAACCCAGGAAAACAAGGGGCGGCAAAGGGCTGTACGCTCAATGCACTGCTGTGTTTCAGAAAACATCATTCATGTATTTCATATGTAATTTCTGCTCTTCCTAAGAATCTTATGAGAAATACACCAAGTCTTTAAAAATAACTACCAGCTGGACACATAGGCCTTAAAAATACCATAGTTGCATGCAAGGACTAGAGCTGTATCATCCCAGCCTTCTCTGTAATTCTTACATACAAGAGAAGAATGGGATTTGTGTGGTGACGGCAGGCGACATGCTGCAGAAGGGGGAGATAGGAAGCGGGGCTCATCTCTCTTTCCTTTGGGACTACATTCTTCACTCTGGCATTCAAAAGGCTTTGTACATCTTCCACTAAAATCTTGGGCTTGAAATCTGACAATGAAGTCTACCATATGACCCAGCAATACCACTCCTTGGTAGAGGCTCAAAGGACTTGGTATCCTACCCACAGAAACTTGCTTGGCAATGCTTATTTCTACCCTGTTTGCAATAGCTAGAAAATGGAAGAAAGCTAAATATCCTTCAAGAGATGAATGGATGGGGAAAAATGTGCATATATGCACTATGGAATGCTAGTCAGTTGTAAAGAAAAATGGAATCGTGAAATTTTCAGGTAAGTGGGTGGAACTAGAAAAGATTATATTGAATGAGGTAACCTGGACCCAAACAAATGTCTGTCACATGTTCTTTCTTATTTGGGGCTAGGTTCTCCAGATGTGAGCACACAACATGAGTAACCACAGAAACCAGTAAATTATAGAGGCACTGTGGGAGGTGGGAGATTGAGAGAGGAACAGAATACAAGTGATTTGAAGGGGGAAAGAGAAAAATGAGAAGTGGGGATAAGTAACGCCAAGGTTGTCTGATAAAGGCTCAAGGAATCATAAGATTTTATATTTACCTAAAATTATACACAATATATGTAAGTGCGTGCGTGCGTGCGTGCGTGCGTGCGTGCGTGTGTGTGTGTGTGTGTGTGTGTGTGTGTGTGTATCTTAAATGAAGTTGTGCCGCTTAGGTTTACAATGCTCCCTACAAGAACAATATACTAACAGTACCAGGTATGAGAAACCTCCTTTTGAGTGGTTGGTCAAGGTAGTCCAAATGACTCCCCAAACAATATAGGTTACTGATGTTGCCCCGGGATACCTCTCAATGGTTGATATTAAGACCCTATTGCTGAAGACATTGAACATTTAGGACACAGGACCTGTATTATTTGAACTGGATCTAATCTGAAAGCATCCTCCCTGCATCTACTTTACATAGTATCATAAAGTACTACGCAAGCTACCAAGGGGGGAAGCAATTACTAGTCCCACCCAGCTGTAACACCTATGAACCCCACAATGACCAGCAAAGCAAGATATCCATAAGGTGCAATAGTGGCTCTCCATGTTGGCAGCAACCAACAGCTGTTCCAGTGTCTACTCAACAGGAAAGAAATCACGCCTCGTACTGGAAACCTGGCAACTACCTGGGCTAATGAGGTTATAAATTTTAAAAGAGAATCTACTATTACCACTTTGCTAGACCAGTGTAATTCTTCAACTGCATTCTAAATCTTAACCTTATAAACACAGGTAAGTCTAGCTATCACCCCTTGTCAAAGAGGCTTCTCCTTACAGCAAATAGATAGCACTGCAGAAAACCACAACTGGACACGTTGAAAAGATCAATGGGTTGTGGGAAGCCCAGCCCCAGTGGCTACATCTGTAGCGGAGCTCCTATATCTATGGCTCAGGGTCAGTTAGGAAGAGGGTGGAAAGCTTAAAAGAGCCAGACTATGAGGAAGTCTGCTGCGTGGCTGCCTCTCCTAGAAACTGTTGTATAAACAGGATCTGAACAATGGGAAATATCAATAGACATGTTAACATGAAAGGGGTAAAAATCTCACAGGGCCCCACCCTTAAACAAAAAACTATAGGCAACTGGAGACTGCTGAGAGAGGGAAAATTCACCTCTTTCAGGGATGAGCCCCATGACTCAATACAACGTGGTCAGCCCTGAAACAATATGTGTGTGAAATATTATATATATATATATAATATATATATATATATTAGACTGGTCAGGTTATATCTATATATCTATCTGTGTGTGCTTGTGTATGTGTGTGTGTGTGTGTGTGTGTGTGTGTGTGTGTGTGTGTGTGTGTAACAATAAAAAAAGAGAGGCTATCAACTTGAGAGTGGGGAGGACACAGAAGGGGTTGGATGGAGAAAAAGGAAAAGAGAAAGTTACATTTAAAAATGTAAAGTGTTAATTTTTTAAATTGGGCTGACTACAGAATGGGAGAAATTTTTTTTGCCAACAATACATCAAACAGGTGATTACATACATAAAGAACTGCCAAAATGTATCATAAAAAAACAAAGCCTGCAGTTAATAAATGGACTGGTAAACTGAATACAGTTCTCAAAGAAACACAAATGGACAATAAATAATTGAGAAAAATGTTCAGCATCCTTAGCTATCAGGGAAATGCAAAAAACTGCTTTGAGAGCCCATCCTAGCATTTCATAAGAATATATGCTGGCAAGGACGAGGGGAAGGAGGAGCTCCTCATTTACTGACAGTGAGAGCGTAAGCTGACGCAGCCATTGGGGAAATCAGTGCAAAGTTTCTGAAAAATAAAAATTAAAGTAGAGCTACCATATGATCCTACCATCCCACTCCTGGACATGTATCAGGAGGTTTCTAAGTCAACATACCATAGAGATATCTGCACATCCATGGTCACTGCTGTGGTGTTCACAATAGCTAGGATATAGGATCAGCCTATACGCCCATCGATAGACAAATGGATAAAGTCAATGTGATAATATTCACAACGGGATTTTATTCTACCATAAAGAAAACAAATGCTGACATCTGAAGGAAAATGGATGGAACTGGAAATCATTATGTCAAGCAAACAAAGTCAGATCCACAAAGACAGATACTGTATGTTTTCTCTCATGTAAATCATAAAACTAGAAAGGGAACTAACTACTACATTGAATAGTTTTATGTCAACTTGGCATAAGCTATAGTCGGCTGAGAGGAGGGAACTTCAATTAAGAAAATGTATCAGGCCGGGCGGTGGTGGCGCACGCCTTTAATCCCAGCACTCGGGAGGCAGAGCCAGGCGGATCTCTGTGAGTTCGAGGCCAGCCTGGGCTACCAAGTGAGTCCCAGGAAAGGCGCAAAGCTACACAGAGAAACCCTGTCTCGAAAAACTGAAAAAAAAAAAAAATGTATCAGGTTGCAGGCATGCCTGTAAATCACTTTCTTAATTAGTGATCAATGGGGAAGGGCCCAGCCTATTGTGGGTGGTGTCATCCCTGGGCTGGTGGTCCTGGGTTCTATAAAAAATGCAGGCTGAGCAGGCCAGTAAGCAGCACTTCTCCATGACATCTGCATCAGCTCCTGCCTCCAGGTCCCTGCCCTGCTTGAGTTCCTGTCCTGACTAAGCCCTTTCCTCCCCAAGCTGCTTTGGTCATAGTGTTTTTCATCACAGCGATAAAACTAACTAGGACAGAAATCATGTAAGAAGAGACCATGAGGTGGTAGATGCTGGGAGGAGGGTAATGGCGTACATGTGACCTGAGAGCAGGGAGGCTGTCGCAGGGTAAGGAAGGGAATCGGCAAGGAGTTAGAGGGGTTAGGGAAGGGTGGGAGTTTGGTATAAAAAGAACAAAATACATATGAAATGTCATAATGAGATAATTATTTTGTATATTATCTTGGGCCCCCTCATTCCTACAAGCTGAGCATTGACGGCCTCCAGGGTGAAGCTAAAAGAGTCTCAAGAGATGTTTCTTATGCACCCTTGTGAGGGGCTGGTATTGTTGGCCTTGCTGTCAAAGAGCAGTCAAAGTGGAAAGAACAAGGCACTATAGGCACCAAGGTGCCAGCATCTGCCTTGGTGAATGGCTGAACTTGTCAAGGGGGCAATGGCATCTCCCCAAAGCATACAAAAGGCAAAGTCATAAACTTCCACACTGGCTCCCACACCGACTCCCACACCAGCTCCCACATTGACTCCCACACTGGCTCCCACACTGGCTCCCACACCGGCTCCCACACCAACTCCCACACCGGCTCCCACACTGGCTCCCACACGGGCTTCCACACCGACTCCCACACCGACTCCCACACCGGCTCCCACACCGGCTCCCACACCGGCTCCCACACCGGCTCCCACACCGGCTCCCACACTGACTCCCACACTGGCCACTTCAGTTTCCATTCCCCCATCAGTGAAGGAAGGCCTTCTTCTCCCCACATGCCTGCCAGCATACATCGTCATATGAAAACAGCTTTCTTTTCTTTCTTTTTCTTTTTACAAGACAAGATTTCTTCGTGTAGGCCTGACTGCCCTGGACAACTCTGTAGACCAGGCTGGCCTCAAACTCAGAGATCCACCTGCTTCTGCCTCTTGAGTGCTAGGATTAAAGGTGTTTACCACCACTGCCTGGTGAAAACAGGTTTCTTTAAACGATGGCATTTAAGGCCACTCCTCTAATGGAAAGGTGACCAACTAACTTTGCTTACCCAGGACTCAGGGCTTTCTCACAATGCAGGACTTGGAAGCTAGCCATAGGCCTACTGGACGGCCTTTCTGTGGTCACAGTTCTTTGTCATTGTGGATCATGGCCTTACTTACACACTTTGTAGTCCAGTTTGGTCCAAAGTCACCTGTTCAGAATGACTGGACACGCTGAGTTTGCTGCCTCATCTGAGATGACTGAATGCTCCCTCGCCTTCCTTATGCTCCCTGCCCTGCCTCCATTGACTGAACATTCTGGAGCTCTCCTGTCTTTTAAATCTCAACTGCACTTCCATAATTATCCTCAGATTCTGGAGGCCTAGGACCTAAGAGTTCCACAAATTCATCTTACTGCTGGAAGCTAACAATACCCTGTCTTCTCATCTCCCATCCCTAACCTCCACTGACTCCATCATGAACCAGTCTTCTTCAGGGTCCACAGGAAACATCACCTCCTCTACCAAACTGTGAGAACCATTCTCACTTATTCTCCAAAAGTTCCCATAAAGTGCTGCCTTGTAGAAATCAGCGTGAATGTGTGTGTGTGTGTGTGTGTGTGTGTGTGTGTGTGCGCATGTGTGCATGTGTGCACGAGTATGCACATGTATTTTTATTCTGTGCTATGTCGCAAGTTGTCAGAGAACAGGAGAAATGTGTTACATGTTAGTCTCCATTCAGGATTTGGTAAACAGATTATCTGTCTTAGCACTTTCTCACGCACTCAACTCCAATCCCAGTTGATTGTTTGACTCTGTAAGCATGAGGCAATTCTTTCATCAGCCAGAACTGAGGATCACCTGGCCAGTTACATGAAGACACGCACCAGAGGGGAGCCGAATGGATGTATAAACGCATATGCTGTCTAACACATTCAGACGCAGCAGGGCCCTCCCTCTGCACTCCCTCCTGTGGGAATTAACTTCTATCTGCTCTGTCCTCCCCTGCAGTTGGACTACTGTTGAGGGCATACCATGATCTATGTCATGGTAAGCAGGATGGGGTCATGTCTACCTTCTTGTCTAGTTTGTGAGCCCCTGGAAAGTAGAGATGTGTCCTGACCAGGTATAATACAAATAGTTGCCTGAGAATTTCACATGTACTTTAGTGTCAGGAAAGCCTGCTGTGCTAATCCTGGGAGTTAGGAAGGTGTCACTAAACAAAGCACATGGACAAAAGCTTTGGGCCACCTCAGTTCCTGCAGCAGAAAAGCCCTGTGGCGGAAAGCAGATGGGCTTTTGATTATCACAGTCATCTTCGTGGTAAAACAGGAATGCTGCTGAGATCACATATCTCTTAGAGACACGTGTCACTAGGGCCCACATCGCTAGGTCACCACCAGTCCCCTCTAGGTCTTTGAATACTGTATAGCGCTCTCCTTGACAGCCTGGAAAAGGCACAAACCAGGGGGAAAGGAGACTAGGCCCAAGGCAGAAGTAACTGACTCTGACCATCTCACCCTGGTGTTTTTCAATCTATTACACCATTTCTAATAAGGTGAATAATCAAGAATTGGCATTACATTATTATCTTCTTAATATATTTTATGTAATTTCCCCATTCTGTTCTATCATTTCTGAAAAAACACTAAAAAATGGATTGTTACTTTCTTATGCTACCTCAGACTCAAGTATGATTCCTGTTAGATTTCCAGACCTATTTAGGTTCTGGGGCTGTTTAAAGTGGGTCCCTTTGTGTGAAGCAATTGTGTTTTCTGGGGAAGGGAATGTCTAACTCTCATCACTAACAATGTAGAGAAAAGCCGACTGGCATGTCTTTCTTTCAAAGCTGCTTTCTGAGTTTTTTCAGTGGCCTTTCCATGAAGTAAAGGTAACCAACCCCTCTGCTGATTTGCTTGAGTGACAGTGTTCCCCAAAACATAGGACTTTGGCTAACCCTGGCAGACCTAAGCAAACCAACTGGCAAATATAGACCCCTGCTTCACCTCTTTGGACAGAGTCTTGTTGTGGAATATTATTTTAGGATGTGTTACATTCGTTTATGCTGTGGAGCATTTGTTTAATGATGCAAAGATGTGTTGCACTCTTTTATCTTGCATTTATTTAACTCTGTGAAGCTGTGTTACTGTGCCTGTCTAAAACACCTGATTGATCTATTAAAGAGCTGAATGGCTGCCAGGCGGTGGTGGCGCACGCCTTTAATCCCAGCACTCAGGAGGCAGAGGCAAGTGGATCTCTGTGAGTTCGAGGCCAGTCTGGTCTACAAAGAGAGTTCCAGGAAAGGCGCAAAGCTACACAGAGAAACCCTGTCTCGAAAAACCAAAAAAAAAAAAAGAGCTGAGTGGCCAATGGCAAGGCAGAAGAAAGGATAAGCAGGGCTGGCAGGCAGAGAGAAGAAATAGGAGGAGAAAGCTGGGAGAAGGAGATGGAGGAGCATGAAAAGGAGAGAGGATATCAGGGGCAAGGCATCCAGCTACACAGCAAACCATGGAGTAAGAAGTAAAAAAAGGATTATAGAATAGAGAAAGATTACAGCTCAGAGGCAAAAGGTAGTCGGGATAATTTAAGAAAAGCTGGCTAGAAACAAGCCAAAGCTGGGCATTCATAAGAAAGAATAAGTTTCTGTGTATTTATTTGGGAGCTGGGTGGCCGGCACCCCCAAAGAGCAAAGAGTAAAGAGAAAAAAACAACAACAGAGTCTTAGGCAAATGTTTCTCACTACTTGCAGTAATGTAAACAAACCAAGAAACTATGTCTATGCAAATAAGATATGCACATTAATGATGTCTATTGTTGATTGGTGGAACATAGGTGATTTTCCCCAACTCCTTTTTGTTGGCGTACAGCTTCTAAAATGTCTAGTGAACCCCTTTATATTGTAAAACTAAAACCTTCAGTTTTAAAATTTATGACAGAAAAAAATGGGTATGTGTACATGTGTGCATTCGTGCATTCATGTGTGTGTGTGTGTACGTATGTGCAGCAAAGGAAGATGTTGGGTGCCCCCTGCCACCTACCCTCTGCCTTATTCCCTTGAGACAGGTTCTCTCCCTGAAGCTCAAGCTCTGTCTTCAACCCAGCCCTACCCAACTCTCCTCCAGCCGTGGGGCCACACGGGGCTTTCTGATGTGGGTGCTGGGCTTCTGAACTCAGGCCTTCACGCTTGTGCAGCAAGCGTGAACTTTCACTCACTGGGTCGTCTCCCTGACTGTTTTTCCATTGTTTGTGGTGATGGCTTGCTTGGGTTTTTCTTTCTGGCAGTACTGGGGATCGAACCTTGGGCCTCATGTGTGCTACAGCACTAAACCTAAACCAGGCACCCTTAACCCCTTTCCCGAGGAAAGAGAAGAAGCTAACGGTGCTTTGTGCAGGTTTGAAAAGGGATAATCACATTCACCTGCTGAATATTCCAAACAAACAAACTGACGGGGCATGCAGACTTTCTTCCTAACAGAGCACAGGCCTCATCGGGCAAGGGGATGGGTAGCAGCTGCTGACCTTTCTTGGAGAAGAGGCTGATCCAGAGGGCTGGTAGATCTGGAATGCTGGGGGGTGGAAACTGGAGTTTTTGGTTGGAAATCAGCATCCCCTTGGTGACAGGGTGAGGGTTTTCTGGACTTCCTTGGATCTAAAGGTGGCGGTGGCTGGCTCCTTAAAACAATTCGCTCATCTGGCTCTCTGGTAACCTGAGTGACAACATGAATTATTCTTCACTTGTAGTTTTGGTTTTGATTTGCCTAATACAGAGCTAGGGGCAGGCTAGGACAAGGAGGAGAAATTGAGGTAAGATAACAGGGCATGTGGCCAGGGATCTCCCACAAATAAAAGAGTGGGCTGTGGTACAGAAGCCTCAGGAATGTGGGCAAGGGGGACATGTCCAGAAGGCTCTGTGTTTGGCAGTATTAATAACACAGTAAACTCATACTTAGAACTTTGATTTCTGAGGACACTGACTTTTTTTGGTTCCGGGAAAGATCAAATTTTTAAACTAAGTGTGTCTGTCCTGTACATATGCAGTGCAGTATATACTTAATTTCCTTCACATACATCTCTGTTTGTAGCATACAAGTTGGAGCTTTCAGTGGGGCAAACTGGTCACGCTCGAGGTCGTGATCACCACCTCACTGTTATAAAGGTATCTGATTAGAGACAGGCCACATGAGTGATAAAGTAATAATCGGCCTCTAGAAACCCTTCCTTGGTGACTGGCCACACAAATGAAGGAAGGGGAGCAAGGCAATGAACCCCAGAGGGAAGCAGACCGAGGGGCCTGAGCACCGCTCTGCACAAATCCCACCTAAGCTACGCCGCCCTAACATGAGCAGCACAGCCAGGAACATATTCTCCCCACCAACTGCACAGGGCTCGACATAGACACTGGAAATAGATCATTTTACAGATGCTACTGCTAAAATTACCTTGATGTTTGGTGCAAGGCTGTCAAGAGAAGATGCTAGAAGGAAAAGGAACAGGCGTGTGAGGAACTCGTTGTTACCAGTTAGCCATAAAACTGCTGATACATTCATCCCATAGAAGAACCAAGGTTTTAGACAATAAATAACTAATAAAGGAACTACAATGCTGCCTTGTGAAATCCAAGGTCACAACTGAGTCTCCCTTGGGGCACTGCAAGTCTACGGGAACTCTCTGTCTTCCTGGGGTCCACAGTCAGGTTGTATTTTCAGTGACAGCGCAGCTGGGAAGGGGGTGAGGGGACAAACATGCCATGGAGCAGAAGTTCAAGACCCTTACAACCTTAAAGAGAACACATGTTTGCCCAGATGCCCAGAGCCTCGAAGAAGACAACATGGATTTAATATAACGTTCCCATGCTCTGCCGCAGGAGTCCTGGTTGGTTTCTGGAGATCTAGTAACATAGGAGCTCTGGAGTATACTTGTCTAAGGTAAACATGAATGTGAAATCGAGCCAATGAATATATAAGACCACAGAGAAACACAATGCATCCAAACCACAAATCATTGTCATTACCCTGAATGTCTACCAGAGCTAAGCAGATCTCATACTAGTGAGTGGCAAGGATGACTAGAAAGCAGAGTAATAGCCTAACATGTCCAAGGCCCTAATTCCAAAACAAAATAAAATATTGCAGTACTAAAATTTAATTTCAAAGGTAATAAATATACATGGAGAACACTGAAATGCAACTGGCTTTTTTCCCTCGAGTTTAATGACAAAACGTTCTCCGGACTCCTCATGCCCTTACACCACCAAATGCAATAAGGAAGAAAGGAGATTTTTAAAGCCTGACACCTTCCCTATCTGGGCACACTCATCTGTGTGTGCATAGTCCTGGGAAACCCACCACCACCACCACCACCCTAAGCTGGACAAGGAATCATCAATGCTAAGTCCCTGGCAGCTCCAGCTACAAACCCCTCCCGAGGCCTAGGAACTTCACTTGGGCACTCGCTTGCGGTGAGGTTGGAACTGAATGGACATCTGTTCTGCTTTTGACCACTTGTTTCTCAAGGGGCAATCCATGGCCCAGCAGCACGAGGACCACCTGGAAGCTTGTGAGGAAAGGACCCAGGCCCCACCCCAGCGCTTTATCAAGACGTGTAGCTCAAGGAGAGCCCCAGCTGGCTCAGAGGCCCACAGAGTCTTGAGGCATGGTTTTATTCTCCCATAGATCTGGAGGTGGCCTGAGCATGGGGATGGCCCAAAAAACACAGGGAATACAGCTTGGTGTACGACTTGCACTCACACCATAACCTCGGGAAATTTCTTCCTCACTCGCCAGGATCAAGAAACGGCAAAGACCAAGGCAAGCGTGGTGTATGAGCGCCATCAGAGGCAAGCCAGCATCAGCTCCACTGCCTTCAGGAAAGGACATTTGCTGTTGCTTGCTTTCACTGTGACAGGGAAGGTGACGCCGCTTTGATGTGCTGTGCCAGTGACTTTTCTATTGCAGTGCTTAAATTAAATGTCAGAGGTGATGAAGCACTTTCTCCTCCCAACCCCACACTCTGTCCGGGGCAGCTATTATCCGTCACTCCGTCTGGCCTGAGTTATCACGAAACAGTCTGCAGCCCTTTAAAAGAACAAACCATTAAGCCGAACACAGAGAACTCCACTGTTTGGACATCACAAGTCTAGTCCCACCGTGAGGTAACAGAAGGGACCATCACCAGCCCTGTCTAGACTTAGAACTCCAGGCAAGCTGCCATGACCTTTACTAGGGACGGTCTCACACATTTCAGTCCTGAGGCAAAACCCTCCCAGTATGCCCCAACACCAACACTGTCAATTAGTAACATACAGTCCAGGAACCTCAAAGGGGGTGAGGGGTCCCTTCAGAACCTTTCATGAAACATCCAAATTAAAGCCTGCATTCATAATTACACGATTTATTCCTCTCATTCTCATTCTCCCACATGGTAACAAAAGTCACCACAGCACATCATAACGTTATTATTCTGACTTTTCCAATGGTATATTACATTTTACAATTACTCGCTTTCAATTTCTAGCATGCTAAATGAGGCTAGCCATCAACCACGTCAATCAAAGCCCTTTAAAGTCCTCAATATCATTTGCAAATGGAGCCTGAAATCGATAGCCCCGAAGAAGATGGCTGCATTAGCCTAACTGCTTCAGAGAGCTGGCTCCCTCCTCACAACATGGAATCTGGTCAGCCAGGGTCAGGACACTTTCAGTCTCTTGCTCCTTTGCCCTCAGAAAAACGGTACAACAAACAACGTATTTGCTAATTGTCAGCGATGCCTTTGCAAGGAGTTCACACCAGGAGAAGCTGCTGTCTGCTTTGCCAGCCTAGCCACGGGCTGTAGCCACATGTGGTCAGTCACACCATCCAGTTCAGTCCCCTTCAAGTACTGAGGGAAACTGGAAAATAAACTGCTTCTTAGTTGCCTCTGCCCCATGGGAATGCCTCGGCTGGTGAGACCTTGAGAATCAGGTCCACAGTTTGCAATGTAACCTGTAGTTCCTCAGAGTGAAGGATGCTAAGTGGGATGCATTCATTAAGGGAATATTAGTAACGAGAAACTCAAGTACCTTTTCTCATTGGAAAAGCAAAGTCCAAAAACTTAGATTTTCTTCTGGACTTCTGTAAACGTGTCAAACTGTTTTCACCAAAGGGGTTTCCACTGTCCACCTGAAAGTGAAAGAAATATGTTAGACTCTACCTACAGTAGCTTGGATTACCTTTTCATTGCCCATAATGCCTCCTACGCCCCCCCCCCATTCAGAGAGAAGCTTGGAAAATAACCTAAATCACAGTCTCCAAATATGGTACGTTATACCCCACGAAGAAACCATCCACTATCTCCACTGAGGCTAGATAGGAGGGTGTGTGTTAAATGTGAGCATAGAGAACTGAAGATAGATAAAGACGGCACCAAGCTTCTGCCTCCTGAGTGCTGGGACTGAAGGTGTGAGATGCCATATGTGGCTCAGAATCCTTTAGACTGCACAGAGTATGCCAAGCACAAGAGATTGACCATTCAGACTCCCTTCCAATCTACCATCTAGATTCTTTTAAAACAAAACAGAGCCCAGCAGTGGTGGCACACACCTATAATCCCAGCAGCACTCCAGAGGCAGGCAGATTGAGGTTCAAGGCCAACCTGGTCTACAGATCAAAATAGTCAGGGCTACACAGAGTTGTCTCAAAAAACCAAAAAACAAGCCACAAAAATTCACAATAGCAGTAACCACTCTCTTCCTTAAAATGACAGACCATATTTCCTAAGACAAATGGGTCAACATGATCTGCAGAAGCAGGTCAAAAGGCTTGAAAAAGAGATTCTTCTACAGCATAAGTTTTGAAATAGACTTTGGAATTTTTATTTATTTATTTTTCAGTAAAGCAGGCTACAATGCTAGCTGGATGTCAAGAAATAGACTGATTGTGTTTCCTAATTGAAAACTTTTTAATGTGTCTGAGTATTTTGTTTGCATGTATGTCCATGTACTACATGGGTGCTGGTGCCCACAGAGGCCAGAAGAAGGCATCAGATCCCCTGGAACTGGAGTTACAAATAGGAATTGCCGTGTGGATGCTGGGAATTGAACCTGGGTCCTCTGGAAGAACAGCCAATGCTTGAGCTGCTGAGCCACCTCTCCAAATACAAGTTCTCTAAATGTTAATGCTTCCATCAAGGATGTCTCACATATCATCAGAAAATCTGGCTAATCAAGTACGTAAGACCACATATAAAAGAGCTTAGCATATAGTAAAAACTGTAATAATTTGTTAAACAATAGAAATGTACATTTTCACTCCCTAAGAAAGCTAACCATTTTTAAAAAAGATTAATTACTCCACAGTGACAGGGACTGCTTTTTATAAGCATGTGTGTGGAACAGAATAAGTCACACTGTCCAAAAGATACAAGCTATCAACACTTCTACAGAACCACATTCAATGGCAGCTTGCTACATTTTTGCCAGGCATCTTTACCAAGACCAAAAAAAAGAAAACAGCCATTTAGCATTTCTGTGTCTATGAATGGTTCTTATTTGTAGATTAGGTAGTCGGTCTTTCCTAGCCAGAAAGCTCAATTCTACCTACAAACAAACTACACACAACCATCTCAACAGTACCTTGACTGAGATTTATGCCACCTCACACCTCACATCAAATGCACGATCATAATTTCTCATAACCTTAAGTGAAAATATCAACAATTTATCCATCACTAACATTCTGAAGAAAGTCACCTACTGGAAGGTGTGGTAGAGCTCACAAAAAGTATGAAATAACAGAAAATGTTAATTTGAATGTGTGTGTGTATATATGTATGTATATATATATATATATATATATATATATATATATATTATAATTACTGCTGTGGAATGTTCTGTAAGGCAAATGTGTTGCTGATTGGTCAATAAATAAATCACTGATTGGCCAGTGGCCAGGCAGGAAGTATAGGCAGGGCAAGGAGGAGAATAAAGCTGGGAAGTGGAAGGCTGAGTAGGAGAGAGACACTGCCAGCCGCCAAGATGAGAAACAGCATGTGAAGATGCCAGTAAGCCACGAGCCACATGGCAAGGTATAGATTAACGGAAATGGATTAATTTAAGCTGTAAGAACAGTTAGCAAGAAGCCTGCCACGGCCATACAGTTTGTAATCAATATAAGTCTCTGTGTTTACTTGGTCAGGTCTGAGCGGCTGTGGGACTGGCAGGTGAGAGAGATTTGTCCTGACTGTGGGCCAGGCAGGAAAACTCTAACTACAAATGGCGCCCAGCGTGGTGGCAAGAGTTTCCACCTAAAACCTGAGAAAAGATTCTAAAACGGAGCTAAAAACAGCTTCCTAATTGTCTCTCTCAAATGAGTGGCAGCTGCCGGTTTGAGCTACTTGTGGGTTCCTAGCGTGTGCAGTATGGCGGGAATGAGGCCTCTGCAAGTAGCACATTAAGCTGCATGGTGGATTTAGCCTTTGCTAGTACAAAACAAAAAAAGAGGTTTCTGGGCTACACACTGCTTGGATAAAAGCATAGACCCACAATAGCTCCCAGAGCTGGCAGTAAACCACTGCCATGTTGGGAAGCTGAGGTGGGCGGAGCCAGCAGCCACAGCTGCTGCAGTTTAAAGCAATAGATTCACAATAAGACAGATTCAGATGTAATAGTTTACAACGTGTGTAAAATATACATAGGCTTGAAAGACAAAAAAGGTGATATATACAGTTATATAAACAAATACATAGTTTTAAAAAATAATGTCTTTAAAGAGACAGTAAAATTAATATAAAAATAAGCCACGTGAAGATGAATATTACACAGAGAATCTGGATTGTGTTGTCTTTGGGATTTTTAACTGTAGAAAAACATTTGATTGTAAAAGCTGTTGAGTTATGCCAAAATGTATATTTTAAAGGTAACTTGACTTCAAAATTTGGATATAAGGATATGTTGTTTTGGAAAAGAGTCTCTGCTTTTGTTCCCACAGAAAGCCAAAGGCTATGGATTTGTTCCAGATTAAGATACATCAGGTTTGACCAGCCAAGACCCCCTGAAAGGTCTCCATTGACACCATGGCCCAGATGGTCCAACATCCAGAATGGTTTGAAGGCAACTGGCTCAGATAATACAGCCTCATGGGCTATTCCATAATCCTAAAATTTTCTTTGTGTCCCCATAAGATACAGCACCCCCCTCCAGCAGGAAGTAGTAAGAGAAGCTATGCCCAAATTCCCTAATTATATGTAATTTTACTTTGTTAAGGTCAAAACCTTCCTTTTTGAAAAAAAAAAGAAAAGGGGAAGTGCTGTGGTATGTTCTGTATGGCAAATGTGTTGCTGATTAGTCAATAAATAAATCTCTGATTGGCCAGTGGCCAGGCAGGAAGTGTAGGCGGGACAAGGAGGAGAATAAAGCTGGGAAGTGGAAGGCTGAGTCAGAGAGACACTGCCAGCTAGCATGATGACAAACAGCATATGAAGATGCCGGTAAGGCACGAGCCATGTGGCAAGGTATAGATTAATGGAAATGGATTAATTTAAGCTGTAAGAACAGTTAGCAAAAAGCCTGCCACGGCCATACAGTTTGTAACCAATATAAGTCTCTGTGTTTACTTGGTTGGGTCTGAGTGGCTGTGGGACTGGCAGGTGAGAGAGATTTGTCCTGACTGTGGGCCAGGCAGGAAAACTCTAGCTACAAATTACAGCTTTATGGAAAACATAAAGGCTATGAATACAAAAACTGAAGAAATTAATCAAATTAATGATTTGTGGCTGGTGTGTGTGTAACTCAGTAGCTCAGATTTTCCTGGAACATGCTATGTAGCCCAGGCTAGCCTCAAACTCATGGTAATCCTCCTGCTTTAGTCTCCCAAGTGCTGGGATTGCAAGGGCACATCACCACACCTGATTTCAGATATTCTTTTTATTGCACTGATGAGCCAATGTGTAAACTTATCTTGAATGTCTCTATCTTACAATACAGTAATTAAAAACAAATTTTCAAGACAGCTACGAGGACTACAGTGACTAACCGTGCCCATTGCTCCTGGTGACTGAGATTCAGATGGCTCTTTGAGTGAGGCCCATCATTGCTTTTTCCCCACTGACATCCTGTCCCCGCTCAGCATTTGGCTACTGAGCACCAATCTCATTGAGAAAGTGAAAACTGTTTCTATAAAGGGATGGAGCTTCAACTTTGAATTGATGCACCTTATCAGCCAGCCTTTGACTGACATCTTCAATTCCTGGCAGCTCACAGACTCCTCTGAGTAATGGTGAGTTATTGTCTATAGACGTCACACTCTATTAATAATGTTCAAAAATTAAAAATGGGGTGATTGGCATCTACTGAGTAAGTCCCCTCTGAGATGCCTTTATAGACATTTCCCAACAGTGACAGTGGAAAATGAACATCATTTAATGACAGTTATTACTCATGTGGATTCCCTCTCTAGGTACTACTGCCCATTTGTTTGCACGGCTCAACACTTCTTTTCCCACTCGCGTCTGCATCCCCACCGCAGCAAGTTACCCTGAAAAATCACTTGAAGCTCACATGTCTAACCACAAACGGAGGCTTTCTTTCTCCAGGGAGCCTGAAGCTTTTCCCAAGGTTCAGCTGAGTCGGCTGGTGCAGGTAGAGACGTCTGGGGGGAGATGGGGAGGTTACCCGGGACTGTGTGCCTTTGGGAAATCGGTCAGGACTTTTCTCCTTGGGCTTTGCTTTTCTGTTATTTGTGGGAGCTCTTTGCCCATGTGATTTCGATAAAAGTCTTTGTGATTTACACTTCTCTTCCTGAAAGTGGAAAACAAACAAACAGAAATTTGCTGTTTCGTTTTGTTAGGCCTTGAACATGCTTGGAAGGCACTCTGCCTGTGAGCTACACCTCCAGCCAAAAATATTCTTTTGATTGGAAAAAAAAAAAGATGATAATTCAGTCAAGGATATAATATAATTAATTGAACATTTAAAAACTAAGAAGACTGCCTCAGATTTATAGAACAAACCTTTAGAGAAAGCATTTATTTACTTAATCTACCATTTAGTTGAACATAATTAGTATGTATAACTTACTAAAATCACATATTTTAAGTAATAACAGTGGGGTTTATTTGTATTAGGGCAAGGTTTGAGAACAGCAGATAGGCACAGGCATACTCCAAGCACAGGCAGATTATTGACACGGAGAAGCATGAATGGCATATATAGGTGGTTCCAACCATTTCACTTCAAAGAATTTATTAAAAGTAATCAAGCATTGCTATGTGTGCAGCAGCAATGGCAGCATTTCTAAAAGTTTCGGGAGGGTGTTGTTTTTTCGAGTCAGGGTTTGACCAGGTAGTCTAGGCTGCCATTCCGCAGTAGCAAGCTCCCACCTCAGGAGTCCAAAGGGCTACCATTGCAGATATGTGTCACCCCAACCAGCTTAAAGTGGCTTTAAAAATTAAAAACTAGCTGTCTCCGAGAATAAACGATCACCTTAGCTGAAATCCCATCTCAGCTCTCTGACACTGTAGCAGGGACTCTGGGAGGCCGCTGTTTGCTCCTCCAGCTGTTCTGTTTGGTGACGGGCCTGGGGTGGGGGTGGGGCAGGGGGCTAATGGTCCATGTTCTGTTTGACGCCATCACTTACCGTTCACTTGAACACCACCACTCTGAATACATGGCAAACATACTCCAGCAGGACAGGCTGAACAAATGGTTTGAACACAGAAATCAAACCTAGCAAAAACTGCGCAGGTTACTGTCTGTTCAGCTTCCTTTAAAGTCGGCAAACGGAGTTCAGGCTAGCAGTCTTTAAATTGGGGCAGGGGGATATTGTCATTTATGTCGTTGCCCTCTTAATGATACTTACAAAAAATCTGTTTTTATGCGGGAACACACATTCTCGGATGGCTGTCCTTGTAGAAAACTCTAGTTTGGGAGCAATGCCCTAAAAAATAAGGCAGCATAAAGAGAATCAAATAAAATGACTGGAAACAAACCTTTGCCCATCTCATCTTCACCAGAAATCCACTAAGAACCCAAATGTCCTTCTGCACTCAGCATAATCAGAATACATTTTTAAAAATACACAAAAGAAGAAGACCTGAACACGTATATGATGTGTATGCTCTAGTAAGCCATGGCCTAAGTCAACTTGGAATATACACTCATACTCCTAACACAACCCTGTGAAGCGGGTCCTAATAAAATTGTCATTTGGACATGAATGAGCTCAGACACTTTCAGTAGCCTGCCAGGCTGGCAGCCGCAGCGCTGGTAATTGGACCTAGGCATCTGGGTTCCAGTGTGCACACTGTTAGCCACTCTATCTGAACCAGGAGCATGAACATGAGATTAGTGAGGTGGAGGACAGGAAGAGGTCTCCTTCCCTACCTACTTGCCTGGGAAAACTTGTCTTTCGTCTATCAAACAGGTACATTCATCAGGCCTATTCTCAAATTGTTCTAGTAACTACTATTTGGGCGTGATGTTTTATCATCTAAATGACTGTTGAGGTATAAAGTGAAGTAAAAACACAATGTATGTGAATACAAAAGAAAAATCAATCTAATTGTTAGTCTAACTGATAAGACACAGTAAGCAGGTGAATGGTTTGCCTGACCTATACAGGCCATTCATTCTCATTTTCTACAATAGTAATAAAAACCAAGAAGAGTGAACTGAAATAAATCCAAGAGAATTAGCATTGTGTTTGTGGCTAAGAGTATAAACCCTGAAGCACAAGAATTCCTGTTCTCTGAGCCTAAGCACATTTCTGCTTCACAACCTGTCCCCCTCCAGATGATGGGGAGGAACAGCAGTCCCTCCCCAGGACGGACAGAGCAAGACAGTCCATGCTGTGAGCTCCACACATACCATGTACATCAGCTGCTCCTGGAGCTCTGGCAAGTGGCTCGATTCTGATTTGTGAAATATTTCAGAGGAATGGAACCACTCTATCTTTCTGTCTATTCATCAAATTGTTCGTAGAATCTGATAAACTCAGTTACAAGAACTGATTCTGATGCGTGAAGGTATTTCAGTGCATTTTAAAGCTTTTTCCTCATAATCATTTCCATTTGTGAATGGATACAAATGCACCTACATACAGGTTAGTCTTTCTATACATGCCCAGAACATTCAACATGTGACACTTGAGGAAAAACAAGTGGTTCCCCTTATTTTGATTTTGAAGATGACTCTTATTTAACTGGGAAGTTGAGGAAAGCAAAGTGAATATGAGAGTTTCCTCAGGCTGGTTCCCGTGAACTCTTCCTCCCTTTTAGATTCTGAAGGGCAACATGCCAATAACTTCAAGTAATAAAGGTGAGCACCTCACAGGTACCATGGACTTAAATGATACATGAAGATGTTGTCGTCAAAAGGAAAAAGTGGTTTTAGGAATATTTGCCAGACCCTGAAAGATAACAAGGAGGAGGGCTTAAAGTTAAAGGTATTCGGAATTCTGAGTAGGACAACTTTTGATGAATGTTTGTGTTTGGCCAATCAGTCATCAGAAGCATTGAAGGAACAATCACACCCTCTGAAGAGAACTCTCAGCAGGGTGGGGACAGTAACACGTCACTACATGATTAACAGCAATTCACAGGGCAGAGACAGAAAGCTTAAGTATCAATTATGCTTTTTATAATTCACAAGAGTGTGGCCCTTAAAGAGGAGGTCATCCAAAAGACATAAAAATCCACTAAAAACAGTGCTTGTTTCAAAGACAGAAATCATAGACCGTAATATCAGAATGAATGTCTTGAATTTGAGTTCATATAAATGCCTCCAAACAGGTTATCAGTTGCCTATCTGCTGCACCGTGCATGGGTCCTCAGTAACGTCGGCCTCTATCGGTTCCCCTCTGCTAAAGGGGAACTGCTCAATATCAGTCTTGGCTAATTTGTACATTGCTAGAAAGGGAATAACTAAAAATGTAGAAGGTTGAAGGTATAAAACAAATGTGAGATTATATTATTGCTGTCATTACTCTATTTAGTGAAAGCAGCTGTGACCAAACAGATCTTTCTGTTATTCTGCAAGAAGAAGTTGAAAGAGGAACCTTTTAGGACATCATGTGACAGCTTAATATGGCAACGATACAGCTTAGTTAGAAAATGAAACTTTCAGCTCGTAGATCAACAGTGGAAATGAGTATAGTTTGGTATCATGAGCTGGGCATCTGACCCTGGATGAAAACAGAACTGAGGTAACTAAGCAAGACAAAGCTACCTGCCCAAGATCAACCCTGTCAGGAATAAAATGCTCATGCCCCAAGAATTTCTCTCCCTGGAGAAATCGAAGTGGGTAAGGTCACTCACTGGAAAACCTATTGCTGTCTTCATGAGCACCTCTCTATGCATGCCAAGGTGTGAGGATGTCAGCTTGGGCTCGGGGAATAGAAAGTCACGTGTGTTTTCTTCATAGTAGGCCAGCTCTTCCCATACTAGAAGGAAAGGAGAAAAGACGTAAGCAAATGTGTTCTACACTCCTCAAGTTTAACAAAGGAGATGCTCAGATGGCATGCTGGGTAGCTTTATGTCAACTTGACACAACTTATAGTCATCTGAGAGGAGGGAGCATCAACTGAGAAAATGCCTCCTTGAGATTGTGCTACAGGCAAGCCTGTGGGACATTTTAAATTAGTGATTGATGTGGGAAGGCCTACCCCATTGCGGGAGGTACCACTCCTGGGCTGGTGGTCCTGGGTTCTGTAAGAAAGCAGGCTGAGAAAGCCAACAAGCATCACTCCTCCATGGCCTCTGTATCAGCTTCTGCCTCCAGGTTCCTGTCCTGTCTTGTCCTTCAGATACTTCTCTTTATGATGAATAATGATGTGGAAATGTAAGCCAAATAAACCCTTTCTTCTGCAAGCCGCTTTGGTCATGGTGTTCCATCACAGCCACACTAACCCTAACTAAGACCAATGGTGTCAGGTAGGGCACTTAAGTCAAACTAGACATTTTGAACCTAGTATTTGTTACTCAAAAATAAATTCTATTACTTTTTATCTTGTGAATAATTTACCTCATGCATAGTCTTCTTGAAAAAAATGGAAGGTTACTACACAAAATTGAACAAAATAAAGTGAATCTATCCATCTGTCCATCCATCCATCCATCCATCCATCCATCCATCCATCCACCTATCCATCCTTTCCTTCACCAAATATTTACCAAAGACAAATTTTGAGCTAGACCTTGAAGGCAGACATGAATGAGGTAGACACAATCCCGCTCACACAAAACTTATATTTGAGTGGGCTCTGTATGTTTGGGTACAGGGCTGACAATGGCCCAGAGAGCAACCAGGCTTGAGGTCCTTGACAAGAATAATATCAACCCAGGGATGCTTAAGACATGTGTTAAGATTATTTATGAGAAGGAGCCAGCAATGTTACAGTATCCTGTGTAGTTCAAGACATCTCCACATATTTTCGCTACCACGCATGACTTTCTAATGTCCTACTAGACATTTCTTTAGGCTAAAAATAATTTAATAATTATCTGAGCCTGGAACCTAAAACTATGTTACAAAGAACTTTTTGTAAGATTTTACAATACATGGACTTTTCTAGAAGTATGGGTATTGCATAAATAAAGAACAATTTTGCTTTTTTGTTGTTTGGATTTCTACTGAGAACTATTTGGCATTTTGAAAACCATATCACATCTACATACATTATTATTCCCAGCATTTACATTCTAAAATACATCCTGTTTCATTATAAGGCACTTTCCTTTTTTCTCCCTCACACTGAAGCTGGATTATTATACCGATTTCTGCAGTGACCTGTCCAGGTTGGCTATGTTAACTATAAATCGTATTTCATTGTTGTGGTAGTTTGAATGTAATTGGCCCCCATAATCCCATAATCCCATAATCTCATAGGGAGTGGCACTATTAGGAAGTGTGGCTTTGTTGGAATGGGTATGGCCTTGTTAGAGGAAGTGTGTCACTGTGAAGGTGGGCTTTGAGGTTTCTTATGCTCAAGATACCTCTCAGTGAATCAGTTGATTTCCTGTTGCCTGCAAGATGTAGCAGTCTCAGCTCCAGCACCACCTCTGCCTGCATACCACCATGCTCCCTGCCATGATGATAACTGACTGAACCTCTGAAACTGTAAATGAGCCCTCTCAATTAAATGTTCTCTTTATAAGAGTTGTCATGGTCATGGTGTCTCCTCACAGCAACAGTAAACTCTAACTAAGACAATTGTGATAAAGTGTTTATTAAAGAGAATGCTCGTTACCAAAAATGATCTCGGGTTTAACAGTCATCCATTGAGCTGATGGACAGGAAAGCTGCCATCCGAGCCAGCCTTGTAAGCACAGCAGGTGCTCCATCATCAATTTGAACTGAGAGTGGCCCCTACCCAGAACACCAGCAGAAGTCACTACAGCTAATAAAATAGATAGCTTTTTTGCTTGGTGGCTGTTTGGTTTCTTGTGAGGAGAATTTTGATGAGGGTAAATTTTAGGTTTAGTAGCTATAGAAGACAATAAATGACCTTCCATCAAATGATAAGGGTAGATTAGTTTCTTCTTCATACTTACTGCATTCAATATGAAAGTAAGGATCAACATACAGAGTACAGTATTCTCTATTTTGGTTCTATGTCATTTCTCTCCACTCCTGCCTTAGGAGACAAGCTTCCACCACAGTGGACTGGCTGAGGCATCTTCCTTCTCTACAAAGCACTTCTACAGCTTGAGCTGTGCTCCTCACACGGTTGAGATCCTGTTCTTTCAAGGTTCACTATGAAATCAACTTAAAATCTTCCATTAGCTTTGCATATCAGAATAAAACCCATGTACCACCCAGCGGGGTGGTGCACAGCTTTAATCCCAGCACTCCCAAGGCAGAGACAGGTAGATCTCTGTGAGTTCAAGACAGCCTGATCTACATAGCAAATTCAAGAACTACCAGGGATACACCAAGGCCTGCTCTCAAAACAAACAAAACACTAGTATGATACAACCTGTTACCTAAATTGGCCTTCAAGGTTTTGTGTAAATCAGGCCTCTAATCACTGCTGTTACTTCATTAATGACCCTTTTAGTAATGTCCTTTTGTCCCTGGAGCCATTCTTGCCATACCATAGACACATCAAAGTCACCTCTAGAGCTGTTTGGGTTTCTTTCTTGGTTTAGTTGGCTTTTCTTGAGACAGGACCTTATGTAGTCCAGACAGGCCTTGAATTGGCTATACAACCAAAGATAGCCTTGAACTCCTCTACCTCCCAAGTGTTAGGATTACAGGTATGCATCCCACACCCATCTCTCTGCTCTCTGCAAGTCCTTCCCCAAGTCCTTGAATGGCTGGCTCCCTCTTATCAAATGATAGCTTTGATTTAAATGTCCTAGATACTGCTCCCAAACCTGTGGAGGAATGCCTGGCACATAATGGAGATGCTGTAAACAATTCTTATCTCTACTCATGAAGAAATATAAATTATAATGAGATAACTTAAGTTCCTACTTCTATCAGTCATTCAACAAAACAATTACCCTTTTTGAAATTCAGTTTCCACAACTGTTAAAATAAGTTACAAAGACCAAATGTTCTCTAAATTTTTTTAAATTCTTGCTCTCCATTTATTCTTCAATGATTTCTTTACATTCACACATTCAAAAAACAGTCATTGAGAACTTACTGCACGCCAAGAGTGCTAGATTGGCCTGTGGGTAAGCCTGTGTGCATTTTCTTGATTGATGATTGAAGTGAGAGGGCCCAGGTCACTGTAGACAGTGTCCTGGGCTGACGGTGCTGGGTGCTATAAGAAAGCAAGTTGAGTAAGCCATGAGGAATAAGCCAGTAAATAGGACTCTTTCATGGCCTCTACATCAGTTCCTGCTTCAAGGTTCCTGCCTTGAGTTCCTATCCTGACTTCTCTGCATGATGGACAGTTACCTGGAAGTATAAAATAAAATAAACCATTTCCTCCCAAAATCGCTTTTGGCATGGTATTATCATAGCAACAGAAACCCAGACTAAGACATAGCCGCTTGGTCTACTGTGTAAAAACTGGCAAAAAAAGAGTGTAAATCATCATCTACCATCATCAGAGTTGCTCCATCAACCGTTCTAACAATGGCCCCACACTTTCTAGTCTATATTAACATCGTTGCATTCCTACATAAACATACATCCAAGACACATGCATATCACACTGCACACTAGGCTTTTTTTTTGTTCCCTTTCCTTTCATATGTTTTTTGGATCATTCTTGTCACTACATCCAAAAATTATAGCTATTAAATTATCATTCATATATTTGCCAAGAATTTAAATAAAGAAAAACAAGAAGCCAGAGAAGTATAGACAAACTAATTCACTGTCTCTGGAATACCAAGAACAGACTTACGATGGTTAGCACTAATTACCAATTTGCAGAATCCAGAATTACCTAGAAAATAGGCCTCTGGGCATTTATGTGAAGAATTATTTTGATTTCCTTAATTGAGGTGGAAAGATCCATCCACTATGGATGGCTCCATTCCCTAGATGGGATGCTATGAATAAGTCACCCCATCTTAGTCAAAGTTCCATTGCTGTGAAGAGACACCATGACCACAGCAACTCTTATAAAAGAAAGCATTGGGGCTTGCTTACATTTAGAGGCTTAGTCCATTATGGTGAGAAGCATAGGGTCATGTAGGTAGACATAGTATTGGAGGGGTAGCTAAGAGATCTACATCTCAGCAGGCAGCAGGAAGAGAGAGAGGCACTAGGCCTAGCTTGAGCATTTGAAACCTCAAAGCTCACCTTCAGTGACACACTTCCTCAACCACACCTACCCCAACAAGGCCACAGCTCCTACTAGTGCCCCTCCCTATGGGCCCATTTTCATACAAATCACCACATACCCTTTGCTTCCTGACTGGCAGATGCAATGTAACCAGCTGCCACAAGCTCTTGCTGCTTTGACTTTCCCGCCATGATAGACTGCACCCTCAAACTATGAACCTCCAGACAATCCCTTCCTTCCTTAGGTTGCTTTTGTCAGGATATTTTTATCACAGAAACAAAAAAAAGGAAGAAAGAACATTGGTAGCAGAAGTGGGGTTGTTGTATCATAAACCTGATTACGTGGTTTTTGAGTATTTAAAACTAGTTTGCAGGATGAATGTAGAAGGATTTGGAACTCTGGGCTAAAAAGTCCTCTGATACTATAAACATAGCCTAATGGACCATTATAAATGTGAAGCTATAAATGTGATGACTAAGTTCCAATGCAAATCCCAAGATACTGGAGAGGCCATGGATGTATAACACCCACCAAGGGCCACTGTGGGCATGGAGTGGAATCAAACTAACAGAGAAGTTTTATGTGCTATAGGCTGCATATCTGGAGGGATGGGGTTACCCAAGCCCCTTGGAGCACAACGCATTTTATCATGTGCCCAGATGCTGGAACGTGGAGCTGCAGGGTTTGAAGTTTTCCCTGCTGGATTTTGGTCTAACTTTGATCATTTCTTCCCATACTCTGATGCTTCCACTTCTGAAATGGGAATGTTTATTTTGTGTCATTCTATGTTGGAAGTGTACAACTTGTTTTTTATTTTATAGGGACTTATCGTTAAGAGATTGCCTTGAGTCTCAGACATAAACTTTGGACTTTTAAAGTGTTGGAATTGTTAAAGACAAAGGGAACTTCTGAAGATAGACTGTGTTGCATTATGAGATGGACTTGAGACTTTGGAGACAAGGGATGGAAGAGTATGATTCAAAGTGTTACATTGGGGTGGACCTGAGGAGAGTCGGTGGTTAAGATAGCTTCCTACTTTTCCGGAGGACTATAGTTTAGTTACCAGCACTCATGTCGGATGTCTCACAACTGCCTATAACTCCAGCTCAAGAGGATAAGACCATCTTCTAGCTGTCACAAGTACTCACATCCATAACATATATTTACACAGATACAGATATATACATAAATTAAAATGATAAAAGTCTTTAAAGTGATGTGTTTGGAGGACTGGAGATGTAGCTCAGTGGCTAAGAGCACTGGTTACTCTGCTCTTCTAGAGGTCCTGAGTTCAATTTCCTGCAACCACATGGTGGCTCTCAACCATCTATAATGGGATCTGACACCCTCTTCTGTTGTACAGGCATATACGCAGATAAAGCATTCATGTACACAAATATACAAACAAATAAACTTCGTTTTTAAAGTGACATGTTTGGGTATCAAGTTGACTGGAGTGGAGTTGTGATGGTTAATCTTTATTGCCAACTTAATGAGACATGGAATTATATGGGAGCCTGGTATCTGGGCATGACAGTGGGGTGTTATCTTGATTAGGTTAATTGAGGCAGTAAGATTCACAGTCTGTGGTTGGCACGATTCTGTGAGCTAGAATCCTGGACTATACAAAAAGAAGGAAGAAAGTTGAATACAAACACTTATTACTCTCTGCTTCTTGACTATAGATGCAACGTGTCCAGCTGACCCTGTGACTTCCCTTCAGTGATCTACTATAACCTTGAATTGTAAGCCCCTAGAAATCATTCCTTCATGGATTGCTTTTGTCAGAGATTTTATTACAACAGAAAAGTAAGTAAGATAAGACTGAAATGGGGTTAGAAAACTAATTAGAAGGCTACAAAGTATCAAAACCATCTCCCGAATTTGGTCATTTTTCAGTAACCCAAATTGTAGCCAATATGGAAATGTCAGCACATAATGAGATGTTACAGAGCCTAGGCAATAAATAATGAGAGTGCTCAGACTGTCTAATCTTACAGGTCAAGTAAAGTGGTTGTAAGCACTCAGTGTTCTCAATTGGCTGATGACGTAGACAGTGACATCATCAGTGTGTCAGTGAACAACTTCTTCCCCAAAAGGAAATGAATAAGACTATAAGAAAAGAAATTTTTGGTAACAGCATGAGTTTGAAAACTATCTTGCATTTCTAGGAGCATAGCACAGTTAACACCATGCTTCTAGGTAGAGTAGCTCATTGGGTTCTCTTTGAGACTCAGAGTTTAACGTAGCTGTCATGATGCCACATGGCAAAGTAGGAATTCAAAGCCATGTCTGCAGGCCATCTTCCTTACTCCCTTCTAGTGACCATTACTGACTGTGGTGGAAAACTGAGCTCTGACTCAGCACACAGGAGCCCAGGGAAGGGGGATTTACAGTTATATTGACTATATATGACTTGCCAAAGAGAAGGTATTAGCTTTGGAGGTTAATAAAAAGAAAGCGTCAAGCTCCCAGTCAAACAGTATTACACTGCCCCCCTGTGTCCGTCATTGTTTGTGAACTGACAACCAGAGGCTGGCCTTCATCTACTGGGAGCAAAGTCACTGACTCTCTTTAGTCACTATAGTAAGCTACAAGCAGACCTGAGCATCACTCCTGTATCCCTAACCTGATGCTCAAATACCCTTTGACTATGCGTCTAAGGATGCTGTGAAAACTATCACACAAGAATGCACCGTTTACAGCAGAACAAAGAGGTCATGGGTCGACTAGTAAAAGAACTGGTCTCTGAGAACTCAAAAATGGTCCAGATGACCCTACAGGAGACTTTAAGCAAGTTTCTTTTACCCAGTTAGCACCAAGGACCACTGCTGCTGCCATATGCCGCATTGAAGTAATTAACTGATTAACGGTGTGAAACTGTTATTTTCAGTCATTCAAACTGAGGGCCACTAAAATCACAGTCTGCAATCTGAGGGCTGTGGACAGGAGGCGAGCAAGCACAACAAGGCTCCCAGTTTGCCTATGGCTGACTTGTGAGTTATAAACGGTATACATGCTGTCAGCTCACATATTCCCCAGTCTTCATCTCTTCATTGTCAGGCCACTCTTCTCACACACAGATATGTGGTACATGAAAGACCTGTGAATCCTAGCACTCAGCAGGGTGAGACAGGAGGATCATGGGTTCAAAGCCAGCATGAGCTTGACTTAAAAAAAAAAGCGATAATTTTTAACACATAAAATTCTAAGAAGTAAGTTATAAAATGTTTATATTCAAAATATTTAAACATAATATCTTATGTATAGGATAGACAATTGTATATAGGTGTGGTGTGTGTCACTTTGGAGTTAGGTATATATGCCAATACATTATATACTAAGTGCATTTTTTAAAAGTCTAAAAAAAAAACCAAACAGCAAATTGCCAATAAAGTATCTGTGAGGCATCGTTAATGAATGGGTTCTTTTTACTTTTAATCTATATAATCATGTGTTAGTTGAAATTTCTACATTGAGTGGTTTTACATTGGGTGTTTTTTTTAATTAGTACAGTTCACAGGGTTATATGCTTAAACATAAAATTGGGTCAAACAAGGAAAAAAAATCTTATGGAAAAAAACTCAATGGCCTGGTTTTAGCCTGTCCTTTTTTTTTTTTTTTTTTTTAAAAAAAAAGCCATTCAGTGAGAATTTCTGAATAGCAGGTAGGAGGCATTGCTCTGTATTGTCTACTAAAACAAGTAATTCTTGATAGACTCATAATATTCAGGTTTCTATTCCTAGATTCACAACATAATCTGTCGATTAACACTGTGGTAGCTGAGTGTCTTCTTTAACCCTAGGTTGACACCATAACATTCAGATGTTTATCCCTAGATTTACACAGCACCATTTGAATGTCCATCTATAAATACACACCACAAATTCGAGAAATTATCTCTGGATTCACACTGTAGTATCTGAATGACTATACCTACATTCAGATTACATCTGTGTCCACATTCAGAGCACTTCTCCCTACATACACGCCATAATAATTGAGCACCTATCTATAGATTTAGACCAAAATATTGGAGTACCTATCCCTAGTTCACGCCATAATAATTGTCTATCACTAGATTCACACTGCAATAATTTGAGGGTTTATCCCTATATTCTTAGAGTGTAGTGTTCTTATCTGTTTCCAAGGCTACCTTTGCTAAAGAACCAAGGAGCATGTGCCTAGCTCTACACCCTTTCTTGGGCCCCTTACCTGCCACAGGGATCCAATTACGGGTAGATCCACAACCTTCATAAAAAGCCTCTACTCAACCTTCCGCCCCCTTTTAGCTGAGACATCTTCTATACAGGTCACTGCTCTTTTCTCAGTAAGTCTCAAGGAAAAAAAGAAAGTTCCCTTGAGAAAATATCAATGAACAATGACCAGAAGGAAAACAAAAACAAATAATAATATGAGAAAAATTGAAACCTTTAAGGAGGAAACTTTAAATTTAGGATTACACATCAGATCTAAAAAAATAAGGGGTCATAAAAATATGGTAAAACATATCTAAACTAAATGTACAATTCAAAAGTAATAAATTCAAATGATAGTGTCCAGTTTAGTTAAGATATGAGGAGCAGGCATGCTCTACTGCGAACCAGTTTGCCCAGGCTCACAAGGCCCAGTTCAGTCTGGGAATTCTACTCTGTAAATATATTAAGGGAGGAAAGAAGAAGAATTTTCATGGTTATGTGAAAGACAAAGAAAACAGAAATGACAATTTAAGGATAATAATACCATGGAAATAGCTATTGAAAATGACAAATACATTAACTTTGGTGACAAGGTAAAGGAAACAAAAGCTCCCCAAATACTATATAACCACATGGTTCCTGGCTTGTGAAGATACACAAGTAGCCAGTGATGGGAGTGCCTGCTTGTAATCCCAGTTACTCAGGAGACTCAGGCAGGAAAGGTATGAGTTCAAGGTCTGCCTAAGTGATTCAAGGAGACTTGGCCTCAAAATTAAAACCATTTTTTAAAAGACTAGGGATGTAGCTCAGTGGTACAGTGCTTACCTAACATGTATGAAGCCCTGGGTTCAGTCCTCAGAAACACACACACACACACACACACACACACACACACACACACACACACACACAAATTAATGAAATTCTTTATACCTATCAAAGATGATGGTATAGAGTATATCATTAAAAATGATTCAGTCATAAAGAAAACTGAAATCCTGTCCCCATTCCTTCAAATTGAAATTGCTAGTTTAGAAGTACGTTTATGGGCATATTACCTGGAGACACTAGCTGTATCAATTCAAACCTGGTTAGGAAGCCTAAAAAAGAAAACAGAAAGAAAAAACATGAGATTTTAATATGTCAGAAAATGTGCCTGTTTCTTAACATATGCTAAATTAAAACTACCATATCTCATTTACACTACTGATAACAACAGAATAATTGGTCTTCTATATTCACAGGTTCCCTATTTACAGATTCTCTGTCTTTTCACCAACTACAGACAGAAAACGTTTACAAAGTACTCACATCTGTACGCTAACATGTGTGCTCTTTTCTCTTTATTCTCTAAACAATGCAGAATAACACCTTCATACAGCATTTACAACATATAATATAGAGATAATCCAAATTACGTGGGATACACAGACATGCACGCGCGCAAACACACACACACACACACACACACACACACACACACACACACACACTCACACATAGGTTACAAGCAGTTCTATATCATTTTATTTATGATCCTTGAGCACCTATGTACTTTGGTATGTGTGGAGGTCATGGAACCATTTTCCCAAGGGCATCAAAGAACCAAAGAACAACTATAATTTAAAATAAGTGCCGTGGCAACGATGAAACAGATTTTCATAAAATGAGGGAGTGGAGCAAAGATGAGCGAGCTACAGAATGAGCTTTTTACTTCCTGAATATAATATTTTGTCTCTTAAAGGTATATTCAGAGCTGGAAAGATGGCTCAATGTCAAGAGAGCCACTGCTCTTGCAGAGGACCCAAGTTCTGTTCCCAGCACCTGTGTCAGGCGGCTAACAACTGCCTGTAACTCCAGCTCCAGAGGATCAAATCCCCTCGCCAGGCTTTGTGGGCACTTATGCATATACATGGCACACAGACACATAAAAGTATATATACATAGAGTACTAAAATAGCAACGTATTTTTCATTTTAAAGACTGAAAAGCCAATGTTATTCATTAATGCAAAAGTTTAGCTTGCCTGTAAAGCATGCTATACAAATGTGTCATAAAAGGTACCTTACTATGTTCCTTGAGATGAAAATATTTTTGAAGAGGCTATCTGTAATATCTATAAAGACAAAACTAAGATGTAAATCTTGGGCTAGGAGTGATGACTCGGCAGGTTAAAGCTGGCGTCACTCAAGCCTGGTGGTTTGAGTTAAATCCCCAGAACCCTCAGACACAGCAGACAACCAACTCCTAAAGTTAACTTTTGACTTTTACCCACACTCACATATCACATGCACGTACACACACACACACACACACACACACACACACACACACACACACAGTTGTATGCACATGCTTGCACATGTATCACACACATATAATAATAATAACAGTTTTTAAATACCGAGAAAAACTAAAGAAGAAACTAGAAGATGAAAAAAAAATCCATGCTCACATGGATTGACAGGATATTATGAAAATTACTATAACAAAATGTGATCTACAGATCAGCTCAATTGCCATCAAAATTTCAGTGACATTCTTCACAGAAATATTCAAATGGAAGCCACACACCCAAGATAGCTGAAGCACATTAGAACTGAGCAGGAGAAGGAGAAAGGATGACCCGCTCAGGGAAGTGAGGTGCTGGGTGGTGGGGCACTATTATGGTGAGCAAACATATGGTGAGGTGTGGGAGAGAGACAGAATGGATCATGTCCTCCAGAAAGAGGTAGATCTGAAGAGGTGAAGGCGGTGAGGAGCAAGCTGAGGTGGGCAGCTTGCTTACCACCTGGGGCCATGGTGATGTTCAGGCCTGGGCTGTTGCCAAGGGCCATGTCTGGGTCTGTGGCCCTGCTGCAGCCATGGTTTGTAGCTCCTGTTACCACCAAAGGCCAGAAAGGATAGGGCTACACAGAATTGGCCCCACCCCTCCCTGGCTGCAATACTAGGGAGAACTGGCCCTGCCTCTCACCAGCTGCAGCACTCAGGAGAATGTGTCCTATACCTCTTTGAGGCAGCACAATAGAGCTGACTCTGTTTGCAGGGGCATGGGTGACCTTGCCTTAAGGGCATGAAAGTAGGAAATCTGGTCCTGCCCCTCATCTGCCATATGGTGGTATAGGCAAGGGAGAGATACCCTTCCCCTCCTTGCCACCTGTGGCAGATGGGAGAGCTGGTCCTGCCCCCACCTCCCCACCCCCGCTTGACTTGGGCAACACAGGCCCCGGCAATGTAGGTGTGGGTGAGCTGGCCTCGAGGGTATGAATGCCGGAGAACCAGTCCCACCCCTTGCTCCTTGCTGCATAGCTAGCTGGGGCAATGCTGGAGAGCTCACCCTGGTGGTGAAGATGGGGGAGAGCTGGTAGGCTGACCCTGCAACTACCCAGACCCAGAACCAGGGTTGGCCCATCCCCATATCCACTCCATCTATGATCTGCTGGAGCACATGAAGGGGCCGGTCCTGCAGACCCAAAGCTGCAGGATCTCCACGACACAGGGCCACAACAGGATATCCAAGAGGAATCCCAGTGAGGGCCTGGTATGGATAGTGTAGCAGAAACCAGAGGCCTCCAACCAGACCAATGACTCTTTGCAACGAACACTTGCAAGTAAAGATGTGTGGACAAAGGGTTTGCTGTGTGACTCACTGTGTCATACCACAGCTTCAACGACTAGATTTTCCTTTTTTATCTTTTCCTTCTCTTTTTTTCTTTTCTCTTAAATTTTATTTTATTTGTGGGGGGAGGCTGCAAGGGCAGAGGGCAGATATGAAGGGACAGGGAGATGAACGGGATTGAGATGTAGGATGTGAAAACCACAAGGGATAAATAAAAAGTTAAAAAAAAAAAGATAGCTAAAGCAATCCTGAGCAAAAAGAACACAGGTGGGGATATGGCAATGCCTGATTCAAGTCATCCCACAGAGCTACAGTAACAAAACAACAGGACAGAAAGGCCATGTCAAACAATGCGATAGAATGCAGTGTCCACAAACAAGCACTCACAGTTACAACCACCCTTTTTGGAAAGATGTCAAAACATATACTGGAGAAGACAACCTCTTCAACCAAGGGTGCTGGAGCCACAGATAGCGAATGGAGCTATATTCTTACATCTCGTCCTGTACAAGAATCAGTTAGAAAGAGACTGAAGATCTTACCAGGAGACTGAGAGTGTGAGGGGAAAACTCTTTAAGATACAGGTAAAGGCAGGAGCTCTGTGAAAACGACGCAATAGTTCAAGAAGTCATACCAAGGACTGACAGATAATGGGACTGCCTGACATTAAGTCTTCACCATAGCAAAGGAAGTAAGTGAAAAGACCTCAGAACTGGGGAGAATCTTCACTAGCTCTGTATCTGGTAAAGGATTGCCATCTAGAATGTATAAAGAACTCCAAAACCTTAACACCCAAAAGTCAAACAACCTGATCAACAATGGGCTAATGAAAGGAATACACAATAGTCAAAAGAAAAATCAAACAACCCGATCAACAATGGGCTAATGAAAGGAATACACAATAGTCAAAAGAAAAATCAAACAACCCGATCAACAATGGGCTAATGAAAGGAATACATAATAGTCAAAAGAAAAATCGAACAACCCAATCAACAATGGGCTAATGAAAGGAATACACAATAGTCAAAAGAAAAATCGAACAACCCAATCAACAATGAGCTAATGAAATACACAATAGTCAAAAGATGAAGCAGAAATAAAGAGTAAACAGACAAGAAAGGACAGGTGTGATGGCACACACCTATAACCCAGCACTGAGGAGGTAGAGACAGGGGAATCAAGGCTATCCTCAATTACATAATGAGTTTAAGGCCAGCCTGGCCTACATGAGACCTAGTCTTAAAAAAAAATGGGGGCTGGAGAGATGGCTCAGTGGTTAAGAGCACTCACTGCTCTTCCAGAGGACCCGAGTTCAAGTCCCAGCACCCACATGGCAGCTCACAACTGTCTGTAATTCCAGTTCCAGGGGACCCGATATCCATGGCAAAATACCAACATACATAAAATAAAAATAAATTTAAAAAATATATTTTGAAAAAAAAATGGAAAAATGTTCAACATCCTTAGGCATAAAGAGAACACAAATTAAAACTACAGGAAGAGTCCATCTCACTTCAGTCAAATTAATTATCAAGAAAATAACCAATGTTGGTAAGAATGGGGGAAGGGAAAGAGACTATTATACAGTGCTGGTGGGAATGTGAATTGGTCTAGTTGGTATAGAGCTTCCTCAAAAAGCCTACAAATGGAAGTATTATATGATCCAGCTATAGCGCTTCTTGGTATATACCCAGAGAACTCAAGGCAACACACCACCACGATAGATACTCATGTTTACTGCGGCACTATTCACAACAGCCAAGCTATAAAGTCATCCCAACTGGTCATCAGCAGATGGATAAAGAAAACATAGTGCATATACACATTGGAGATTTATTCATACCGTCTTGGTTACGTTTCTGTTGCTGTGATAAGACACTATGACCAAGGCAACTTATAACAGAAAACGTCTAATTTGTGGCTCACAGTTGCAGAGGGTTAGTTTGTAACCATCATAGCAGGGAGCATGGCAACAGGCAGGCAGGCATGGCGCTGAGCAGCAGCTAAGAGCTTGCATCTTGAGCCATAAGCGGGAGGTAGAGGAAGAAACACTGGGCCTCAAAGCCCACCCCCAGTGACACATCTCTTAGTCCTTTCCAAGTAGTTCCACCAACTGGGGACCAAGTATTCAAATACAGAAGTCTATGGCGCCACTCTCCTTCAAACCACCACACAGACAAAGAAGAATAAATGAAAGTTACTAGCAGTAGAAAATAGATGTAACTGTAGATCGCCATATTAAGTGAAAGTCAAATATTAGATATTTTATCTCATTTGAAAGTCTTGGGATTCTTTATAAAGAATACTTTTAATTCAGTTTTAGAGAAAGACAACCCTGTCAAAAACTAGGAAGAAAATATGAATAGGCATTTCTCCAAAGTACACTCAACACCATTAGCTATTAGGGACATGCAAAACAATGGTAAGAAGGCACTTCATACCCAGCACTTCATACCCACAGGCTCCGACCAATCAAAATGACAGCAAGAAACAAATATTGGCCAAAAAAGGAGAAAAAGAATAAACCCTTGAAACACTGCTGGTTCATTGTAAAATGATTCAGCTGCTTTGGTAAGTAGTGCAGGAGGCTTAAAAAGTTACTAAATACACTGTAAGTTACTATGTGATCCAGCAGTCCCACTTACATGAGTGTGTTTATATATGTTTGTGTGTATATATGTGTGTGTGTGTGTGTGTGTGTGTGTGTGTGCATGTGTATGTCCAAGAGAGCTGAGAACACATTTCCATATAAAAATTTACATACAAATGTTCATAACATTATTATTCACTATATTCTAAAAGCATAAGCAACCCAAGTGTCCATTAATTGATGACTAGAAAAACAAAATGTGGTAAATTCATATAACAGAATGTTAAAGAATGAGGTATTGGCAAATTCTATAATATAAATGAACTTTAAAAACATTATGCTAAGCCAAAGAAGCCGATCATAGAGGACCACATACTGTGCACACTCCTTCATACGACATATCCAAAATAAGCAGATCTTTGCTCACTGGGCATGGTGGCGCATTCCTGTAACCCCAGCACACAGGAGACAGAGAAAGAAGTTCGAGGCCAGTCTAGGCTCTGAGATGGAGAAATTGACATCTGCATTTGAAAGTAAACTGCTAACAGGTGTAGAGTTTCTTTTTGAGGCATTGAAAATGTTCTAATTGATCAAATGATCTAATTGATTGCTGTGACAGAATCCACTTAATGTTTATAATAACCAAACACAATCATGTCATCCAGAAAAACCATATCTATAATATAAAATTTTGAGGGCTTTTTGGTGGTGGTGGTAGTGGTTTTAGAGATAATGTTTCATGTAGCCCAGACCAGCCTCAAGGTAGATCTATTATCACAGTTAACCTTGAACTCCTGATCCTCTTGCCTTCACCTTCCAAGTACTGAGGTTAGAGTCATGTGCCACCACATCTGGTTTCACATCTGTATTGAAAAAAATGTTTATAAGAATGAAAACAATGATTCAAGGTAGGTGTGATGGGTGGTGAGATCATTCAGCGGGTAAAGGCACAGAATCCCAAGCATCTGAGTTCCATCTCAAGAACTCATGACGGAAAGAGAGAACCAACTCACCAATGTTGTCCTATGTCTCAAGCACACATGGCACACTCACACCCATATTCACATGCACATTAGTGTATATATATATATATATATATATATACACACACACACACACACACACACACACACACACACACACACACACAAAGTAATAATAATAAATGAAAACATTTAAAGGTTGGTTGGTGTGATGGCATATGCCTATCATCCCAGTACCCTGGATAGTAGAGGCAGGAGTGAGTTCAAGGCCAGCCTAGACTATATAGCAAGACTATTTCTCTAAAAACCAACCAAACAACAAATAAATCATGAACCAAATTTCACCACAGAATTTCCCTAAGTTTAAATATTGATGAAACACAGAAATATCACACTTGAGAAGCAGAATTCTGTACCTGCGGATTACATATGAGTCTTTTATTCTCTTAAGTACCTACTTTCTAAAATTTCTGCAACAGCTCCAGGATCTATTGCATTTTCAAATGTCTACAGAGAAAAACAAGGAAAAGAAATTTTCAAGGTTTTAGTAAAATGTATTTCTAGAAACCATTCGTTTATGTTCTTTCAAGTAATTAGCACATAGAAAATCAAGTCACAGAATGTTTTAGGATCCAACAGGAACATGACAAATAAGCGTGCGGTAAAAGAACAACAAATGGCTGAAGCACAGATGAATTAAAACTATCAGAATGATAAGTGCGAAGAAATCTGAGTTAGCTAAATCCATCACATGCTTAAAATGCCATCAGTTTGACCTACTACTGTATAAGCAAATACATCTTGCATTAACCTGAGTCTTGAGTGCATAGAAAAGCATTCTGCATGCAGCAGGTACTAATTAATATATAGAACTTTTTTTTGTTTTGGTTTTTCGAGACAGTTTCTCAGTATAGTTTTGGTGACTGTCCTGGATCTCGCTCTGTAGACCAGGCTGGCCTCGAACTCACAGAGATCCACCTGGCTCTGCCTCCTAAGTGCTGGGGTTAAAGGTGTGCGCCACCACCGCCCGGCCAAATAGAACTTTTAACCATAGGTAACATCAAAGACAAGTAGCGGCAGGGGTGGGGCTGAGGGGCTCTACCACGGAGCACAGGAAAACGTTACTGTATCACCTTAAACACTGTCCAATCTGCATGTTTTGTTCTTGAAATAAAAGGTACCGAGGCAGCCCTGAAACAGAACAGGCCACCAAGGACCTTATGAAAACCAAAGGTTTTCAGTAGTTTTTTTCAGTAATACCTTCAGCCTTTAAACTGATGACTCAAATGAGGTTTAAAGGTAAGCATGACTAAAATTCTGCTTAAGGTTTCAAAGCCCGATCTCTTTTGAGGGCAAAATATGGACACTGTTTTGCTGCTTGCATTTATTAAATAAATGTGGCTAACATTCTTTTTTGGCCTAAACTAGTTCAGTAGTTGCATCCTTCCATTTCACACTGTTTTCAGTTGAATTGTGTCCCTGTCAAAATTTGAAGGTTGACATCTAACCCCAGTATCTCAGAATACAATCTTATTTCCAAATAGGGTCAATATAGATATGCTTAGTTAAAATTTGAATGAGGTCATACTGGAGTACGTTGGGCACTTAACACAGGATTGATGCCTTTTTTTAAAGTTAAAAATAAACTAAAATAAATTCATGAGTGTACTTGAGCAGAGAAAAATTCATGAACCAGACAGTGCACAGAAGGAGCCACTATTACAAACTGGGCACGAAGTTTTCTACTCTCACATGCAAAGAAAGCAAACGTAGTTGATTGGTTAGAGTGGACAGACCACGCACAGATCACCTGACACTTCTCATCCGTGAATTTTCTGTTTTGATTTTACTATTCACACATACCTTCTTTTGACCTAAAGAACTAGAGCTTCTCTTGTCTAATGCTCAGAATGTTTTTAACTCCATGCACTATGGAGAATAAATGGTTATACGGTGCCTACTGGAATCCTAAGTCAGAGAAATATCCTTCCCTCGTGCCTTGGGAAGTCGCATGGCCCCGCCAACACTGTGCTCTGACTTCTAACTCCCAGTACTGTGACAGTAAGTTTGCTGCCCATGGGTCACTTGTGTGTGCCACCTCTAAGAGCCTAATAAATCTCATACAAGGGTTTTCTCATGTGTGATCTCAGGGAGCGGTCAGCTTGGCCTATTCAAATGCAATGGCTCATGAATTTTTACGAAGAATGTGTTTACTCCGATGCTTTTAAGTATTCAAATCTGAGCCATGCAAAGAGGCTGTGGGGAAAGAAAATGCTTTCGCTACTTGCTGCAAGTATTTTCAGCTAAAGAATGGAACAGAGTGCAAGAAACCTGGAACTAGATGCAACCTAAACAACTCGGTTTTAGAAAAAGAAAAAAAAAACAAAAAAAACAAAAAAAAAACGGGCCCATGCATGGTATGTTTAACTAGTCATCTCAAGCCAACAGTGTTTCTACACACAAAACAAACCGGTCCCATGCATGGTATGTTTAACTAGTCATCTCAAGGCAACGGTGTTTCTACACAGCAGTAGAGAAGCATCTAAAGTTTGAGTCTCAGACATTCTCCTTTTAAGAAACAAAGGAGGCTGGACTAGGTAAGTTCCCAAGGTGGTTGGTGGATGTGTCGTTCTGTGCTTGCACAATTTTGTATCTATGGGCTTCTTACAAACGTATCTTAGAAGTCTTCTACAGTGCTGTTGAGACTGATAAATGAAGAAAATGTTGGGAGGAAAAACACTTAATTTTCAACACCTGCTTCTCATCATGCCCATCACCTGCCTATGGCCAGATGGATCATCGGGTTCTGACTGTATTTTTGAAAATAACTGTTTGCTCTTTTACCCAACCAATCTGACATATTTTTAAATGAATAGACTGAAAAAAAATTTTTATTGTTACAAACTATCTTCATCTTTTCTCCCTACCTTGGGTCAAAAGAGATAGGTAGCTTTCTGGGCACCGTTCTCCAGACCGTAGAAAATGATGTCCCTCTGCCCCAAAAGTCTGCCTCAGTGACACTGTTTGGGCAAAATCATTCGGCTTACTAAAGATAACTCCAATTTCATCTCTAAATCCCAAACTAAAATAGTTGATGATTACAGAATGTAATCATGAATGTGCTACAGCATACTGTGGTGGGAAGCCCTGGCTAATGTTTTGGCTGTATTTTTTTAAAAACATGATTGCATTCACTGGAATGGAATCTGGCCCTTACTGCTGTTACATAACACACTTAAGGAAACTCAGAAAATATGAACGGCTTTCTTATGTTTAATTACAAGACTTCAGTTATAAGATTTAACCGATTTAGTTATAGTTTTAAATTATTTTTCTAGGCTTAAGAAAGTTTTTTTCTTAAGGTCTGCAGTTTATTAATAGGCCCTTTCATAAACGTAATGCAACTGTCTCTAACACCTCCAAGAACATTCAGAAACGCTCTCTGCTCCAGTTAGGAAATGCCATGGGAGTTCCAAGAATAGAAAGCATCCACCAGGGTATTTAGCACTCGATTGACAGAACTTGGCTCGGACCTGCAGAGCAAAAGTAAGTCTTCCAAACTATGGTTTTGCCTCAAGGCCGCCTGTACTTTTAAACTCTAATGAATTGCCTGAGGGTCACTTTTTTAAAAGAAAAAAAAAAATGTACAAAACCACTATTCTTTATAACTATTACGCTGACTTCAGACAGCAAAACCCACTGAGAAGTCAAGATCACCTTTTCAAATCTCATGCTCTGTTGAATCGCAATAGGGAACACAGAGGGAAAGCAGTTTGTCTCCAGGTACTGATTCAGGAGGTAGACTCCAAGGTATACACCTTCCTTGTCCGGCAGGAACACTCCCGGGCAAGAAATCTTAAAAAGAAGAGGAGGGCAATCAGGGCTTGTTTTTCTGCAACAGGGCTGTGTTTCTCCTAACCTCCCACAGCCTGTGAAATGACCCCATCACTGCATCCTTCACCTTTACCTCCCAGCAATAGCATCCTCCCTCCTCTCCTCAAACTGGATATCCCGGCCCCCTCCCACGTCTCCGCCAGGTGTCACAATCGCGCTCTGCAGCTCCTCGGCCCGCCCTCCGGGATGGCAGTGCGGAAGCGGAAGAGGCTGCCGGGCCGGGAAGCCTCTCTCCGGTCTGGCCGGGGCCCTGGGACCTGCTGCCCGCCGCGATGCCGAGCCCCAGGAGGACCATCGAGGGACGGTCGCTGGGCACCTCGGGCGGGAGCAGCGTCCCGGGCAGCCCGGCCCACGGCGGCGGCAGGTTCGAGTTCCAATCGCTGCTGAGCGGCCGCGCGGGCGCGGATCCTACTTGCGCCCGGCTGCGCGCTTCCGACAGCCCGGTGCATCGGCGCGGCTCCTTCCCGCTGGCCTCCGCCGGCCCCGCGCAAGCAGCCCCGGCCCTGCCACCCGAGGACGACCGCATGAACTTGAACCCGTCCTTCCTGGGCATCGCCCTGCGCTCCCTGCTGGCCATCGACCTGTGGCTGTCCAAGAAGCTGGGGGTGTGTGCCGGGGAGAGCTCGGCCTGGGGCAGCGTTCGGCCCCTGATGAAGCTGCTGGAGATCTCGGGGCACGGCATCCCCTGGCTGCTGGGCACCGTCTACTGCCTGCTTAGGAGCGACAGCTGGGCCGGGCGCGAAGTGCTGATGAACCTGCTCTTCTCCCTGCTGTTGGACCTGCTGCTGGTGGCTGTGATTAAAGGGCTGGTCCGCAGGCGCCGACCGGCGCACAATCAGATGGACATGTTTTTCACCCTCTCGGTGGACAAGTACTCCTTCCCCTCGGGCCACGCCACGAGGGCCGCCCTGGTGTCGCGGTTCATCCTGAACCACCTGGTCCTGGCCATTCCACTGAGGGTGCTGGTGGTACTGTGGGCCTTCGTCTTAGGTCTCTCCAGGATCATGCTTGGGCGGCACAACGTCACTGATGTAGCTTTTGGCTTTTTTATGGGCTACATGCTGTACAGCATTGTGGATTACTGCTGGCTGTCACCCCACAATGTTCCGGTCCTCTTTGTACTGTGGAATCAACAGTGACACCATCTCATTGATTGTTGGCACCAGGAGGTCTGAAGGTCACGAGAAGTCTGACCTAAACCAGAGCCATCCAGTTGCCCCTCAGACATTTCAGGCACCTTTGGGAATTCTGGGATCCCACTGTCTTGACATGTTCCTAGGTCGGAGTATGTGCTGGCTATTACTGAACACAGCCATACTAGAGAAAGAAAGTCTATTGTGTATATATGCAACAGCTGTTTATCTCCAAGACAAATGTAAAGAAATCAAGCTGGCTGATTATATGATTGCTATTTATTTAAAGTTGACAGATTAGTGTTAATTAGTAATCCCAAAAAAAACAATTTATCACTTGTAAATTGAATTTTAAGAGACATGAGCTTCCAGGTGAGCCATGCACTACTCCCAGCCCTTTCCCTGTGGTATATTTTAAACAGTATTTTTAAAGTTTAATGCAGACTTTTCCAGTTTAATCTCTGAACATCTGTTGCCATAACTGGAGCTTTTTCTTTATCCTGAGTGCTTAACTAGCTCTCCCACCTTTGTGTATTAGGTAGTAAGAAGTGGTTACGTGCAGTACTTGCCTTTCTTCCTGTACCTCTCAGAAGGTCTTTAGATGTTTACTTTCCACTACTCTCTAATAGTGTCTTTTAGCATTCATAGAACAAACCAAGATGTTAAAGAAGACATACTCAAAAAGTGGGCTTGTCTAAGGTTCCCACAGAAAAGTAAGTATGAGACCACTGTTCATTTCTGTTGACTGCCAGTAGCAGCGTATCAGGAGGCCAAGAAGATGAGCTGCTGGGGAGAGTCGGGGGAACTTAGAGTCTGGAAACAGGCAGACCACAGATGTCAATGACCAGTGGCAAGAGATGAAGCCCTGCTGCCCATCATCTCTACTCAATAGGGTAAATGGTCCTCTAGTAAGTAAAAAATGGAAAAGCGATGTGATGTTCAGTGCACAAAGAAGACTGTGTGCTATCCCTTCTCATATCAATTCTACTTTGCTGTATCCAGCACATTTTAGGGAACAGTACTTAACTTGAAATTCTTCAGGAGAGCCTGTTGCCCTACATGAGCACTAGGTATAACTCCTAAAGTTCTGTTTACATGGAAAGCTGTTCATTCACGCACCTCCCCCAATCATGAGACCAAAGATGACCAAATAATGTGGTAGACTCTGATTGTTGTCTGACCTGGAAAGACCAAAGAGAGTTTGTGCTATATAAATCTGTAAACGCTGCTCTGCCTGGAAAGAAAACCTTTAAATCACCCGTGGTGGTGGTGTCATCAGATAATCTTAATGACCAATTGTTCTGGCATTTATAAACAGAACAGATTGTTGGCTGTAATCTAACATGCAAAGATGTGGACCCGACTCTCCAGAATGGCTGTGCTAAACAGGTTCCCACTGGGAGGAAGGCACCAATAGGAACAGCTCTTCCTCTGAATAAAACAGTCATTGCATTTCCACAACACCCTGAACACTGACTACCTCTTTGCTTACTAACTCTGCCAAGCTGTGAGGTTCTAAGTGGTCTGAGTGTGTTGTTTAAACTTTCGGATTTTTGTTTGTTTGTTTTGTTTTTTCGGGATATGGTTTCTCTGTGTAGCCCTGGCTGTCCTGCAACTCACTCTGTAGCCTAGGCTGGCCTCGAACTCAGAGATCCACCTGCCTCTGCCTCCTGAGTGCTGGGATTAAAGGCTTGTGCGCCGCCGCCGCCGCCGCCACCACCACCACCTGGCTTCAGAGATCATTTTTAATTGTAATGTTCAAGCCAGACATTTGAAAGGAAAGTATTTGCTCTTCCTGTGTCCCCATGTGTGATTACTGAGGGCCTCTCTTCTAGTTACACTTCTGGAATTCCATGTTTTGTTTGCCAGGGCCTGAGTTTGCCGGCTTTTTAAAACACAGATCAGATCAAGTTACCTGACTTCATGGGTCATCCTAAGTTCTCTAGAGTAAAAAACTGATTTTTTTTGTTAATTACTTGTACACTGAAGGATGCCTTTTAAAAATCAAAATAAACTGGTAATGTTGAATGACATAAGATGACTTCTTAGTTTCTGTTCTTGATTTAAGAGAGATTTCATGGCCTCGTAGGGATTTCTTCCTCTTCCTGAGCATTTGAAATTGATACAGTACAACTGATAACTGTCAGTAAAATGGAACCCAAACCAGGACCCTTTTAACTTCAACATGCTCGATGAGACCTAGGAGTTTGCTGTTGTATGGCATCTAGCTGAATTTCCATGCAGCGTCCTGTTAGCATTGGCTTGTGACTATGGCCAGTATGAAGCCCCTTATAACTGGGAGGCCAAGCTCCGTGCCAGTCTTGTTGCTATAAATGGGAGGATGGGAGAATGGGGGGAGACTGGAACGGAGGTCACTGTGCTCCAGCACCTCACTTAAGAAGGAGCTGGTGGGTAATTACAAAGTGTTTCTTGTTAAACTGAGTGTCCTGTTGAAATTAGCAACCCGAAGCTATGGGAACGCGCTTTGCCTCCTAAAGGTGGCACATTTATCAAGAGTGGGGCTTTAAAACTCATATATTCTTTGATTATTTAAACAAAATCAAATCCTTTCACAAAGTCTTTATCTTTTGAAACTCGTTCTTGAACCTAAGTCAGGATCGTTTTAAAGAAGCCAAGAAACATGTTGGTTTGGGGGAAAAAAAAGACAGACTGAACTGGATTAAAGGCTAAGAGGGCCAAGGGTGATAAATGTGCAGAATCTTAGGGACAGAAGAACAGTGTGTCCCAAAAGCGATGTGTGTGGAGTAAGTAGAGGAGAACATGGGGTTAACACGGCAGGCTCGCAGATCTCTTACCGCCCGGATTTGGAGCTCCACCACCACCTCCAGAGGCATCCTTCCCCGTGTGGGCGAAAGCGCCGGAAAGACAAGATCCTTTTGTGCTGAGCCTTGAACCAATTATTTTAGTTTACATCAAGGCGAGTGTTTTCCAGAAGCTTCCCTGGCCCCCCACCCCTTGGTTACCCCATCAGTCCCCGCAGCCCAGGTCCCTCCCACCGGGCCGGGTATCTCACAACAAGCTATGGATTGTAAGCTTGCAGAAGGCGGAAGCGTCGGGTTACCATGGACACTCAAACGCTCACCCTTTTCCCCTGGAACTCTAGAAAGGCCAACGCGCAGGCGCGCTAATTCTCTGCTGGGAACCTGAGTTCTCATCAGCCTCCCTGGCGGTGGGCCGGGCCCACTGACTACTGCCTAAGGGCCTGGGAACCTGCCTGCAGAGCTTTTGCTGTCTTTCCCTGGACGATTTAGGGCCTCGGTTACTGTGTTCAAATATTTAACAGTTTCCATCCCAAAAGTAGGATGAGATCATAGCTCTGTTATGTAATCACTTTTAGTGGCTATGGGACCCCAGACACTGGGATTCCTGTAACAATTTCTATTTAGCATAGTTGCCTGTTCCCTAGGGGACTCCCTTATTAAATGTCTTGTCTCCTTCTTTTGCCTCGGAAAACATGCTCACTGTCGTTAAGAAATGGAACAGTGTACTAGCTAGAAATAGAAAAGATCATTTCTAAAGAGACTTAAGTTGGGAATCTCAGGTCTGGAAACAAAACTGTCCGTTCCTCTTCACTGCACAGTTCAGCCTTTCCGAGTAGTTTAAGCCAAGCCTTGAATTGCATCATCTCCCAGAGGAAATAGGTCAGGTGGCAGACAGAGTAAGACTTCTCAAGTGGCAGGAGAAATGACATTTTTTCTATTTTATGTGATTTTTAAAACAACAGTGGACAGGAGGAGAATGGGGCCATTTTTAGCAGATCCAAAATTTCCCAGAAGGCCAATGTCTCAAAAATTTAAGTAAGTAAATACAAAATAATCTTAAAGAATTAGGGCTAGGCCATATAGTTCAGTTGGTAGTGTTTGCCCAGGCTAGTGTTCAGCAGAACTACATAAATTTGTCTTTAATTGATGTTTGTACTCCTAGCACTGTTAAGAGAATCAAAAATTCAAAATTAGCCTGGAATATCTAATGAGTTTGAGGTCAGACTGGACCACATGAGACCCTGCCTCAATAAAATGGAATTAAAAAAATTATCTTGTGATTTATTATTAATACTTTACATTGAGATCTATGCAGTTGGAAACAGTGCAGGAAGATGTCCCTAAAAAGATACCTCTGAAGATATTCACTTCAGTAGCTGTAGTTCATTTTTCTGAAAGGAAAAAATCCAGTGTGATGAAGAATGGAACATTACGTCTATACCTAGTTCCTAGTGCTCTCTCTGCACCCAAAGATGTACACAGGTGGGTGCCCAGCTCTCTGAATGCCCAGAGCACAGGTATGTCCTAACAGCTAACTGGCACAACACCCGTGATATCACAGGGATAGCACTAGTTGATGATACTAATACTGTGTCAAAACAAATGTGTAGTTAAGTTTCTAGGGGTAAAACAGAAGAAGGAATCAATTCTTACTGAAGATCTACAAAAAGGTGGGCATCTCTGAGGGAGATGTTACCTGTATTTTACAGCTTCAGAACGGAAGCCAAACAGCCCTTTCCCCAAGGCTACATAACTAATAACAGTCAGGTTTGAATCCAGGTCCCTACCACCTCACTGACTCCACAAACAGTGATCTTATTGGTCCCTGGAGACCCTGTCCTATCCACATGCTCTTCGTTTGCTGGTCTACCTTTTGATATTATTAGATTCTCCTCTCTTCCTAATACATGATATTACTAGACTGCTGTAGAATAATCCTTTTGTACACTGTGAAGATTTGTCACTCAGATGGGTTTAATAAAAAGCTGATTGGCTGATAGCCAGGCAGGAAATATAGGTGGGACAATCAAACTGAGGATGATGGGAAGAAGAAAGGCAGAGTGAGGAGAGACACCAGCAGACTCAGAGGGAGTAAGACATGCTGGAGAATAGGTAAAGCCATGAGCCACATGACAATATATAGATTAATAGAAATGGATAATTTAAGTTGTAAGTAAGCCTGAGCTATTGGCCAAGCATTTATAATATTAAGCCTCTTTGTGGTTATTTGGGAGCCAGCAGTCAGGACAGGAAAATTCTGCCTACACTAGACTTACCTTGATGGAATGGTAGAGCCCTGAATTCTTTGGATTTCCTTTGACTATCTAGCCATTCTTTTTTTGTTTTGTTTTTGTTTTTTGTTTTTGTTTTTTTGAGACAGGGTTTTTCTGTGTAGCTTTGCGCCTTTCCTGGAACTCACTCTGTAGCCCAGGCTGGCCTCGAACTCAGAGATCCGCCTGGCTCTGCCTCCCGAGTGCTGGGATTAAAGGCATGCACCACCACCACCCGGCAACTATCTAGCCATTCTTTTTGTCTGTGTTTTCTCTTTTTTACCTGGCCAAGTAGTATTTTTAGAATCCTTTTTTTAACTCACTGTCCTTTGTAGCACGAATCTTAAAGGGTCTTAATAAAAAAAAAAAAAACTCGGGAGCCAGATACTGGGGTGAATGCTGAAAGATCAGAGAAACAGAACAAGCCACAGCTAACCTCACCTCGCTCCTCAGCTGATCTTGTTTTCTCAAACTGGAAGCCTCTGTGTCCTCATCTGAATGGATCTCAGCTGAACTGCTGCTAAAAGCTTAACTAGGCTCTAGTTCCTGGTCCTTACATTTTATATACCTTTCTGCTTCCCGCCATCATTTCCTAGGATTAAAGGCGTGTGTCACCATGCCTGGCTGTTTCCAGTGTGGCTTTGAACTCACAGAGATCCGGATGGATCTCTGCCTCCTGAATGCTAGGATTAAAGGCGTGTGTGCCACCATTTTCTGGCCTCTATGTCTATCTAGTGGCTGTTCTGTTCTCTGATCCCGTTTATTAGGGTGCACAATATACTGAGGAACACAATTATCACCATAGTCCTTTGTTGAGGTGATACTCAATATAGATACTGGTTAATACACACAAATTTGCATATGCCACCTTGGTTTCTATTTAGCTCTTCCTATTAAGGTTGCTTTTTCCCCACCATGGTCATCTCAGACTCCCAGATGCCACAGAAATGTGGAAGTTGCTATAGACATAATGTGTCAAGTCTCTCTTGCAAACCATTTAATCAGTGATGCTGCCTATTGTGGCTGGAGACCAAGCAAAGCCATTCAAGGATTGGACTGTCACCGAGTCAAGTCAAAGGAGTGACTTCATCTCCCATGTAGCTACCTGTACTGGGTTGTTTTTTGTCAACTTGACACAAGCCTAGACATATCCAGAAAGGACTTTTAATTGAGAAAATGCCTTTATAAGACTAGCCTGTGAGCAAGTCTGTGGGGATTGTCTTGATTAACAATTGATGTGAAAGAGAACATCCCACAGGGATGGTGCCATCTCTGGGCAGGTGGTCCTGAGGTGTAAAAGAAAGAAAAGCTGAGCAAGTCAGTGAGCAGTGCTCCCCCATGGTTTCTGCCTTGAGTTCCTGCTCTGACTGGCCTCAGTGACGGAATGTGACCTGAGAGTTGAAAGATGAAGTAAACACTTCCCTCACCATGTTGATTGATATTACAATAGAAACCTTAAGACAGTAGGTTTTGTGGTCATAAGCAGATGCCAGTGAACAGCCTCCATGCCCGAGTGCTTCTGCAGTGCAGCTTGATGGCCTCAGTATTGCAGAAATGACACATCACCCATCCTGGTCACAACCTGGTCACAGGAGAGAAAACAAAAGCATTCTCCATATGGGAATTTCCAAAGAGTGAATTAACCAGGAGTAAGAATGTGACAATCAGCTCCTAATGACCAAGATGTTCCTTTTAACTTAAAACAAGGAAGTATTGACCCAACATCATAAATACTTTTCAAATAACAGAAACAGCATTCATGTGAGGGGAGAAACTATTATTTTAGAGGAATAAAAGGAAAGGGTGTGAGGAAATACATAGTGTTGGTGGGAATGAAAATTTTTTTAATGTATGAGTAGTCTATGGCTACTATAACAAATTTCTGCATTCTCAAGAGCTTACATTTTTTATTTTCTTCCAGTTTTTTGGAACAACAATCTAACTTGCATCTTACCAGGCAAAAATTTAGGTGGCAGGAGGGCTGTACCCCAGTACCTTTTAGTTCTCTTTCATTTCCAGCTTCTAAAGGTTTACAGTACTCCTTGGCTCAAAGCTCCCATCCTCCATCTTCAAAGCCAGCAATATCAAATCAAGTCTTGCTCATATTCCTTTGTTTTGATTCTGTTCTTCACTTTTTATGATCTTTGTGACTGGGCTGGATCAAGGTTTACAAGCACTTACTGCCCTTGCAGAGGACCCAAGTTTGGTTCCCACCACGGATGCTGAATGGCTCGCTGAAGTATTAAATCAAGCTCCAGATGATCTGATGACTCTGGCCTCTGCTGGCACCGGCACTCATGTGCATATACCCACACAGAGACACACACATATGCATAATTTAAAATAAGATAATCTTTTTTAAAAGATCTTTGTGACCACATCAAGACCGCTCAAGAGAATCCAAGATAATTCTCCTATTTTAAGGGTAGTTGGTTAACAACCTCATTTTCACCTGAAACCTCAATATCCCCTTTATTATGTAAGATAATATACTTTCAGTCTCCATGTTTAGGATATGGACATATTTGGGGACAATTATTCTGCTTACAACATACAACTTCTTTAGAAAGTGATTTGATAATGTCTCTCAAAAATTTTAATTTGGCTCAGTATTTCTGCTGCTAGGAATTTATTCTGTGGATATACTTCACAAAGAAACCATGAAGATATATGCTGCATCATTAAGATTTAAAAAATAAGAATCAAGCCGGGCGGTGGTGGCGCACGCCTTTAATCCCAGCACTCGGGAGGCAGAGCCAGGTGGATCTCTGTGAGTTCAAGGCCAGCCTGGACTACCAAGTGAGTTCCAGGAAAGGCGCAAAGCTACACAGAGAAACCCTGTCTCGAAAAACCAAAAAAAAAAAAAAAAAAAAAAAAAAAAAAAGAATCAATCAAATGTTCATGAAGTAGAGTCATACTAAAGCTGATATTAAGCAGCAGGAGGAAAGAATAAAGCAGGGCTGGAAGTTTTAACAGGAAATAATCTCTAAGAAGAAAATAAATGCACGCCATAAAAATACATCTAATACACTGTCATTTCAAAGAGAAGGAAAATAAAATATGTATAATTATGCTTAACGTGTTTCTGGGGCAGGAGGGCAAGGAATCACTAGAGATTTAATACTGTATACCTTAGGAAAGAGCCTCAGATAGAGTGATTGAAGGGAACCTTGCTTTTCATTTAATACCCTTAGATGCTGTTAAATGATATTTTCCCCAACAATTTCCATTACTGAATCCAAAAAAAGGAAAACAAATTAAAAAAACATAAAACAATAGAGAAAGAGAGGCCTATAAACATAGAAAAGAGCAAGAGCCCACACTTCAACTGTCAGAGCCAAAGCCTATGTATTCCATGTCACAAAAACACCCATGCAAATGTATCTGCCACTTCTACTTCCAAGGTAAGGGACTGTATCCCATGATGCACAAGTGTTTCAGGAATCCCCCCCCTGAAATGGTAGGCAACCTTCCCTGCATATTTACAAATGAATGTTCTAGAAGAAAGTCTGCTGCTCTCTTCAGAGTTTCAAAGGACTGTTAGTCACATCAGGTTATAGGAGCATTTCCGAGTGCTTCTGGAGATCTCTATTCTAACATCCAGTGAGCTCCCCGGGGAAAGTGTGGTGCAGAGTGGGGAGGTCACCTGGGTTATCAGACAGGGTGCCTGTTAGAACAGAGGCCGTCTCCTCTTCAGCACATTTACACCTTCTTATTACAGCTAGATGTTTCTCTCGGAAGGCAGCTATATTCCATGATAAATGACTGAAAGGCCTTTAAAGTACTGTTCTAATCCGTTTATTTATGTCTGTACTCCGTGGGCTGATTTGTTAGGCCCTACAGTCTTCCATGCCAGTGAATTCTCCTTTAGTAAGCATGAATAGCACCAGAAGATTGAGTTTCCAAAGTGAGTTATTATCAGTATTTGTGAGAAATGCTTGCTGAAAAGAAAAACTAGTTCCTGAGACAACCCAGATTATCTCAGCAATAATGCATTTCCAGAGCACTAATTTGCTTTTTGTGCATAAATCCAGCTTTAAGATAGATATAAGCTTTAAGATAAGACTATCTCTTATATCCATCCTTTCCCAAAGTCTGTCTCTAAAATGTTCTTTAACAATTCAGCTTTCTCACACTCTAATATGTCAAGAAGAAATTTTACCTGTCTTTTACTATGAATAAATAAATGAACTGCTCCTGGCTCTTTCCTTGGTTTTAACAAACTGTGTAAAGACAAAGTTTATATTTTAAAAATTATTTAAATTGCATCCTTTGGGGAACTACCCAAGAATGATCAGGCTAATTATATCACTATGGTAACACTATATGCCTATCTGCTTAATTCACAGGATGGATCTACAGGAAGCATTTTGATTGGGAAAGTGTACATGAAGTTGAATCAGGTTATTAGTGCTGCATTGCCAATATGGTGGCAACATATAACTAAGTTAGCTAAAACAAAATAAAATTTAGTTCCTCAGTCACATTCCCAGTGCTCAGGAGCCACATGTGGCTAGTGACTATAACACTAGCCAGTGCAAAGAGATCATTCTCATCATCAAAGACTGTTCTAGCATGCAGTATTGCTCTAGACTTAACTGCTCTTAAAGGATGTGAGAGATAAACATGTTTTCATTTTGTTTTTCTCTGTTTTAGTGTCAGGTATAAAACCTAAGGCCTTGCGCATGGTAGGCAAGTACTCCACCACCGAGCAATGTGGCCAGCTAAGAAACACAGTAATGACACCACAAAGAAGCCATCCTATAAGTCACATCTAGAATGTAGAGCCTTCTGCATGACAACTGAAACAGTCAATGCCATTGTTAGAACAAAGGAAAGGTTGGCAGGAACTGGTATAGATTTTTAAAATATCAATAACCAAATACTGTATGTGGGCCATTTTTGCACCTCGATTTTTAACAAATCAACTCAGTGTTTGAGAATTCCCAGAAATTTTGACTATATTTAGACATTCTATAATACCCACTGATTAATTCTGATAGGTATGATAAAGCCTTTTTGTCTTTGTTTAGACACATTAACTTTGTTTAGAGATGCACATTACAGTATTGTATTATTACCATTTTGT